TATTCCTCGGCTATAGTAGTATGTAGAAGGATGAGCTATGTTAGCTTATTTAGGGAGCGTCATCTCATAGAACTGTAGCTGACATTAAGGTAATAGGCAGTCAGCTAAAAAAACTTGTTGCGAAACACTCATGATACTCTTCAAGCAAGCTTCGCTCCCTAGTTACGATACAAATATAGCAAAAAAAAAAAGAGGGTACGTATTCACTCTGGAACAAGATGATATACGTGATGACCATACAGCAAAAGTCAATTTGATCCATTGTCCACATAATTTGTGAGACTTTTAGAAGAATATAATAGCTTCATACAATATATAAAGGGTAATACTATCTACCTATTTCTCTCTCCGCGTTCACAATTAAATTTAGTAGCCCAGAACCCCTCCCAAGAAAATTAGCACAAACGATACCCTGGACGCCGAGGATCGCCGTGGATAGACCCATCTGTCACAAGGCACATTTACGTTCACTGCTAATTTATTTTTATTTTGGTTTTCCATATGATGCTCGGTCGGCCGGTTCGTCAGTTATTTTTTCTCGTTATCAGCGAGTAGCGATTGTTCGTTATCGATGCAGATGCACTATCCGCCAACGAGCGACTGGCCACAGAACGACGACTAGGCAAACTAGTTACCACTTACCCCACTATGAATATAATAGGAAAGCAGTATTTGAGGCGCCCGCATCGTCGACTGCTAATCGGCGCAAGACCTGCAGGGAATAAGAGTTTGTGGGTAAGCGACAGATACACTATGAGCAGTTTAAATTTGCTAGGAAGACCATAGATGCCACACAATTGAGCATAATTAAAACAGACGGAGAGGCCTATCGCGCTGTCTATATTCGTAAAATATATTTACGAAACAGCATAATAACAATCATAAAGCCGAATAATTACCGAACTGAGAAATCTCTGAATGGAGCCACACAGAGGGCAAAAGATAGTGTTGTCAAATGTTGTATGTATGTATGTACGTGAATACGTTGCATGAACAGATAAAACGCTCGCGTTGAACGACTTGACGAAGAGCTGTTTGAAGGCGGTGCGGTGACGGCTGAAGGCCGATGTGCGCTGGCCTGATCGCCAGGCGCTCATGCTAAAATTCTAATTAGTTTCGAGCAATGGCAACTGGTCGCTTTCTGCCAGTCGTTTAGAATATTACAATGGCAAGCTAATATCATTTGCAAAGGCCATGTTATCATCATTGCCGGCCAGTAAAGCAGAGAAAATGGCGAGTGTATCGCTGTAGCTATCGGCCGTACGAAGACGAAAAAGCTTGGCTGACCCTCTCTCCAATCTTCGTTTAACAATAGGACCCTTGCAACGACCTGCAGTCACTGCGAATCTAGAGATTCTGCAATTGAAAAATATCTTTGCTTACTGCATCATGACGACAAACGTAGAGTCGCATTGGTGTTTTGAAGGAGGCAGCTGTTTTTTTCTTGAAGGACACAGAAGGCCGCTAGTAGCATTAACGTCTATGGTGTGAACAGCAGCGTACTGTTTCGTGAGCCATTTTGCTTTAATTGTTATTGACCATTTGTCCGGTAAGGTTACACAAAGAAGTAATCGCGACTGCTTAGCACTTTCAGTTGTATGATTATATAGCTAAGGCATTAGCTGGGCGTCAATGACAATTCAAGAAGCGTATCTTACGGAGAAGCATTCACACCGTTGGTCCACCGCTGCTGATTTGAAATGATTTAGAAGCTTGTTCGTAGGGCCCTAACAAAGGGCTATGCGATGCAGTACTAACGACGGCAATCACGCGTCGACATAAATTATACATGGATGTGCCGGCTAGTACTATTTTTATGATAAGGATAATAGAACAACAATAGTGATGAATAGCAGAAGAAGTATCATTAGAGAAAATTTTCCAAAAGGGCCAAGTCATTTCTTTCATTTATGCTGAACTGTCATGTACAAGGCACTTCGAATGTCATAGTCTTGAGGACCTTTAGCCTTAAATAAGGATTTTTTCGAAAGCGCCTTTCAAAAAGTAATGTAACCCTAGATTCTTCGAACGCGTGTTAATTCATCACGGAGTACTAAAGAAAACCGTGACCTTACATGGGGTACCGTAACCTTAACACATTAAAAAGACCATAACCTTGCACAGTTGCGTTGTTTGTCAGACAGCTTACATAATAGTTCGATAGTTACTTCCTTCTGAATATTTTAGATACGGGTGACCTTCCGAGCATCTTCATGGCTTGAAACCGCACAGTCTGCGCCTCAAAATGTAAGATTAGTCATCAACTATCACCAGCGGTTCGCCATGGCCACTTAACACAGCCTTCTGTCGATTATCGAGGACAATTTATATTTTTTAGCGTACCGATCGCATGGGTACAAGATCCTATTTCGAGCATTAGCCATAGCTAATACAGTCTTGCCGGTTTCATTGGCGCGATAGTGTAAACTGCCGTTCTTATAGACGGACATTCGACTATTTCCATAAATGACCATTGACCAACATGCGCAGCTTCCTGTCATCATCTAGTATCTTGTCGACCCATTCTGCTCTCCATATTGGCTAGCGGAGCCGTACATGAGTAAATGGCCCAATCTTCTCTAGCTATTGTTATCGTCACCGTCACCGTCACCGGTGTCATTGTCACGTCTATAGCATTTGAATATACGGCCGTCGCAGAACAGCGCCATCTTCGCGTTCCGGTTCGCCATTCATTTGTAGAAGATCAACCAGCATCACGTAGTCTACGTTGAACTGTCAAAACACAATCGTATGCGTACGAAGCGAAGCGCTATTTCTTCCATTTTCTGGCCATCGCCTCCCAAAATAAAAGACGTCGCATAAAAATAAAACACGACGAAAATGGACTAAAAAGAGGAATCAGCCGGCGCATAGAGCAACCGATAAATAGCCATGGAGCAATTTGCACCCCCACGCACATGGTGATAACAACGCGAATAGAAATAGCAATGCCGATATGCTTCCTTTATTAAGGTAAATCTGCAAGGGAGAAGACGAACAACGGCGTGGTTTTCCGTAGCCACTCGTAGCTTCATCTCGAATGACGCCGGGGGTCAATTTTACGAACCATCTCATTTATGGACTGTATGCAGCCTAGCTAACGCACAACTGCCTCATACACCCCCAAGCTCCGCCCTAACAAGAGAGAGGCGGGCTTTTACTCGGTTCAGATGCTGTTACTATTTCGCGTTTCGAGTCGAGCTTTGCTTCTACTGTGACGCTTCAGAAACAGTCGAGCTGCTTGAACACGGGAAGCCCCCGCCTATAAATTGTCGACCGAAATTAACCTTCCTGGGTGGGCGCCTCACCAGCTTCACAGCGTAGTTTCAACTTACACATCCGTAAACGTAACAGAATACACGTACATTACTATTATACATACGTACACACATTGCAGTATATTATTCCGCAATGTACAATCCTATTATATAATTGTTCACAGTAGATGTATGGCTTATTCGATGTCAAACATATTCGTGCGCACAAGTTATTGAACGCATCTATTTCCTAAAACACCTTATACAGGACATGAAGAAAACCATGGCCATAATAGCTTATCTATATACAGATGGTAAGTACGCAACGGTAGGGCGGTATGCACTTAGAGCAGGTAGTCATAATAGATGCCTGTACCACTAGTATACGAACGTGTTTTACATGTCTCGAAAATTGATGAATCACGGTCTATCGGTTCTACTGAAAATTCGCGCCACAGGGCAGAAAAGCTAGTCTTTTGCAACGATAGAAGAAACAATATACATGTACATTCTGAAAAGCCCAAATCTGTAAATACAATGTCTACAACGGTTGTCAAATTGAACCTTAGCCGTCGCAGAGGTTGTATAGGAACGCCTATTAATCAAACTTTATATTGAAATAATCTGTGGTACCTTTCAGTCTCGCTACGAAATTCTAAATGGAACTATCTACCTGCTGTCGCAACATGCAGGAGTTGCATGTTGGGCTGCTCACAGAACATACGCTTACTCGTTATCAAGCCTGCATTAAAGTTTTACTACGGTTTTTACTCTGGCTGATTTCAGCTGGCGCTAAATAACATAGAAGCATATGTGAAATCGTTTTATTTATTATTAAAAGAAATGTAGTTATAGAAATCACCACCAAAGCTCAGAAGCAAACAACGAACGAGTACTTTCCAGTTGGGAGCAAAATAGAGCCCCTAGAACAGCCCCTATTTTCACTGTAGACCTATTCTATACCATTCTCACACACTCCAGCTCTGAAAATTGGCAAAGTCATTTCTTCGAGATCGAAGGTTTTGGCCCTACTGGAAATATCTAGTCGGATGGGTCTGGGGGTTCTCCCAATAAATTTAGGACACAGTATTGCAACCATACATGTAGCTTCTTCGTAGCTCATACTAATCCTATTTTCTTATAGTAATAGCCAACAATAAGTTGAACAAACGATGGTCGCATGCTTGTTAAATATTGTCACCATGACAGCGTACTCCAAGCATGCACTACCAGGTACTCATAGGGTCACCACAATTGTGAAACTACTTCATCTAATTTGCCCGTCCCTCATCAACTTTCCTGTTACTGAGTGTATCAGCTCAGCTAAACATAAGCAATGCACCGTAATTTTTGATACATATTTATGGCAAAATGGTCTTCCGTGGAGGTATCCCTGGCGAATAACTTCCGCTTTTTACAATGTGCGTGCTTTTAACAGATACATTTACGTTTTTCTTATGGTATGTGTTTATTTTTATTTCACTACACGTTAACATCTAAGCGCGACTTTGACCTCTCTGAAAACCACTAAGCAATCTGCTCTGTATCCCTGAAGTTCGGACGTTGTAACTTTAATTATCGGAAACTTGTAGGCCCTGAATTTCGGAAAAAAACGATGCGGCTTTCGTATCAATGTCTCTAATAGAAACATTGCGAATTATCGAGATTTCGGGTAAACAAGTACGCTTTAAATACTGCTTATTCTTTTAACACACTCAATAGTTAATTGCGCAATCTGCTGTATTTTATTGAAACGGTGGTACCTTGGGTCAATTTGATGTACTATTTGTGAGGTCCAATTTGGTCCCTGGCAATATTATTGTGCAATGATTGATTAAAGTTATTAATCGCAAGTTTTGGGTACATAGCTTTGGAATAATTGGAACTGGAAAGATCGTCTGCTTTGTTTTCATGTCTTTACATTATTCCGTATGTTTGTTTCTTTATTTCATATATCTGTATTTCTCCTCTGTTAATTACAATTCCAGTGCCCACTACGCGTATGCCTTATTTTGACATTATTTCGACTCGCATTACGTGCCGTTCACCATTACCAGGTTCTCGATCTGATAATCCTATTCTATAATTTATAAAGTAATGATTGGTGGCACATTACAAGTAAAACTGCATCGATTCACTTTAAAAAAAGCCCGCGCTTTTTGCACGCCTCAAGTTCATTTCTGAGGCGAAAGACCTTATGGCAATATTTTAGCTCACAAAATATTCCGCAAAAAAAAAGAGACGCGCGGCTAGGACGAAAAAGAACATGTAATATATATTTCACATCCTTGACGAATTATTCCCTCCCTAACGAGGGCATTGTTACTGTGCCTGTACAATGTTATTATCGATGTATCCGGTGTAGATCATTAGATTAACCTTACTCTCATCGACCGCCAAGTATTAGTACCTAATTATTTTTATGACCAAATAACAACGGGACTTTACTTCACTTACTATACACGTAAGTAAGTGATATCCTTTACCGTTCGATTGGCAGCCTCCAGTAGTACGCGTTTTTCGTAAGTAACATTGGATATAGGGTTATATACATTGCTATTGAAAGAGTGTACATCTTAACATTGCGGTTTGTACATCTTATTTATTAAACATGAAAACATGTGTACCTTAAAATGTGTTTCTTCACTTTTAACTTTGACGATACCAAAGCATTCTACGGTTACGAGCGCTATCTTCAACGAAAATTTCCTCGCCTAACCTGATTTGCAGGATGCTTAGTGTCAGTATTAATGTAAATATTATTGGGTCCTACGGTTAACAGGTTAACAGATTGTCACCCATCAATTGGTACCCACATAGTTCTGTAAGAGCACCTATTTTGCTTACCATATTGATTAAAATCATTCAGTAATTAGCGTAGAGTGATCGTGATCGTTATCCTATTTTTCGCATTGCGATGGCAAGGTTTGCTTGTAACGGACGACGCGTACCGCATATTTCGATATATGTCAATGCATAATACGTACTAGATAAATAACTTATTATTATTTATTTACGGCCATGAGTCTGGACTCACGAGGCCACACGCTAAACTTCTATTTATTAGGTACTTCCTTTCCAAAAAGTCGTTCCAAGACTCTGAAGATCCTGGTTGAAGAACCCCTGAATGACCTAAAAATGTCATGGAACAAAACGAAAAAAAACTTTGGTTATTGCTTGTAGTGGCTTTTTCTATATTTGAGCTATTTATCGCATTTACTTAGGTAGTGGCAATTTTCGCTTACCTAGATGCTCCTTACACAGACTTACCTTTCTATCTGTGCCGCTGGTGTACGGTTCTTGAAATAGCGAATTCCGAATATGGCTCAACTGATTTCAATTGAGCTCCGAATGTTCAAGAATTTGAGTATAAGGTTATTCGAATGAGAGCAACTTTCAAATAGTAGGTCTATGCAAATTCCATTGCAGGTTGCGTTCACGGATGGTTCTGCCTAGTTCTTCATTTGTTAAAAATAATTTTCTGCTGTTAAGTCTACTTTCATCGTTTCGTACGTAGATCACTTACATAACATTTTAAAATTAATAAGATATATTCCGAAAAAAAAACACACAACGGAAATTAATCTGAAATTATTGTTTTAAAATGCTTTAGTATAAAAAGGATGTTTATACCATTTAGCTATTATTGAACGAATATGGAAAACTGATCACAACATAAGTTACAGATAAATGTAATAGATTGCCTTAAAAGACCGAACTTCAATTTACAAGCGGTTTTTCCGGTCGTCCAGCCACCAGCCTGTTTGGAAACCTAATGGAGCATGCATTTTGTCGATTCTCTTTTGTTTGTGTACTATCAAGTACCGCCTAGTCAACGGCGACCTTCGGTACAGAAAGCTGACGGCCAACTGGCGAATTAAGTTATCAATTGAAATGAGCTTTTTGTCGAAGCAGATATGAGTGCATGGAAGCTATGCGATTACAATAACAGGTGTTCCAGTGCGGCAGGGTCCAACTCGTGGGGTGGCTCGCCAGCTAGACAATCGAGAGGGGTACAGTCATATATGAAAGACATAGAATATAAGGACTTCCACAGTGATTATAAATACTTTTAGTGCCGTGTGCTCTGCACACCACTTGTTTGAAAAAGTTGGATTCCAAAACACTTTGATGAAAGTCCATCCGTCGAAACTCAGACTGAAAAATGATATAACTAAAAAGCGGGGTCAAACGGTAAGCAACTGGAAGTGTTAAAGATACTTTACATGAATAATAGGGTATATGCAAATAAAGTCAGACTTTCCTTACATTCACAATGCGCTTCCTCCCTTTTGACCTTTGTGTTCAAGTATATTTGTCCAGTAAGAGAGGTTATCCTGAAAATGAAATGAAAATCCTAAGAATTTTACTTATTTCGCGCAACTCTGCCAAACCAAACCACTATTTTGGTCTAGCTCCAAAATTAGCCAAAACTAGATAGAAAAATCAAAAATCTTGTAGAAATACCGCTAATCTATGTACATTTAGCCAATGAGTCAACAAATTACGCTGTACACTCGAGTCGTGGATGCTGTACCGCATTTTTAAATCGTAACTCCTCAGCACAGTTCTAATTAAAAAAAAAAAAAAAAAAAAAAAAGCATTTTTGACGCATGCACTACGCGTTACATCGAAGTGCAAGATCTTATCTTAACAGCTTAGGACATTTAGCACGCACGCACGCATAAGAACTTGAAAAATGGTCCTTACGTAATTCTAAATGTATTGCATGAGAGCGATCTGTCAAGTTTGGAAACAGTATACAGAATTGAGACATGATAGCTGCTCTGACTGACCGATCGTTCAGGTTTGATAGTGATAATCTGAAGACACTTGAAGGAATATGGCTGATAAACGAAGCGGAAGTCGGCTGAAAATGTAGTCTAGGACCGTTGTCAACCATTTCAAGTATTTTGAGTTTACAGAAAACCTTCCAATAATAAGGAATTACGGTTTAGTCCTGCAACTCAACACCTCACCGTAAGCGAGCTGAAGCGTCAGTCAATAGCCGATTTCTTTGCACAGAACTGCCAGGTTGTGTGAAAAAAGTTGTACGTCAACGTAGATCCAACTGGGTGGCTTCAGGAGAGAAAGCAAGGTTCAGGGTCCTACCAGACAAGAGGTTTTGCTTTCTATTTGGTTAAAACTGAGAGCTTAATCTACTAGGAATTGCTTTCTACGTACATACAATAGATCGACGTATTTGTTTCGCAAATATACAAAATTATTTTAAAAAATTTCGAGAAAATAGACCAGACGCTTTTTCTCAACGATAACGCACGGTCACATATAGCAAACGTAAGAGTTACTTTCCAGGACTTGTATAGCACTCTTTGTCGCACGCTTCATATTCTCCGGACCCGCGCTGACATTTTTATCTTTTCCCGTAACTGGCGAATGAAATTAGGAATAGCTCATTTGACAGTGAGGCGGAACCGAAGGTCGTTATGATACAATAACGGGAAACAGTTCCCACAATGACTTGGATAGAAATGTTTAGATTGCCACATGCCTAGTGGTATCACTCTTTGTTTTTTTTTGTTGCATACCATCTTTGTCTAGATAGCGCCATTTATTAAACGTTACAAAAAACGTAAGCTTCACGCCCTAAAAGGAACAACAAAGGCAGATGTATGCACATTCTGTCATCGGGCGATTTGGCGGTAGTAGCTAGCATACGCTGTTGCTAAGTTTATGGAGTACTATCTTATAGGAATATCCAGCATGCAAGAAAGCTTTTTTGGAGGTTTTAGAACAATTGAATTTATTAAAAAAAATCAAGACTTACTACCATTTACCTAATGCCCTAATGTCTGCTAAGGAACACGCACGCACAAACGGAACGAACCATACTATTCCCCCAATAATCTAAAATAACAATACAGCTTAACTAACCTGGAGATGTTTCATAGGAATGCAGTCCTTCATTAGAGATTGCCTTTCTCCGTCGCCCTGATCTGCGAATAGCATGTCCATAATGAACATTGGATTTCATTCCGATATGCTTGTATACCGTATTGTCATTGATAGATAAAACTGTTACAGCTGGCCTTTGTACAAAAAAGTGTTGTTGAAGTGATGCTACCATTACAGTGGCTCAATTTTCGAGCAAGCAAAAAGATCACTTGTTTAGCCGTAATCACAGGAAGATACGTGTGTGTGTGTTATCTTTCCTATGGAATTCAATCTTTTGAGGATACTGTGTGCGAGCAGTAAAAATAAATGCAAGAATACTTATTAAGCGTTAAACCTGCACGTACTGGGTGCGTCCTCCATACCGTCAAGCGCTGGGGGCACGGGAAGTACCCACTGGCTGGGCATGAGACCTGCGTTACTATACGCTGTTAAGAGTGGTTGAACCACGTTCGTGATGAAAGAGCTCTGTAGTTTTGCCGTTTCCGGGTGGTTACCATCCATATATTTGGTGATCTCCCAGCCACGATTACGTTCCTCTTCACCTTGCTGGTAGAATTCCTGGCAAAGGAGGTTCATCCAACTGCTGTGTAAATCGAACCGTTTACATGGACCGCTCACATCAGCCAGCTTGATTACCATTAAAAGGACTGACAACCGATGCGTTTCATCTGCCCAATTCAGGCCAGCCTTAACCTGAAAACGAGCGTGGCACAGTTTGACGTATCCCTTCTCGGCAACATAAATTGATGATCAATTTTTAGCTTGAGAAACCTTAAATGTTAAGGTAAAAAAAATTATACAGACAACTGGGATATATATATATATATATATATATATATATAGGATATATATATAGGATATATATATCCTATTTTATACTACATACCTGATCGTTGAAAGTTTCTAGTACTATCGAGTGACGATCAAGGTCTGTGGCCAGTACGCAGTCAACAGTGAGTTGTTGTAGCTTCGAACGCTCAGTGGGATGCATGTTCTTCAGAAAATTGCATTCAGGATAACTTTCCATGAGCTCCCACGATTTTGAAACGTGGTGCTGCTCTAACACTGACCTATAAAGTAAAACAGATATTGGAGAGCATCCGTTACAATGTGGACGTGCCACATGCATGTGGCTTAACAGTTTCAAGGTCCGTTTTATTATGTTTTATCTTCATTCATTTGTAGTGGAAGGCTTTTGTGAAACGTGCCATAAAACAAAAACCCATCTGTTCCTCCCAAATATCCTTTAATGTCCATATAAAAAATTCGAAGAAATTCATTCGGTCAAATTAGTGGGACAACAAAAAATTCTGCGCAGTGCCGGTAGTTTTATAGTAGAAAGACAAAAAAATTCACTCTACAACGTCTTTGGTAATAGATAGAGAATTCCTTATAAGGAACGTTTTCCCATCGATTTCACCGAGTAACAGCACGATGATACATTACATTTATTATCAAGACAAACGCTAAATACACGTATATAAACCAGTACGGAATAAAACTCCAGGCAGAGAATGGTACCTATTATTGTACAATTGTGCGAGTGGTGACTTTGTCAGAACCAGGAACCTGTTGGACCTTCCTGGATGATCGTAGTCATGCATTGCTGCGGCTAACAGGACAGCAAGTAGCTCAAGTCGGGTTATATTTGCTGCTAAAATCCCATACGTGCGTTCCGAGTTAGGATCAATCGGCAATGTCGACTTCTGGTTACCTGATGATATCATACGCGGTTGAATGAATTTCCGCTATATTATGAATCACTTCGAGTGCATCTGCTGTTTCTCACTGGCGTACGTGATTAAAGAAACTTCAGCAATAGTTCATTCCTATGTTTTTACCAGCTATATTATACTCCCTATTCTTTCTCTTTATCTTCCAACATATTTGTTTCAAAGACAACAAATATTTTTAAGGTTTCCGAAAGGAACTAAGAGCAAATAAAACATTTAATCAAATTTGCTTCGTAAGATAACTTTACTCTGGTAAAGTGCATCTTAAAGGCATACGAGAGCACCACGCATAAGAAATTCTAATCCTCACTAACTGTAACTATCATCGATTTCTAGACAGAAAAAGTGGGGTTAGTTAACCTGATCACTACTGCTGCATCTTTACATGTGAAAGTGCAAGTGTTTTTTTTTGGGGGGGGGGGGACATTCACCTTTTTTTTGCCTTTCCCCGAATTGCTTCTCTCTGAATGAGGTGACAACTTGTAGATTGGCAGTGCCAACGTTCTTCGATCGAGGCGATTGTTTTAGTCCGGCCACAGGCTGCGTACAAAGATAGTAGACTCCGTGGAGGACGTCGGCAGCGTGCACCCGATTATGGAATGGTATATCTCGATAGCCGCTCTCCAAAACGTGCAAGTACAGTATCAGCTCTTTCTCGAGCAATCCAAACGCCGAAATTAGACCAGTATCCTTTAATATGCGGAAACACATCTGCATCGGAAACATCGTGTGATACTCCTTGACTGTTTTAATGCGTTATTTGAAGTGCTGTTTAATGCGTGTTTTCTACACCGCAGCAGATCAATTGAAACAAAAAAAAAACTTCTCAAATATACTCGAAATTGACTCGCAGTTTCGCATAACTGCCGGGAGGTTTTGGAAGACGATTGTAACCTAAACGACTAAAGCTCATCAGAACACACTGTTGATGTACTCGATAACTAAACAAAATAAGCAAAAGCTCAAAATCGCTTCGGAAATATATCGAAGATAAATACAACCAGGCAGAATGCAGAAATGACAAACATTTACAAAGTTTTCAAAGTGACGAATGTCTGCCTATCTTGAGCCGCGATGCCTACTATTGTAGGTTCTAGGAAATTAGACCTCAGTTTCGTCGACTCATCGTTAGCCTATGCGTACTGTTTGCCTTGGACAGGATAAAATATTGAGTGAACGCATATCCAAATAAATTTGTCTACTTATATGGCTAGGTCGTATCTTGGTCAAATTGCACATTATTTGAAAAACTAATATACGTACCGAACTCAATACTGTGCACGGCCACATCTTCGCAAGTCCAAATATGTCATAATCCCATTGACTAAGGGCATTCAGTTGAGGACTCTTATGAATTTTCTCGACATCGAAAAGGGCACAATCTAAATCATAAGCCGTGCCGAAGGGCAAACGCTTCCATATAATCTTCTTCTTTATCCTGGTAAACGCCAAACGTTAGTAATCACTAGCTATATTATATAACCATTTAAATTTTTTTGCTTCTCAAGCATCGGTTATGGAAGCTTTCTGCCTTACTTATTGTATCCTGGTTGTACAAAAGAATCTATTGAGAATCGTCGCGTCCCCGTTACCTGAGCTATCGTTATCAAATATAACTAGCGATATGTAATGAACAAGCAGCTTTAAATTGCTGCTATAGTGAACTGCTTGGTAAGTAGCGGAATAGTTAGTGAATCTTTGTAGAAACAGTCCCTTCGTATATTATAATGCTTTACTTACCGTGGTTTAACATGCGGCTTGCCATCACCTTCCTCGGGCTCAGGCGAAAGTTGCGAAGCCGCTCGATAACGAATACACATCATAAAAACTGTTGCTCTGAGTTTCAAAACACTTCCCCCTGAGTGAGACAGATAACCGCGTAGCAATATTATTGCATCAGATGTGACGTTCGACAGAGCACAAGAGATATCTAAAAACAATTTTTTTCTGATCCAAATAGTCAGTTTCGACCATTATTTGGTTAAAGACTCGCTTTACCAAGCCACATGTTTATTTTACGTAATTTTAGTCCTTATACAGGCTCTTGGAATTTAATTTCGAAATAGCACACGAGTACAGGATAAATCGTTCACGGTGACAACACCCCGCACACCTTGAATTTACTAAAAAGAACGTTTTTCAGTAGGTTGACCGACGCACCTATAGTATTAAAAAATGAATAAAACTCATTCAGTAGACAAATTTAGTGAGATAAATATTAATGACAAGGTTCCTAATTTAGAACGTCATTCTATCGAATGACATATCTATCGTTGTGCTATATACCAGTTAGGTTACGCCACGGTACATTCTATGATATATCTTTTTTGACCACCTACCTTAAACACGGGGGTTGTACTCTAAACCCCTAGCTGACACGTCGTTTAGTTAAACAGACTTCAATATAAGCTGTCAGGGTCGCGCCTTGTTCTGAAAATATTAATTTCTACTAAGACTAGAGGTTTACCATGACAATAGAACCCGTTCTCATTCCAATGCAAAATAATACAAACCACCCCATATACTGTACATATTCTGAGATGCATTATAATCATTTAGAGCTGGTTGTCAATAACGAGCGACTGTGCAAAAAAGCACAACAAAATATCGGCTCGGATTACGTTTTGGTTGCAGGCAGCCGAGTTTCAAAAAACTCACAATATAATCAAGTGCACGGGCTTATTTTCGTCGTTGACCGGCAAGAACGTATACTTCACGGCACTTTGTTTGCGCTTATATAGCCGTCGACGTGTATTTATCATATATTTACAGCTCAGTCGCGCCTATCCAGCGGCATGTTTTTACCGCGCGGCCGGTTTTCTCTATCACCTAGTAGGTTCAACTTCACGTCGCGCTGGCCAGACCTCGCGATCTGCCTGTGGCTGTTTCGTGTGGGACTCCACTGCTTCCACGAGCAACTGACAGATTACACTAGTTTGGGTATGCGACGCTGTTGGGGCCGTCATGCAGTATGAGGCCGCTACAATAGATCTACACAACTAGACCTACTGCTGTCACGAAACGCCCTACTGTCGTGGCAATGCTCGTCACGATCGGGGCTGTGTATTCTGCCCAATGGGGTCGACTCCTACTTTTTCACACGATGGATTCACAGATTTGTCGTCGATAGAGGTTGATAAGACGTACAGCCCTGCCTTAGGCCCTCAAGCCGGCACATTGAGTATTTACTCTACACCCTTCTGTTTGCAAGGTAAAACATTATCAGCTGACGTGCGGTTTTTTTTACGTTTGGATTCTCGGATACACATTCGGAATATAAAAGCCTTGACGGATTTTGCAAGACTGGTTCGGTATTGATCGTCTATCCTTCCCACAAAACTCGTATTGTCGCCGCCCAGCGAGAACAATTGATGCGCTGAATATGTTTGATAGCGAGCATAAGGATTGGTAAATTCGTAGCACGGCTTTACAACATCTACACATCTGGGTCTTGCGAATGAGGTGTACTGACACCGGTACAGTTTCGGCCCATTTAAAGTAACCCACAGAAGTTCGCGAAATTAACCGAAAACTTCTGAATACAGTGCTACTCTCGGCGGTTACAGAATCGAATTTATTGAGTACATTTGAATGTTTTAATGCATTTAATCGTAGCTTTTTTCAGAGTAGGCCTACAGGACACCCTCTCTTTAACTAAAGTTTTGTGTCACAAAATGGATCAAATTTGCCACATCTGTGATCGATGTTCTTTGGGTAGACTCTGCTAATCCGCACGTACTGATTCAGTATTGTATAAATAAATGGTCGTCTCTCGTTATTTGAGTACAACAAAATATGACTCATGATGCGGCTAATGTCAGTTAGAAAAAAGACGCATGTGTCAGTATCCATTTTGGCACAATTGCATATCAAGCATCTGCATTCAAAATCTTTGGAAACGATTATATGCATAGAGCTAAGAAAGGATAATTTAATTATCGTGTAAATTCGTTTACAGGAACACCGTAAGCTTTGACGTGGATCAATCAATACTTAAATAAACAAGTACTTCAATAAAATAAAAAAAAATAAAATTTCGGGGGTCTATTGTGATCTGAAATATTGGCTCTCCACCACGGAAAGGATCTTCAGAATACTAGGTGTGATCAAATTTTTTATTTTACTTGGTGTTAGGTAAGTGAAAATACTGCATCAAGCGAAATTGTCTGTAATCATGTCATCATCACTATGAAATCGCAGTTAAAATAGATTCATCGTATTCGCTTTCATTTTTTTCCTTGCAACTTGTACCTAGATTGGTATCTTATAGTAGCCACTCGTAGCACTATTGGTATCTGTTTTCGTCCTTGAAAAAGGTAGACAAAAGCAGCACGAAACGCCCAACTTTTAAAATATGCTTTCGAATCTGATGTTGGGAAAAGTTGACATTTGTTCATTATTTTGTTCCGAGATATTAAGGCCCTGTGCATGCGTGGACGTCAATGACACTCTCATACCGTTCTAGATTACAATTTCCGTAAAATCTCACAGAGTAGTGCCATAAAAAAAATGGATGAGCAGTTGAGAATAATTCCTGTTGAATAATACAGTCTATGTTGATATATGTTAACGGCGTGGTCAGAGTTGATCGTGAAATGCAGCGTGTTTGATCGAGCTATTATATCGATCATTTGAGTCCGAAATACAAAGATTGAATTTCAGCTGGTAAGTGCTCCTCGTTCTGCATTGGTTTCGTAGTTCTACGTAGTGGCTGCGACCGACATCTTCAAAATGGCCTCTCGCATGAAGAGACGGTCACACTAAAGGTCTTTTAAATTTTTGAGAAATTGGCATGAGCGTACATGAATGGAATTTTCACACAACAATTTACGAGTTTCTATAATTTACTAGATACATTAGCATCTAACGCCACCTACAATTATCACTATATAGGACGAATGACTTGCAGGTGACACCATGGACAGGAAAAGCTTGTTCGCATGACGAATACACTAACGCAGATTCACCTACAATTTGAAGTCGTCGAACACCTCAAGTAAAAAAGGGGCCAAGCTGCTTGAAGTTCCATCTGGCGGCGTAAGCTTTGAGTTGATGACAGCTCTCCTCATCTCCGCGTTCCCTTCATCGTTTTCAGATAACAGCGCATATCGAACATTGGCAGACCGCTTATTTTTCGTCGCGCTCATTCGCAAACGTGCACAATGTGAACCGTGATCAGCGTCTGCGCAATATGAGACGTGATCGAAATGATCCCTTTGCAGCTAAAGCGTGTAGGATTGATTTTGTGGATAAGTAAAGAAACTTCTTAAGTCGAAAAAAGTTTTTCAAAACATCTAGTAGGTCGTGATAATATTGCCGTCTGTTCTGACAATAAATTGATTATCGGGCTAGAAACCGTGTAAAAAACATATAAATCTTAAACGGGTTTTATTTTAACCAAAGTTTTAATAATAAGTCGATAAATATAAAGTTGAAACTCATTTGGGATGCTCGGAACAATAAAGAAAAATTTGTAAGGCATAGGAAAAAAAATAAAAAAAATTTCTTTTATTTCTTAAGCCAACTATAGTAGCAGTGTCAGCATATTCAACGACGGCTATGGCGCGCTTAAGTCACAACTTTTACCTGTTCCTGAATGGTCTATGTCTATCACTCAATAAACGCAATAATGAGACAAATCCAATTAGCCCATGTACAAACTTACGATATTTTACATTTATTAGTGTACAACATATATATATACAATGGTACAATTTGCGTTTGTAAGCAACGCATTCTTTCAGAAATTCATGATGTACATATAATTTTTTAACAGGTTTAAAGCAGGTTGCCGGAACTGTGAATATTTGCTTGCCATCTAACACTTTGTTTAATGAAAAAAAATAATAATAAATAATCCAGATGAGGTAAGCAGGCTCATTGCAGCAATAAAAATCAGCCAAAACCTATTTTGCCTTTCAGGCCACATGAAAGCTTGTAGGAACTTAGTTGTTAAAGTTTTTCCATATATCATTAAATGCGTCTGGGTTGTTATATTCGTAATACATCACTGGTTCGTTGAAATCTCCACTTTTGCTTATGGCGCCGTTTACTAATATTATATTAGCATATACATGTAGATAACGTTCCCGCGACCGTTGTTTACATCTGTCCACATTGTGAAATAACAACAGGAATCTTGGGTTTGTTGTTAGCACCAGTGGGTACGTTTTCAATTTTCCGCATTACTAACAAACCGTCGAGGACTCGTCCTATAAAAGGATCACAAATAACTTTCCATCAGTGATTAATGGTTAGGTAAACGTACGCAAATAAAAAAAGTCCTGCAATTCTTTTGTCTGTTTATTTATATATTAAATTTACTTGATTTTGTCTATACGAAGTATGTAAGTAATATCCACGGTATCTAAGAGTCTGCTGTGAGCATGCGTAAGCACCGTGTCCTACGTATAAAGTATATACATTAGCCCTCAGCAACGGAAAAACATTGTTCACAGCATAATAACTTACTATTTAAGCCAATATCTTACCAAATACAACGTGTTTGCCGTCTAGAAAATCGCATTTAGCACAGGTAATGAAAAACTGACAACCGTTTGTGTCCTTGCCGCTATTGGCCTGTAAAGGTTAATTAAATTAGTTAGAGACACATAGGGCAGCACTTGGTTACAACACCGAATACAAAACTCAAAGCGTCCGCTCAAAATGTTCCACAGCAATCGATACATGTAAGTTCAGTTTATACTCAGCTACCCTCACCCGCGCAGAAGGTCTATTATCAAATGACTTCTAATATATCAACTAATGGCTCTGGAGTTACTCCAGCCTAAAGAAGCCGAACGTTCTGCTTTTTTACAGAAAGGTGTCACCTATAAACTGTCAGAAACAAGAATATGACCACCAGCAATGTTAGATTAGACTATAATAAACCGTGTCAGCTTGTGAAAATGTGTTTTCTCGCCAGGAACGGATCGTTTCATTACACACCACCAAAGAACAATAAGGTACACTCACCATGGATAGAAGGCCAGCTGCATCGTGTTTTAAGGCAAACTTTTCATCGGCGAATTTCAGACCGCCATAGATGCTCATCAAACCCGTTCCGTCGTTCTACAAACAAAACCGAAAACAAGCCTTACTCGACCTTGATAATAGCAACATATATAGCACTTGCATCTTGATTAAAATAACAAAATATTCGACGCGAGTTTTCTTAAAGCAGACCTGGGTTAACTGAATGAATATGGGCTAAAGACAACAGCTAGAGACAAAATAAGCCAAGCCAAAATCAACACACTCTACAAAAGTGAAGAACCAAGACGAAGCGTCCATTAAGACAATTCTAATACTGGCAATCATACGTACATTAACAAAGTCGCCGCCCTGGATCATAAAATCTTTGATAACGCGATGAAAGGAGCAACCTTTATAGCCTTGCGGAACTCCGTCTCGTCGATATTCACCAGTGCAAAATTGACGAAAATTTTCAGCCGTTTTTGGAACCACATCCGCAAACAACTCGATAACCATTCGGCCAACTTCCTGAAATTGATTAAAACAGAGGTAATATATAAAAGACCATCGTCAACCTACAAGTAGATAATTGAACCTACTTGTGGAGTGCACGTGGCAATGCGTATGAAGTATTTACACAGTGAATCGTATATACCAACCGTTGTGCCGATAGTGATGTCGAAGAAAACCACTGGGTTATTGGGGTCGCGCAGTTGGGCCTGTATTTGAGTCCAACTCACCATCTAAAAAATCAAATATGTTTTACGTGTAGGAAAACTTCCGCACCATTTTGTAATAATACATATTGTAGAACATATATCTAACATCAAGCATAGGACTTGTTCAATATCCCATTGAGCTAATTAGAACTACAATCGGAATTGCGCACTCAAGTCATATACTGTAGTCTGCATGCACGCCATAAAGAGAGTATCACAGAATTATCGACAAAACATATTTGCATAGACTAATCACATCTATTGAACATTAGACTCTCTTTAATGTAATCAAAACATGTCGTAATTATTAACCGCTTTAGTATTGTGTTGATACAGTTAGTGCCCCAGCTTGAATAATCTGAGGATCCTAGCTTTACTTGACTAGCTCTAACCTGCTGCAAACAATAAACATCTATAATTCTTAGACAAGAAAGAACCACGCTATTACAAGCAGATCGGTGCAAGCAAAAAATGATTTATAAACTCGATTTTTTCAACTCAAGGCAAAGATAACAAAAAATGTAATGTTACAGAGTTAAACAGCACATGAAGAACAATGGGGCAAGAGCAAAATAAATATAGGTAACACACTCTATTCAATCTTGTTAGGTGTCTTCCTAAATCCCTGATTAAAAAATAAATTTAGATACTAGAGATAATTTATTTGATGAAAGTAAATAATTTGCATTCGTTTTCAGGGATGTATGCGTATAACCACTATCTAGCACTACGTAACTTTTTAAACGTACCTTGCCCTGTAGTTCGAGGTGGAATCGCAGAAAACAATTTACACACAACCCTCGAGTCGCGCTCCGCACTACCGGTTCACAGCGGGTGAAACACATAGATGGCGCCATGTTGTTTTCATTTGTTTAAAAATACTGCGCCACATTGAATAGTGCATGCAAAAAAAAGATTTAAAATCTCCGCGCAGAGCTAGTAAATAGTTGACTAATGTCTTACAAACAGCTTAATAATAAAAAATAAAGTCATTAAATTATAAGTCAGAAGCCCAGATATGTCCCGCTTGGATACTCCTGTATAGAATTCGGATATACGCGCCAAAATGACGTCACCGCGAATGCTGAATCTTAAGAGATATAAACCTACATGGTTTTCACTTTGACGATTCTTTTAAAATTGTATTACGCGATTGTTTTTTGTGAACCAGTTACCTGTTTAGTTTGCATAGGTGTGAATGGTGATATATCTAGATTAGGAACATGACCGAAAGCGCGATTAGGAAGGAAGTTGCTGACTTAGATGGTAAACTATGCAATGTTGCTTCGCTCGCTGCTACCCTAAAATTAGCAGCCAATGAGGTCAAAAAACACTTTCCTGTTAATAATACGGATCAAGTTGTGACAGGCGAGCGTAGAAATGGTTTTGCGGTTGTACTTATTAGTGGTGGCAGCATGAGTAAGACAGCTTTTGTGGACACGGTCTGGTCCTCGCATGCTTATCAAAGCCGTATAGTTTGTGATGTCAAAAAAAAAAATTCTACCTACATTGAACTACTTGCGACAAGGCCGTCACCGGTTATCCAATCAGTAGACCTTATTAGAGACCGGCTAGTGAGGACTAAGGGGGATGATCAAATCCTAAAGGATAAAGCGCCCGCACAGTTTTTTACCGAGAAGAAACAAGAGGTCAAGCAGGGAAAGAAGTGCCCAATTTCGCAAATGTTCATCAAGATTCCAACCGATAATGGCGCAAAGGACGAGCCCAAAGAGGGGCTTGGCCAGGTGAAGAACGGACAAGAAGGAAGTACAGAAAAAGAGAGTGTTAACGGGATTAAAAAAGAGAAAAAAACATCCGTCGAAACTGCGGAGTCCTGTTCAAAAATTAAATCTAATGATGAGCAGCGAAAACTGTCAACCAAGTCCAATCAAAGCCAGCCACAGTCAGGACATAATAATTTTATCGACGTGAATATGACGGAAGATGACAATAGCGAAGATATAACCACAAAAATAAATAAAAAATTATCGCCGAAGGATATGCGAGCCTCAGAGAAACGTAAAAATAGTTCTCCCAACGTTAGTGACCAAAACGATGACATCGATTATGAGGTTACGGTATCCAGGGGTAAGAAAAAGAAAAGGCGTGTGGCCATCGAAAGTGACAGCGGGGAAGAAAGTGAGCCATCCCTCGAACCTCAGGCAAAGGCTAAAGAGACGAAACAGACTTTATATAAAAATACAAACGAGCAAAAATCGAAAATAACACTAAAAAAAAGTAGGGAATTATTAACTGGGATTGCTGACGTTGACGAAAGAAACCATAAAGATGTTTTGGGTAAGTTTAAGGAAAATCTACTTGAAAGTAAACAACGACACGATAAAAAACGCCGTCGGGTACTCAAGGAATTTACTCACACTTTCGAGGATGAAGAGGGCTACTTGCAGGTAAAGACTACCAAAGAGATTGTAAGCGAAACCGACAGTGAGCCAGAGGAGAAAAGCACTGATAAGCTCAAGTCAGCCATCAAGCCAGTTTTGATCCCTAAGGGCCAATCATCAATATTTGCATTTTTTAAAAAGCAGTAAAATTATTAGGCGCGCTGCCAGAAATATACAGATACACATATTCTCGCAATAAGACGTGATACAATGTTGCGTTGAATAGTGTGTTATCAAAAAATTGCTGATTGTTTACTTAGGTTATAAAGTGTATCTGTCAATACGGCACGATCATTTGCTGTGGAATGGGACATGTTTTTATTTATTTTGCTTTTCAAATTAATATATGCATTAAATATCTCCAAGAACGAGAAATCATTAACAAGGGTATTTTTCACCGATCAATCGTTCTATTGCCTAAATAATGCGAATCATGAATAAATTGTAAATAAGGATTTAAGTAATAGTCTGATTTTTATAGTATTTATGCCGCTTTCATACACAGTGCTCTCATTAGATATCTATTTGTTTCTTGCTCGAGTTCATTTTTCTAATTTATGACAGTTAAGGTCAGTAACAGTTTTGGGCAAATTGCAAACAAAACAAGCATATGTTGTGCCAATTACGAAACCCACTTTGTCGAGGCAATAGAGATTTTACAACATAGGTAACTTTAACTACTGGTTTGTCTTGCTGAACCTAAAATTTGTGTCGCCTACCTTGCAATTACAATAGATGATCCGTGGAGCTATTTAGATTCATTTTCTTCAGTTGAAAATACATGCATAAAGACTTCACAGCAGTAACCCAAACTGGTCTTACAAATATAGGATAAACTTGAAAATAAACAAATAACGTTTCTTGCACCCCACTTGATGTTCAAGGAAATGAACCTATATCAGATGATTTCTAATTTTAAATAAAATACCATCACTTTGTAGTTTCATATAATTTCGAAATTTTACGGCCAGTTTTTTAATACTAAAACGGAATAATACTAATACGGAAAAAAATGCGTTTGTAACTTACATCATTCACTTTGTGTACTTAACGATTACCACGAGAGCCATTGTCGTAAATACAGTGGATTATCATTACGGAAATTTATCGATTCGATCAGTGTTGAAGCTATGCTGAGCGCGTTACAGCTTGGTGGCAACATTGTAGGACAGACAAAATTGTGTCTGATTCGATGGAAGCCATCACATGCGTGAACGGAACGGGGTGCCTCGAACTTGATGACAGTAAGTCGATGAAATGGACTGAGATGAAATGTTGGATTACCTATAATTTGCCAAATGATCAAGTAGTACGAAGAGTTAGCAGGTACCTTAGGGAGATCGTGCTGGTGTGGTGTGATTGCAAGGTGATGAAAACCTGTACGTTAAAGTTTTTACGAAGCTTATCCAAACATTTCTGACCATTTGTGAAGTAAAGGTATGGTATTCAATAGAGAGGGTAATACGGTCTCAAACTCAGAAACACCAGTGGTTATACGCTATTAAAGGTAGGCTGCTCTTATAACCCGTAGAACCAGCTATTAAGCACTACATGAAAACAAGAAATTGATTCTACCAAAGACAAGCTCTCCAAGTTCGAGGATACCTAGACGATCTTGTCCGAGGTGCTCAGATCCGCCCAAAAAAGATATCGCCGATCACCTTCGCAGCAACATTTTGGGGGAATCCTATGCAACTGAAACTTCCACAACGGCTGAGACCATTGATCTGACTTACGTCAAGGTACCAGTCACCAAGGCACGCGGTCAAAGGAGTCGCTTTCACGCTGAGACCGCGGTACAATATTGCAGCAGCGACATGTAAGGAAGGGCATGTCGCTCGGTAACATTGGCCGAGTGAAACATTCTATATAATTATTTGCTATTACAATAAATATTAATGTATTTAGAAAGCATCGTAGAGCTTGGCAAAATCAGTTCTGCCCCATTAAAATCGAGATTAGCCTGATGTATTGGAAAGTATTAACGGTCTTCCAAGCTAATCATATATCTGGATTAAAATGCATTGTGTCGGAACAGCAGATGTACTGCCGTGTGCTCGTTATCGGAAGGCCTTCATTTGGGAATGCCTGCTTTAAAAAAGGTTGCTTAAATTACGCCTAGAAATTACGATTAAAACGGCTTAAACTACGAGAAAGTAGAACTGACATCGCCCAGAAACTAAACATACACCACTAAACAATTTAACCCATTTGAAAAAAGTTGGCTACAAAAATTTCGATGTTTGGGCATGAGATAAATTAATGCAGGAGTGACGAGTTAATGACATATTTTCTACAATCTATGGCAAAGCTCAGACACGTGAAAAATGCTACGTTTGGTGGTATTGGAAAGAAATCTTGCATTGCGAGTTTCTGCTGTATAGGAAAACGATTGATTCGGATCTCTACTCTCAACATCTAACATAAGTTCAAGCCACTGAGAAAAATTGACAGGAACTAGTAAACAAAAAAGCGTCTGCTTCCACAATGACGTATACATCTTTAGCTACCTAGCGCAAAATGAAAGAACTTTTTGCATGATTGACAGGAGTTAATACAAAATTTTACAGTCTGAATGCATCTGCTATATAGCCTGTATCGTGCACTATTCGATTATCCTGTTTCGATTTCTGCAGAACTCCCTTAGTAATTTTCATTTAGTTCCAGTAAAAAGACGCATACAGTATGTCACAATTGTTTGTCCAGGAACCAGTGATCAATCTATGTTATTACTACAAAAATGGCGAGTATTTATATATATTTTATTTATATATGTAAAATATATCACATATTGATATATGTGTGTAAGGTATGTATGTGTTAATACGGCATTACACCTTTAGTAACTACGATTGACGCGTTTCCTGATATCTTACTTTTAAATGCACCAGTTGCCACTCTTTCGGTGGGTGATTTGCTAAAATTGTAGACGCGTAAAGTAAGTGTTAGTTATGCGAAGTAAGAGGAAAAACGCCCCCTTTAGAGGACAACTGCTACGCAAAGTACATTTTATGATATCTTAGTACCCAAAAAGCCACGATATACCCTGTGGTGTGGAGTATTTTAATAAGGCTATATACGTATCGTGGTATCTTGTCCGCGAGAGATTGCCACACACCTAATTAGTTTCAGTATCTATTATGTAACATTAGGAGTATATCATAAATCATAAACCCTTTATTTTCTCGCAGTATTTAAAATAATGTGTTCACCACTGTTCACAATGGCGCGACAGACTCGCCCAAAAAAGTTGACAAACTCCGCAGTATAGAAACAGCTACTTAATCGATAGAGTGAATGGGGAATCCAACTTCGTCTACGTTAACCTGTGCATGTCCATAAACGTACGGTTTGCATACTGTTTCGCGCGGATCGAGCAAGGGATATTCAACTATCGATGCCGTAATGACTAACAGATGCACTAAACGAAATCAGTTTAAAGTGTGAAGATTGAGAGCTGTCAGAACTGTCAGTGACTCTTTATAATCATTAGAGCATTGATGTTTAGCCTTTCTAAGAAAATCTGGATAGTGTATATGACAGTTAATACGATCTTCAAATTAAAAGGTTTTCATTACGCTGAATCTAGTGCCATTTATTACAAAATTATCCATTACGGCAGTAGCGGACCGTTTTTCTTACAAAATTTCTGCTGGGAAGACTATGATGGTCCTGCATTGGCGTTCGGCAAGCTTGTTCTAAAAAGTTTCAAGCGATTTGTCATTCCCATTGCATCCTTTGGCCACGTAGACTACCTTCAATACATCCTTTCCAAGGATTTTCCTTGTTCTCGTATACGCATTCGCGGACCACCTATTACTGACCAAACTCTTGTGTGTGTGCAAAGATAGGGCTTCTTCATTTCCTTCTTCCAGGTTCAGAATCAGTTCCTGTAAAGTTTCTTTTTCGTCATTTCGCAGTACTAATTCTAGGAAATTGTTTTGTGTGGGTTTCTGCTGCTCTTCTATTTTCCTCTTTTAGGCGCTGGATTCGTTCCGTTTGTTAGGGCGAACGATACTATTTCAGCTTTTTCTACTGTTTTTATTAGTTTTCCCCTGAGCACCTAGAACTTGTATCATAGCTAGGTTGTAAGTCCTCAAGATCGTCTTGTAGAGGTTTGTTCGGGTCATAGAAAGTCTTGTTAGGTCAGTGCCGCGGCTTCTGTTTTTTGAACTCATTTCATGTTAGTAGTTTGTTAAGTCATTGTCGATTTTTTTTTACCTAGAAGAGCCGTACGTGCTTGACACATCTTTGTTTGCCACCTTAACTAGATAGTAACAGATGCGCCCCTGTTCTTCACTCCTTCATTTTTTTTCGTCTTGCACTTTTTCAGTTGCCACGTAACTTTATATCAAGACTCAACGTACTTTTTCTTTTTACTGATTTTCTCTGCCAAATCGGCCACACACATGATATGCCCCGGGATTATATTTTCGTGGCCTCAATCTTTGGCTGTGTTCATAGAGCGATTACCAACGAATTACTGCTGGTCTTCTAAAAAATAGCTTTCAAACTTGTGTGAGTTGACCGCGTTCTTATCGGCCACTACTTGCGCCGCTCGAACACACATCGCACTATTGACCTCTGTAACTGTCTTTCAGCTGGGATTTATCCTTATAGAACATCGTGTCTTTCTTCTCGTACGCCTGCGCCGATTCTCCATATTTTCGTGGACTCCGAAGGTCACGCTGTAAGCATGATCTGTCATTATCAAATAATCTCGCTATCAAAGATTTTATTCTAAAACGATAAATGAGCTAACTGTAAGCCGAGCACCGTCTATACACTGGTCACCTGTCAGAAAATTATATAGTCATTCCTATGTCCATTACCATTATTATGCACTTGACTAACAAGAGTTTCCTTGTACGTTAACCCGCGTCACAGTTATGCATATCTGTCTACTAAACCCCTATTGTATAAAACTTTCTATCTTTAGATATCTATGGGTACATAACACTTACTTAACAAACTTTATTCGTTCCAACAAACTTTATTCGCTTACAATTCACAGATGACTCCTCTAAATAGCACTCAAGATTTCACTCTCTCTTCAAAAGCTTATCCATATGAAAACATTTTTTAACACACTGTATGTAATGATATACTACAAAAACCAACCTTCATGTATACTTGAAAATATTTCACCACAAGAAATCCTGATCATTTTCTGTAATATGTGAAAAAAAAATGTGTCGTTACTAATCTTGCAATAAAGGCTATTCATCTAGGCTTCAAAAGCGAAAGTTAGGGAATGAGGTGCATTAGTTTGTACTATTTATATTATGAATTTCAAGGGAGAGTGCGGCAATGGGAAAGTGCCTACCCAATTCTAGCTGAGTCCCGTTGAGCCGTTTTTTAGTGTTGTAATAGTACCCCAGTGGCGAATAGAACCCCACATCTGAATTCTCGAAGCAACCAAGTCTTGAACAAAATGCTCTGTAACGGCAATATACGTATGTCACTATCACACAATTTTTTTTGGGAATGTGCCGGCTTAGAAGAAATTATCCTGCGCAACACATACACACACTGTCGTGTCTCGATTGCTGCCTAGCCTGTAGCAAGCCTTCTAGTAAGTACCTCAACTTATATAGTACACAAGCTCAAAACACATCAGCAAAACTTCGTAGAGTATTCCTATATACTAGGCTGGCCCAAGCGAATACGGCGGAAGTTGCAATTTCATGATTTTTTTAACTAAATTCAGCTGATAAATACTTCAGTATTTTAGAAACTTGGGGTAAAAACCGGTTGACTTTATTTCAACACAAATGAGTTCTGAAAGAAAAACATTTTTTAGTCTCGCAAATTAATGCTCAGTGGTCAAGTTTTTCTTCCTTTAAGAACACAGCGCTGCAGAAATTTGTTGAAGACCGGCGAAGACATTAGGCAAGCAGACTTTAAACGAAAGCATAGCGCGTAAATGGTACAAACGTTTCAAGAACGGATACTAGAGTGTTGAAGCGTAGCGAGGATACGACCAGATGTCAGGATTCGAAAGGCAATAACGCATTGCAGCAATCGTACAGGCTTTTCATCAAGGCAGAAAAGTTCTGTTGGCCAAAACTGGCATTTCACATGCAACGTATTCCAGGATTATAACCTATCCAACGTTGATTTCAACCCACTTATTCATCCGATATAAATCCATACGGTTTCGGTACTTTCCATGCCACTACCGAATTATTTCAAGAAGCTATAAATAGAAAAAATAGCATATACGGCCATGCGGAATATATGGTTATCCAGGAGGTGCCGGAACGCTGACATAAGTATGTAAAAACAATGAAGACTGCTTCTAACATATACCTAAAATCATCATTGTAGCTTAACTAGTACAAAGGTCCTTCAATTTTAAAGTTTCTCTAATGGTGCAGAATATTAATTTTTGAAATTTTCGCGCTGCACCTGCACAACATACAATCGTTGTTTTTTCAATAGCAAATCTGAACTGACTTATTACGCACCTGGCTTCATCGGAATTTCGAGCTTTGTTGAGACTATTAAGGAGATCATTGAAAACATATGGAGAGCAGAATGGCGCTGACAATCTCTGTTGTCCCCGGCGGATTCTGGCGAGCGCTTGCCGGGTGCCAGCGCCACACTGCCATACACAGTACCTAGAATCAGAAAAAACATTACTAACCAAAGATAACCTTAAATATTCAAATTTTTCGTTAGATATCCTAAACCTACTTATCAATATAAACCAGAATTTGTCTTGCAGTTTTCGAAACTATAATGGGTTATCTCATAAGTTTGCTTCAAGTTTATACGTTATTTATTTTAAAAATGATTTTTCGTCAATCAACGGCAACATACAATGAACGATATTCTGCCCGTTATTAGCGATGACCTTCGCCCATTTTTCAGTTACCTTTTCCTGATTTCCTTTTTTCAGAAGTTGATATTACCGGTGAAATGGTCAATATGGTTTTTCCACCTACTAAAGATTCCAAATTCTTTCCATTAAGCAAGTCCTACAAACTGGGATCGGAATACGTAATCGAAAGCAGCAAGGTCGGGATCATAAGGTGGTTGAGGCAAAACATTTCACTTATACGGGTTACTAGAGATATGTTCGATTTGACGTTCTCATGATAGTTCAGTAGGAAGTGACCTAGATTCAAACCCAAATCTAAACATACTGTGTTCTGTGCTAGAAGCCGAACAGTGGTGCGGGGCATACAACTCGAAAGATTTAGTTTAGACTTGGATCGTTTCCGACTCACCATAGCTAGCGCATTTCGTGAATGCTCTGCTTCAAACAGTCAAGCTGTTGACAATAGTTTATTAGGTTTGGTTGTTTGCAAGATGCTCACAAAGAAGTTCTCCACTGCAATTCCAGCAACTGCAGAGCATTACCTTCTTCGGATGGGATTAGACTTTGGCTTTTTTTTGAAAGGCACTACGCTTTAATCACAATCTGCCCTAAATGACGTTACTTATACACTTTTCACCGTTTGTCACCATCTTTCCAAGAAAATGTTGCCCTCGTTAAATATCAGGATCAGCTGTGCAAACGATTCATTAACTGGTGATCGGTCAACTTGTGAGGAACCCATATGTTTTCTTAACTGACGTCGTTGTTGCTTGCTAGATGTCTTTGAATCGTAAATTTGAATGTTGTGTTTTCTGCGATATGGCGAAAAGTAATGTGTCAGTGTTGACGGAATACAGTAAGGATTTCAACGTCCTCACAGTCAGAAGGTCGGCCTGTATATGCTTTAACACGCTGCTTAAATCACTACTTTGAAGAAGAGTAAACGATGAAATCGGCTAGGGTACTGGGTTAACGTAGATTACGAATTTCCTTCTTTTCACAGACAAAGCTTCAAATTAAAACTTTTTATATCTCAAATTTTGGTTTATGTTAAACGTGCAATCCAATCGAACATGGTGCCAAAAGAGCTGGAAGACAGCTGTACGAACGTAGTGAACAACCGCTCGCCTTCCCTCGCTTGCCTTTGTGGCACCAAAGTGTAAACCGCTCCAATGTGCAAAACGGAAGTTATGAAGCGACTCTGTCGCGTTAAAGAAAAGTGAGTGTCTATGAGTTCTCGTTCCTGTTAGCCAACAACAGGGCAAAGCCAGCTGGACGCCTTAAGAAATATAACAATATATCTGGATTACATTATTATTAATATGTATGTAAATGTAAGAAATAAAATATAAATAAATAATCCAGATATATTATTTTTTGTATATATATATTTGTATATGTTTGACGTACCGATCGAATTTTTGACAGCGGTACTGATGTTGCTTCTCGTTGCGGTATTTTCTTCTCAGGTGTCCTCCGCGATGTGTCAACCATGTATCTTGAAGTTTTACTGCAAAAATAAACCATAAACGTCCAAAGCCATTGTTATAAAACAAGTAAAGCCACTGTTCCCCAATTAGTGCTAGTTATTTTATTTTTATAATGGTAGTAATAAAATAGCGTATTCGTCAGTCGGCAGTGTTGTATAACCTGGAGATCTATGAAACAATTCGTTTTTACAGACCTTCCTAATCTACGCGTACCATTTTTCGAATAGTAGTGCCGCAGTAGTTTCTCAGTCTCCTTCAATGGTAACCCAATGTTCATCAAATAGACAATGAGGTAGGTACGGTCAATATTGCTTAATTTGTTGTTCCTCTCAAGACCATCTAGCAACATATCTGAAACGTAATAAGTGTGTAACAAATATTCAAAATTGAAAATGTATGTATCCTCGGATAGAAAAAGCTAACACCCATCTTTCTGTTAACCTCCAAGTATTAACAAAAGCAAAAAATTATATTGGCATACTAAAAGTATTACTAAAAACAGCAGCAATGAGAAAACAATTTTCACTATCTGCGCTTTTAGGAATTAGTCAGAAAATCAACATCTCTCATTTATCCTAACCACGGTCCTCTATTGTAAAAAGGTTCGTGTCTTTTTAGAAAGTCTTAAACCGATGGATGTGACAAGCACAAATGGGCCTAGTTCCTTTCTGTTGACGACTAATCTAACGTTTTCTTTTGTTTGGGCTTAACTTGTTACCACCTCCCGCATAAAATATACTTTAAGAATAAATTTAGCCTTCACACCCTAACGTAACTGTAATGTCGAAGAACTCACAAATGCATGGTGGGAGTAACGGTTTTTCCCGCTGGAGTTGTAGTACCGACGCAATTTCATGTTGGTCCTTAGTCGAAGCAATGGTCTTATGATGTAATTGTTGATGATTCGTGTGGGGAAAATACAGTTAAAATTGCAGGTGATATGGATGGCTTTATAATGTCGCGTATATGGAATTATATAGGACTTGTAAATAAATTAAAATAAAGAATAATTATTGGTTCCAGTAACATTAGGTGCTGGCGTACCTTGAAAATGCGGTGTTGAGTAAACTTCAATGAAGCATTCAAAGCTTTGGTGACGCCTATTTCGGATGATACTTTGCTATCCTAGAAAGAAGAATAAAATCGCCTGAGCAAGACTTCAATAAAAACGTAACATTAAGCATATACTATTAGACCACTTTGTATTCTGCCAGTATTTTGTACATGAAACAACCAGTTAATTTTACACAAGAATAACGCTTCTTAAGCTTGTCGTCATAAAGAGGAATAAACAAACAAAACATGTTTGTGTAGCACGTAATATACCGAACAATTCTTGTGCCAACACTAAAGCTTCCCCACAATTTTCAAAAAGCAAAAAAATAGGCCTGGGGACACTCGCAAATTAAAAATTTATATTTACTGTTACTTTGTGTAACTAACATTGAGAACACAGGTTAAATCAATTAACTACCCATACAGTTCACATGAATGCAGCATCGTATAAAAAAAGCCACGAACTTTTCTTAGACGTCAATTTTGCGATACCGTTCCGCCACAGTAGCGTTGGCGCACTAACGAAGCAAAACAAGCAAAATGCTAGTTGTTTTTATCATCTGTACCTTCTTCTTACCTGCAATGCTCTTGCGAGGACAATTAGTAGTTGATGTAGCTGCTCCTTTATGACAAGCAAAACGTTGGCGCCAGAAATTGTAACCTAAAATATTTCCGGAAAAACGGTCTCTGTTAATAAAAGAAGGACTACAAAACACAAGGTGTTTAACTTGTGTTAATAGGAATTAAAACTTCTCAGCTGAATTACAGATTGAATACTGCTTATCATAAGATTTCGATAGGGCTTATCGTTTTTTGAATTGCACAAATACAGCAAAGCACACCAAAAAAGTGATCCTTTTAAGTTATTAAGCTCTTTTAGCAGAATTGTCCTAACAATGACCATATTATTAGAGAAAGCATAATATCCGTTTCTATAGTATACTTTTGAATCGCTTAACTTTGATATCTGAGCGTTGTAGCAATCGTAATGGGTGAGGCTTTCTCTACTGATCGTTTACTCTTATCTCATAGTGTTTCTCTTCCATGGAAACTTGAAAACATTAGAAGAACCATTAAGTCCACTGTACCATGCCGTTTCGTAACGTTAGTTCTCCAGTTCGCTTCTCTTCCTTTAGCAGTTCTGGACATGTAGAAAAGTAGAGTTCGAATATTTGTTCGTCAGGCTTCCATGCCTTATTTTCTGTTAAGGTCTTCGTCAGCTCTGCGATTGCAATAAGCTGTAACCGCTCCAGTACCGTGAGATTCAACTTTAAAATTTTCTGAAATGGTTATTAATTTGAACGTGCGCTTTAAAATATGACTAATAGGCTTCCGTGTAGTTCAGAGAAAAGCGGATTCATGTAAGAGACAATTTGCTGAGTCGTGTTATTTATCGGTCGCTATGGTCATTTTCTATTTTCACCTGGCTTTCGTTGATATGTAGGCGTATGCGATATTAAGAACAAAATCTTGTGAAAGCAGTATCAAAGACATTTGAATTATACTATTAATTCTGTTATAAAATGTATTTTTCCCTTGAAGCGGGTCAGCCTAAGTTATACGGTCAAATTCCTACCCGCGCGGTGAGGCTCATCCAGGTCAAAGTTACCGGGAAAGCTGCCTGTCTTCTGTTGCAAACAAAATTCTCCAAAATAATTGAGAGCAGAACGCACTCTTGCTTCACAATTCGCTCCAATGTAGGGCCTGTAAATAAAAAAGCCTGTAAAAGAAGTACTTTAATTCGATTAACATCATTCTTATAGCCTGTGGTATACATTTACTTTACCAGCGAAAAAATCGTAAATATGGATGGTGGCCGAACTCGGTTATTCATTTCGTGCTACCAAGAAAGCCAAACGAACTCTTCTAGAAGCAAGAGTATCAATCAATTGTGATTGTATGTAGAACAATTCATTTCACCAGGACTTTCTGTGCCGACCTAGTTTTTTATTAAGGCGACGCAAGGGAGGTTCTATCGCCATCTTCTTCGACTACATAGGTCTAAGTGACTAATGTTCAAAAATTTTATCGTTATTGACATGCAGCTGTAAAACTCGCCCATTATAATAGCGCGTGGTTACATTATCTGTGTAGCTAAAATTTAATAATAATGATTAGAAAAGTTAATAATATCATATATAAATAGAATAATAGAATTTTAGAAGCAAAGATTGTTTTAATGTTCAACATTTTCTGTCAAATTTGAATACTGGTTTCGTCATTGGCGCGATCGATCCTAATGATCCTAGAAATTAAAACGATTATGCCAAACGAGCTTAAAGGATAGCTCCCCCCAGTTTAATAAGTACTATAGATGCCCTCGTTGATATTATTTGCAAGCTTGGACATCATTAATTCCGCGTTTAAAAAAAGTTTTATGCATAACATTTATCGCTGTCGTTAGCGTAAAGCACAGCAGTCGCATTAGTATTATTTGTTATGAAAAGCTAATTGACGGTGAAGCCTTTCAAGCAATAGCTTGTGCTAGATCAGATAGTTGTCCAATTTTTCTAAATACTGGACCCTCTGCTTTAAGACGAAATCAAACGAGAACTAAATGAACACTTCATACCTCTGAAAACAGACGTTATCAAATAGTATGCGTAGATGTTCAGCCGATGTGGATGGTCATTGAGTATAGCACGCACTAGCGGTGCCATTTTCTGGAGGAGTCGTCCGATTTTTGCTGCCCGGGTGCCGACTCGAGCGCTAGCAGTTTCTTGCTGATGAATTTGTCAAAGAACAGTTAGAATCGATTGAAACGTATTAGCTAAGAATGAGCGGTTATTTTAGTGGCCAATAGCTCTAATATGGTAGTAAGCTATAGCCTAATGGTATTATGTGAAATCAATATTTTATTGAAAAGGGGCTAGGACATAGCCAGATACATATTATAGAACCTAACAGCAAATACCGCTGAAGACGCCAAGACCGTAACTACAGCGAGGGCTTCATGAACTAGGTTATACACGGCACATTGGTTGAATGAGAATATTTCCAAAGTTACATCGTTCAACCAGAATGATAAGATCACTTGAGATACGACTGACAGAGACCGCCAAATACCTCCCTTGTAATAGCTAAATGAACTGCGGAAAGAAAAATAAAGCTAACTAAAAGTGATCACATGACAATCAGTGTCTAGAATGATTTGTTCATCATTATGTAGCATTTATCTTAGAGTAGACTTCGTCGCTAGATCTGTATTCGTCACTCTCACCTGTGCACTCTCCGGTTTTCTTACAATGGGTAGCCTACCATACTCCACCATGAAATTGATATCACCCAATCGAAGCTTACGCGACAACAACTGAAGATTAAGCCAAAGACTGTTATTTTGATTTATTTTATGCGAAGTATCATTTCCATTGCACTGTACGGAAACAAATGAAGTAGTTGATATGGTTATACAAAGTGGTAATGTATTTGGTGACAAGGCGCTCTAGCAGAAGCAGCCCTAGTGATGTAAAAAACTAAAATGAAAACCATTTGAGTATGACATGTTACATTAAAATCAGCTTCATTTCACGCAGAGCATGTACTCGTTACGTTAAATCTACGCCACAGTCATACCCAGCAGAGTCACAGCAATATAAGTAAATGTCACCTTCTATGGATATATGTTAAAGAACATTAATAAAGAAAGGTCTTAGTAGTATACCTTTTGTGCGAGGTCGATAGACTCCAGCAGCACGAAACGAGCTTCCATATAAGAGAGAACCTGAAGTAAATGTTTATGCTCATATTCATACTTCGTAGTTAGATGAAGCTCCTGAATAAAAAACTGGGTGACACTTACAATAGTAAGTTAAAATGAATAAAGGTACTCTGATTCTAGATTTATATATATATATATATATATATATATATATATATATATGTGATTTATTTGAGCAACATCCCGTTCTTACAAAGCAATAGCGACAAAGATGCCTATAATTATTGATACCGGCCGTAACATTCGACCACGGTCCTTACATATGTGTCCCAACATTCGGCCTAAAGTCATTCTCGCTTAACTATGTCTTGTTAATTTTTCAGGCGCGCAAGGTCCCTCGCCTGATTGTCATTCATATTTGTTATAATGAAGCCGCGCGATCGCTCCCTAACATTATTGATCCACCGCTCTGTGATACCTACTTTACTTGATCGTACCGAAAATTTTTCGTCGGCTGTTGGAACCGCGTTCGGTGATGCATGCACGTTTTTAACAACCGTCGAATTAAGAAATGGTCAGTTCGGCGTCCCCTCACATCCAAAGGTACCACCACAAACCTAAGTTTTGGTCTTACTTGGCCGACTATTTCGATTATCCTCAAATAGATTAACTTCTCGACTTTAACGAGTCACTTTCCCTTCGCCGCCGCCAATTGGATCTCTTCCAACAAGTAACAGGAGTAGGTCAGGACGACAACCTCAATTGTTTCTTTCAGTCCTCTTGAACGATCTCCTAAGCAGCATACCCAGTAAGTGCGATAAATCGCTTTGAAATCAGCAGACATTGCTTCGCCTTCAACATAACAAAATCAACTTGTCCAGGACCAAAAGTTATGAAATTCCAAAAAAAAGGCCCACTAGCAGCAAATGACACAAAACACGTTAAAAAAATACGATTAGCGAACATTGGCATAGCAAGGCCGCTGTTCTTCGTGAGTAGCGTAACAAGCACTTCAATATTAAACTCGTATCAATTGCTTAATGTCGCATCAAACAAATATAAAAGAATTTCAACACAGTTTAACCGTATAGATTAGACCATGAAGCCTGGTTTTCTCAAAAGAGCGCCAACGTAATAATATATTATAATAATATATGATATATATATATATATATCATAGGTACTAGGAGTCAGGTCGGCTCATTTAAAGTTGAAACTTGGCAGCAGTAGATACGCTACGGATGATTCTGTCACTTTCGTTTTCGAAATTCTGATGTGGAATTGGTTGATGAAACCTTGCAAAAGTTGAGCAAAACGGATGCATAAGTAGCCATCACATTGTCAATAAATCAAACATTCATGACCAAAGAGTTTTAAACCATTTGAAGAAAACTGACCACAAAAAACAGCTAAACGTTAGAGTCCGATGTGGATTGACGCAAAGGAATGTACTCGATCATGTTTTTACCTGCAAAACTCTGCAGGAATGCAATGAAATCCAGCCATTTCAAAAACGGCTGATTACTGGTTATAAAACTCGGATTACGTACGACACTGAAGTAAGAGAAAAATATTCTTCACAATCTGTGGCAAAGCCCGAACTGACGCCAATAAAGCTGATGCTAACGTGTTTGGCGGAACGAAATTGTGCACGATGAGCTGCTGCTCCTCCTGCTGCTTGGCAAAATATGACTGAAAATTGATGCGAATGTTTTTTTTATCAACAACTAACAAAAGTAAAACAAGCCATTAAAAAACCCACCGGAACTAGCGGACAGAAGGGGGACGTCTTTCACTTAAATAATGCCAGATCACACACATTTATAGAAGATTTACGATGACCGGAATATAATGCTGCCAAAAAATGGCATGTATTTATTTGTGTAATAATGTTTGGAAGTTAAAAAAGATATATCTCTTCTAATTTTTCTTTTAAAACCGCTAATATTTTTTTGTACCACCAAATATACATTACATCAAAAATTGCTGTTGCATAATTAATAAAGGGAAACAATGGTGAAGGAGATAGCTGCTTACATTGAAAATGCTGACGTGATTGACACCAGTTGATTCTGCCAGTGTTTCCGGAAAACTTATGAGGGCGGACGAGGTTGTGAAATCCTCAAACTCGCTCTTCATTCGACCCTTAAAATCCTTGAGAAATGTCTCCCGGTTCATGCCGCGTAGTCCTTTAACATAATCAATTAGCATTAACACATTACGAGTTTATAAAAAGTACTGTTAATTAACAATTAACATTGCTTTTGTAAACTCGTAATTTAACTGAGTGTTTCAAAAATACATCGAAACAAAAAATATTCAAAAAAATAAAAACTAAAAAGTCGCTTTCAGTACACTAATCTCCGCTTACGACGCCCACCATACAGAATCTGGTTAATAGAAAGTTACTGGAAACCTATACTATGTAAAAGTACAATAATAGAAAATGCTTGCTGCAATGTTTTTTTTTTAAATTAACACAGATCAAGCTGTTATTCATTTTATAAGTCGAGTTTGCTGGATATGGTTCAAGGTCAGATCAACAACCTCAGTCCTACTAAACTGTCGGAAACTTTACACGCAGCCCTTTAATGAACATATGGATTGATCTCAAACAATACACACGTCTCTCATTCGTGTTAGGCAATGTAATACTTAGTCCAGCTGTTTCGCGGCCCGCTCGATACTACGGCAGTGTATATCACATGTCGGCTGAGACAGGAAGACCTTTAACGGGTGGCTCCCAAGCCGTAAACACTCAGCGAGAATATTATGTACAAATGGCATTCATTGTCTTCATTGCATAGCATTTTATGGAAACCTATAACGCATATATGGCACGAGTTAAATGTGTACTCACATGACTATTAACATCCGAATAATCTCAATCACCTATGTTTTGTTTGAAAGCATATGATTTTAAATAAATTAACTAAAATTAAATAAACTTGGTGAAATTTCGAACAAATAAGTACCTGATGCCCAATATACATAATCAAAGTCTAAGTTTTGATTTTCCAACCAATTGAAATGATGCTTTTGTTATGAATTAATCTTTGATTTTTAAAGTGTCTTTAAATTTTTATATTTAGATAACTGGAAGATTTTTTCATTTAAAAATCACATTGTTTGTTGTTTATTTTTTGAGGTTGCTTGTTTGAAACATACGCTTTATTTATTATAAAATACAGAAACGTACAGGCGGTACTTTCCTCTGCGAGAAGCGTATCCGTAAAGAAGTAACATTGTGTTTGCTTACTTATAAGATAATATGAACTAAATAAGTCAAATGTTTTATTACATTTTAAGTTTCTACTCCTTGTAAAATTTAAAATAACATCATTTACAGTCTCTCAAATAAGCATCTGAATGCCATGATTATTGTCTGATACTAAGCTTAGCGAACGAAAGCTAGGCATAGCTAGAATTACATCATTTTGAATAAATCAAAGCTTGTCAGTTATATTCTTGTAATTTACACGCCTTAGTTCGACACGCTGACAATACAACGGCTCAATGGTCGCGATAAGCACATAGAGGTATATGTAAAGAAACCTCAGCGTTGCGAAGATGGGACCAGCACACAACTACCATTCCTGCTTTAGATATGATAGCGATCAACTCATCTCATGTGCAAGCTAGAACTGGAAGTAAATTACATAAAATAATATCGTCGCCTAATCGGCATGATGAGAAGAGATAATGTGTTAGATAGTCAGTATAAGCTGGATCGAAAAAGAGTGCTTTTGAAACATTAATTCCAGCAACTGCTCCCGTACTAAAGTTCATTTTCACTTGGATATAATATACGTGTAATCTATAAGCTAGACTGCCCTGTAATTTAACAATAAAATAATATTAATATATAAAATTAAACCAAATCTTTATATCTTCAGGAACGGCTACCTAAGGCTGTCAGACAAAACAGACAGTTTTCTTTTTCTACTGGCATAGTCTGACTATATGGTCAAGAGGAAAACCATTTGCAATAACTTGCTTTTAACCTGAGGCGAGAAACTACTATTTACATTTTAAAGTAAACATCTTGGAAACATTGACACAGGCACCAGTGCTGTCGTTACCACACTTAACTCTGCAGCAGATGAACTCTGTGATGTCACTAAGAGCTATTTAAGTAGCCCCCTACTGACGAAATTTACATTGTCTGACGGCAGATCCTCAGTCAGAGTTATAACCACTGAAGTACTCCAATGCACCTAGAAAGCATAAGGGATTTTTTTGGTACGCGGTTTTACTTTGCAATAATTAAACCGTAATTTAGAAATAACTTGATATTCACTAGTATCCTTAAACAAAAATTAATTCTTTTACACCTGGAGCATTTTTGCAGGCAGTGATCGGCACAACAGCCCTGCTTGTGTCTACAGCTCTATGGCAATGCAAATTTCAGCTTTACTGAGTTAAGCAAACATAGAAGATATCGGAATACTTAAAGCCTAACATTTTCAAAACCATACAAACACAGTGCATCAGGAATCCCCAGCTGTTCAAAAAAAATTAGAAAGCGTTGCACTGAATTGCTACAAGTACGTAAAATATTCGTCGATTAAGTGGAGCATTATGATTATATTAACTACACACTTCCCACAGAAATACTCAAGAATTTTGTGTCAAACAATTATGATACACAATATCGTCTATTGCACCTTAGAAAGTCCGCCTCATCTGTTCCACCAATTAATCGTCTTATTTCTAATGAAATAACATTTATAGATAGGAGCAAGTATCCTAGACTTATGTCGTGCATAGTGCATCGTACGTATTGATAAATGTAAGACAAACTGAAATCTGTGCTTGACGCCTAATACGATATTCCTACACTTTTTGCAACACTTTCTCTATATCTCGTGTGCAATTACACAGACATTTTGACACCATTATCACTATTATTATTATTAATGCCGTCAGGTGCAAATGGCTTATTTTTACAAAGAAACTGGAGCGTTATGTTGTGATTTACGTAAATTTGCAGAGAGGAAAAGGAGCCGGATAGTTCATAATATTCTTAAATTGCATTTATTTAGGAACTAATATATACATACATATATTTAGAGATTTATTTATAGAGAAGCAGGATGATATGTGCACATTATCTGTCTCGACAAAACGAATCAATGTCAAATTTGCAAAAATAAGAAGCATGTAACAACATGCAGGGCATGCTACGAACGCTTTGATAAATAAAGATGTCTGATTTAACTAGCATATTTTGCCTACACTATATCCGATTTTGATTAAAACGAAAATCTGCTTTCCAAAGTGCTCGAAGTTTATGTTTCAACAATAAAAACGATAGCATTTTGTCTTTACTGCAGTAATAAGCTGTTCGTTTATTACTAATAACAAAGCCTTAGTACCAGCATTAGAACTCTGATATAATAGACCGATCAGAGATTATCATCAGTGAGTCCGCACGGTTCTCACAGTATAAGCCAACATTGCGTACAGGATACGTTGTAAGAGTACACAGACTCGCCTCAACATTGAGCCCGCATACATACAAATAATATGCAATACGTTAAATTTTCACTTTAATATATATATATATATATATATATATATATATATATATATATATGATATAAAAGCTTCTTTGTCCTCGTTGCACAATTCATCTGCAAGTACTTTTTAAATTCAGTTTTTTTTTATATACATACATACTTACCGATCAAGTAACCTATATATTTTACTAGGCTATTGGTTTTTGAACTATTGACAATGAACATATGAAACAGAAAAAGACGAGGAGCCCTTTTGAAGGCAAGTCATTTTGTAAAGTAGCTCCATAGGATTTTATCTAACTGCGTAGCAACACGTTCCTTCGGTACAATATACATCTTTTTGTTTCCGTACAAGACAATTCCCCTCTTTGTTGTAATGCACAGAGAGAAGCAACTACGGTAAGCAACTCTGGTTATAAGGTTGCCTTTGAACTATTGTAGTTTTTTTCGGAAGCTTAACTTTACCTTCCTTGAAGACTGACTACTCTAGACGATCATTTTTTTGATGTATCTAAACTAATTCAATTTCACGTTTTGTTTTTGTTCGATGTTTGGCCGCAAGCACAAACAGACCCTTTGGAAGTGTGTTCCAAGTTTCCGGTGTGCATTGGCGCGCTGCCAGGCACTCTAACCGTAATACCCGTCGGGGGCTACGTTGGATAATCGGATGGTTGCCAGCATCAAGGTCGCAACAGGCTGCCATGATCGCTCGCTCAAGGATAGGTAGATCTTCGCCACTCCACTGCGAACATAAAAGGCGCATTAGAGTCGTCAGTTCCTGATTTGTAGCTGCTTCAACTTCTTCTTCGGCAGCGATTGCTTCTACAGCTTCTGCCACTTCATCTTCTGCTCTATCCGCCGCAGCATCCGCTTCGTTGTTCTCGGGACCTAGTAAAATGACGATTTCACCCTCGTCAGCTTCGTTGGCCTGCTCATCCACAATGCCTTGCATTCGGCGTATGGCGGCTGCCACATTCGCGACAGCTCCTTCACCACGAATAATAGCGTTGTTAGCAACATCATTTTCTTCACCATTGTCATCGCCACCAATGCCTCTTTCATTAGCCTCATCGGCTTCAGCCATATTGCCCAAGTCATCGTCATAATCATCTTCTTCCTGTTGTGGCAATAGCGGAAGAATATTCTGTAGGGCACCACCGTTGATTTCAATCATCAGGTTAGCCTCAATTACGCGGCCAAGTTCATCCACGCCACGAAACTCGACTAGTTGGAGCCCCTCATCTTCGGCTATATCTAAATCTAAGTTGTCGTCAAATTCGTCATGTTCATGATCGTGATCACATATTTCATGTCCTTTAATTGGCCAAATAAGCTCTTCAGCATCAATGTAATCCTCAAGTGTAAAGTCTAGCCGAGCACCAATATCTACTAGCATACCAACCAGCTCACGAAGTTCTTGGAATGGCGGCGACATTAGCATGACGTCTGCTATATAGCTTAATAGAAGTGACGGCGTTACTTGTGGAGCACGCTTAATCTGCTCTCTCAGTTTGGCTATGTCAAGCTGTTTTAGAAAATCGTCGCACCTTGCCGCTCCGATCTCAAGACACCGCATAGCGCCAAAGATGTCTAGTATTTCGAGCCAGTTAGGCTGAGACTGCTGAACGAGGCGTTTCAAGGAAACTTGAAAAGCGCTTCCAAGAAAGTTTCTATGTGGTGGCTCGATGGTTCCAAACATATCAATAACTTCCGTGAATGTGTTTAAGTATCGAAAAAACCAGGTCTCGTCATCGTAAAGAGTGGACGTACCTTCCAACATGATCGGGCCGACTTCATTGGCCAAGATAAGAAAGTAACATTCGCTTAAAAACCGCAGCATGCGACCTTCTCGAAGATCTTTTTCTAGCATCTCCACATCCTCAATTCTGGAGAAACATCGACTGTCCGGCATATCCGGAAGCCGTTCCAGCCCATTTTGTTGACGAACTTCCACCGCTCTCCGAAAGTACGTTAACCCCTCAGCTTGCAACGGGATGATTTTTTGAATACGTTGTAAGCCGACTTCAAGGAGCTCTAACGCTGTTGCTGCCTGCTCTGCCGTATGAAGGTTACCTGTAAGAAAGAGTTCAACACAGCTTGCATAGCCCCGAGTGGCGGCTGCGCGCAGAGCACATCTGGATACTTGTTGATTGACGTACGGAACACCCGACTCGAAGAGAATTTTCGCCTGAACTGGGAGGTAATCAGTAGTGCTCCAATGTAACGTGACAGCATAGTACATATCCTGCGCCGTTGCATCACGCAGACTTTGACCGTGAGCCACAAGCACGTCGAGCACCTGGCGGATAGCTGTCTCGCCTGCGAATGGGTGCATCGCCAGCCACGACGTCCATGCATCGGGCGTGAGGCCAAGTTTGCTGACAAAGTACTCCACGATCGGAGCGTGTGCGTAATAGATGGCTGTCATCATGAACGAGTGACGAGGTAGAGGACTGTGAGGATCAACACCCATTTCATCTATGAGGAACTTTACTGCCGCGAGATCACCCGTGCGAGTTGCAACTCCCAGCAACGCTTTGCCACGCGTTTTTAAATGACAGAACCGAATACGTTCATTGAGGTAGCGATTCCTCACATCGGGTTCAAGTTTTGCAAGTAGAGCTTGAGCAGTTTGGGATAGCCGTTCTATGGAGGGGCCCCACTGTGCCCAGGGGTGATGACAAGTAGGCTCATGACTGAGCTGCTCTAGGATGGCGTCCTGGTCCTCCTTAACTCGACAATTATTGTGTGGTTCTTTTGTATTAGCCAAGTCGAATAGAAGCTTGTCTTCCGGCGATTCAGGTCCACGAGCGCGTTTTGCAGTTAAGCTTTCCTCATCTTCAGCCATAGCGTTGCGGTGCTTCGTTTTTGAACTTTAGCTCTTCACTGAAATAGAAAATAATACAAATAATAAGCATGATTAATATTTTCACAACTTTGAAATGACCTTCTTAAAAGTATGGGGTAATTAATATTTATAATAATAACCGTTTAGTATAATCCATTTCACATGCACGCATAGATCCAGAGGTCTTACAGATTGCAACCTTACGATCTACAATCTAGATTTAGGATCTAATCTTGTATCTATCCATCTGTCTGTCTGTCTACTCTGCACTAAATATTAACAACCTTGGGCAGCTATTTTTGTACTATTCGAAACACCTTCTTAGGAATTGATACCGATTTGATTTTTTGGCCAGCTAAGAGTACATTGTGGTGGTAGGAACGCCTGCGGGTAATGTAGTATTATTAGCTAACGACGCTCCATCAATTATAATAAGGATAAAGTGCACGCTCATAACAAAACAAGGGCAATATCCTCACACTAAATTTGGTTATAGCTTTCACTTGCGTTTCAATTGTAGCTTTCACATATTATGTAGGTGTATTTTTTGACAGAAAGGTATACGTCCTTCGTCGAACGAACTATAGTCTTCATTCGCTTGTTACCGTTCGCTTACAGACATGTGAATTCTAACGGCACCATTAGACAATACATGCTTCGTGGTTGGGCGATAAGCTAGGTTGGCTGTAAGCAAAGCTGAGAAACGGTATTAAGAAGCAGCTAGGCAGAGATGTGGATCTGCGTATAAACCTATCTTATTGTAAGACACCATAGGATTTATACGTGTATGCTGCCCTTACAGCAGCAGTGATTTAAAAATACACGTTTCCAACGTATCACTTATAAAGAAGGCACGTCATGGTAATATAGGTATTTGAAAAAAATACCAGTTACCACAATTGCCAATGACACGAAATTTATTTGTAGTTTTTTAAAAACAACCTATCGTGCTAAACTCGATATAAGCAATATATACTTTTATAGAAAATGGTCGTATAGGATCGATTCTATAGCCACATTTTTTAGCTTGTATAAAAATTACAGAAATATTCAATCATTTTATGATAATTTCACTGCATAACTTATTACATATATATATTACATATGAATAAACAAATAATTGGACGCATTATGGTAGTATCCAAAGTTTCAGTAAAGGCTTACATATAAAAATTGTTCTATCCACTTCAGCAGCCTCATAGCACTCATAAAACAGGATCTTATAGATTGTTTGTATGAATAAAGGGTATTAGACAGTACTGACATCTGAGATGTATTGCTCCAAAATAAAAGGATATTAGAGCCTCAGAAGACAGTGTGCAACCAGTCTTCATTCTGTCCCAGTGAAAACAGATGCATCTTTTTACAGAACCAATCTCGTTCTTTTACAACAAAAAACGCATTGCACAGTTACGCAGTGGTTAATGTCTTTGACAATGACTGAAGTAATTTAGCAAAATGTAGATAGCAGTGTTTTAGTATGTATTCATTGGTTTGACTAAATTGTCACCAGTCTACCTAGAACGGTGATAAACCACCCACTACTTGCCCGCGGTCATACTCGTCAGCAAACAGAGTTGTCTCTGTTACTGGGTGAAAGGACGGCAAATGGACCGACAAACATGCCCCACATGTTAGTTCGCACTTACTGCCAAACCTAGAATAATCAAGTTCTAACCGAACGCTTGCTTCAGCTAGATGTATGTACACAAGTTACAACAAATAGCTACCTTGTCTCACAGTTTATGAAACGATAGAAAGAAAACTATGCAAAAGATCAAAAGTATAGTACCTACGGGTTTTATCACCCTTTGTTGTCACGACACCTGCTGATGTAACTCGACACTAAAGAAAAGTCCAACTACTTTTAACCATGTAACATAAGAGATGGTTACACATAAGAAAAGTATTATCTTATTAAAGATTATAAATTAGCTTATACTTTCTTATTACATTTGAATTCCACATTCAAACAAAAGAAATAATTACGATATGATAGTGACTAGTAAAACATCACAACACTGTTCGTGGAGGAACGGGCTTATTAAAAACCCTCTCATTTTAAGTATACTGGCTGATTTCGACTGTTGCCTTGCGAATTAGGTTTAAATGCTTGGTAAACAGTAACACACAATCGTATTAACTGAATAAAATTATACATTTAAGATGTAATCATTAATACATCTTAAATCATTAATACAGCAACCTGAAAGTCGCGACTAATTCTTTCTAATAACTTTCTGGCTAATTCATAACATAATATCAAAACCTTCCTCAAAAACAGTATAATAATATCAAAAAATCATAATGCGTCCAAAACCTGTCCATTATGCACAAGATGATTGCTTTAGCTGGCAATTAGACCGAAGCTACGGTGGATATTTTAAACATTATCTCAAATTCACTGCAAATCAACAGATGTGGCAGTAAGCATCCAGATTACTCTGACGTGATACAGATTACCTGTTGTGACGACTGAACTTTGACCAAAGGCAGGTATGGTTTCGCTCCTGAACGGTATCTTTGTACCTAGCAAGGACAAATTGACGTTTCTGCATTTGCTTAATTAAACAATCGAATTAAAAATGCCACGTCGACTACTCACCGTCTAAAAAGACTTGGGATTTCACTCCAGTATATCCGTTTCACAAGAAATTCAACTTTTTTTTACTAGCCGAAGGAGCACACTACTCGAACACTCATAGCTTGCAAAGGTCACAATACACTTTTTTCCTTATAATTTGTTAACTTTTCTGAATACTAACTTACTGCCAACTGCATTAACTGCAGCAGCAGCAGTAGCATTTGAACGGTATTTTTCTTATGCTGTAGTCCAGCTAGCAGACGACATATAGCCCAAAGGGTTTTCTTTTTTGTGCTGCTAGCCTGCTAGCAGACGACGAATATTCCTAGGGCGTTCGAGAACGATAACAATAGTAATACGGTGTAATAAATGAATTGTGTCGATTTAGACATTGGCGGCGTTGCAAGCGTCGATCCTGTTAGGTCAGACGACGACTAGGTATGATTGGAAAAAAGCGAGTCCTGTGCGATAAAGGATAGGAGAAGTAAACCAAAGTTTCGTAATCGATAGCAAATCTGAACGATGCTTGTATTTCCGATATAGACCTTTATGGATGAAAACGTTTTTATTTAGATAATAATTCATATTCGACTCGTAGAACTTTGTTGCTCATTTATGTCAGTAAATATCCTGTACGATATCAGAGGAATCTGTGCTATTCGAACCATTGGTTTCAGAGAAAAAATACCTAGAAGTCGACTTGGCCTATTTTATACAGAAGAGGACATTGAAAATAGCAATGACCCAATGTAGCCAACAAGGTTGTTTTTTGTGGGTAAATCATTTGCCCTACTATCTCAATAATTAATATATATCATTCTTGCGTCAAACATATTCTGCTCTTATTCGACGCGATTCACAGCTTTTTTTTGTTTAGAAGTTTATATTACCAGGCCATATGTCTATATCGAATTTTGCTCAACTTGCGACGGACTTGATAAAATATTGGCTGAAGTACCAACGGAAACTGCAGAAATAAATAATTGTTGTATACCACGTGACTGTGTCAAACAATGGCCTCACAAAACAATATTTCACCATTTACGTTCTACATACTCAATGAACATTAGTTAAATTACCGTATTCCGTAAGTGTGAGCAGCGTATTCAATATATTTACCTAAAGGGACATTTTAATGCAAACTCCAATTCTCTATTTGCACATACTATACTGAAATAAATTTGCTCGCCTCTAAATTAGAAAAATATTCTCACCTCTTGCAGAGACTATCTCTTCTTTCTCTTTAAAATAGCGGAGCTCTTTCGGTCCGATGTTTACAAACAATAGCAACTGGGGCGCCAGCTGGAAGTCGCGGACGCTTGTTCACAAATCGAATGGACAAAGAACTTCACTCTTGTTGCCATATATAAATAAGTAAAGTTCGGCTAATCGCCAAATAGCGCCTAGCTGAATGAGTGGCGGGGCATCTTTTGCTGCCGGTAATTGTTTATTTATTGGGTTTGCTTGTCCGAATTGCGCCGGTCCCAATAGTCGCCGTGGCTCAACAGCCGGAGTGGGGCAGTAGTTTTTATATCGGTACGTATTATCAATTTTTGTCGGTCAGGGACATGTGTTTATGTGATCGTTTATTATAGCTGGCATGTAATTGTGTGACAGATTCTATGCGGTAAAGGTTTGGGAAATTTGAAAATTGTGGCTAGGCTTATGTTTTGAAGGAAAGCTTTTTAACTAAAATGTAATTTACATCAAATACGTTATCAGTTAAAGGCGTGACTTAAACTGAACGGTGCTGCTTAAACTGGTCAGCGATCGTTTGCTTTGATTCTACGTGTAATTCGACGTTTATGCGGGCTAACCAATTTAACAAAATTAACAAAATGGACCCCAGTTCTCCTGGGACTACATGCTTTACCAGAACCGGTCATATAATCTATGTTTACTTGTTAACGCCGTTTGCGCAAAGTACAATTTGTGCAGACTCCAAGCAAGGTTTCTTTGACCTATAAACTACCTTTGCAAACAAAGAATTTTTCAGGTGATTCGATCAAATTCTTTATTATTTTTGATGACGATTGTTTAATGCTCCAGGAATTTCTTTCGTTACAGATGCTAACAAGTATGTATAGGTGCCGTGCAGATTTTTAAATATTTTTGAGATGGTGTTCAGAACATTACTAAGGTACAATATTTACTTTATCGCGATGCAAGTTGCATCCGGAAAAACGTTATTTCAATCGAAAAGCCAGTTCCTACTTGCTCATCAGTATTTAAAAGGACATTGTACCTAATTAGTTCAGATTATTATGATTGCAGCGGTCGCTTTGTTAAGCGAGAGCGATTTGTATGACGTCGCTCCTTTCCAATCACACTGATTTGTGGAACGTCTAACTTACTCGCGAGCCAGTTGACACTGTTCCAAATAGCCATCGTTGTGTCCTTAACGTACTCAAACATCCGAAGACACTCTCAACTGTCGCTGTATAAACATATGAATTCTACGGATTTTATTAGATACATCGAGAATGCTAACAGCAAAAGTTGGTTAATATTCAAAAGGGCTTTTATAAATGTTCTAATATTCGTTACGTCGAGATTACAGTCTAAAATCGTTTTAGACTATGTGCTCGACAACTTCCGAAGAGTCACGCACATTGCGTATGCTTTTGTCAGTTTCGGTTGTCTTTGTTTCTTTCTAGAAATAAAAAAAAACATTACGTTTCAAAAATGCTTACTCTATTTGCATTTAAACACAACCCGAACTAGTTATGAGTTTACGATTAACGGGCGGTCACACTGTCTGTTTTCAATTTGAAACGGAGTCCCATAGTAAGCGCTGCTATATCAAGCGAGCAATATAGTGCAATCGACCCACATCATAAGCTAATAGTTGTTACTATAAATGTTACTGATAACTGATACTAGCCAATAACTTTTACTGATAAATAAGGACAATAATTTCTGACGGCGAAATTCAATGAGAAAATTTAGCTTGTTTTTTGGACACCGTCACCCGCGCCTGCCTCTAATTTTCTCTAAAGCGGTTTCACTGACGGCGAACTTTGTTTCAGCCTTATCACACTGTGCATTATAAACGGGTACTGAATGACTATACGCATATATATATTTTAGGGAGCGGAGATGTTTCGAGCACTAACAGAATGTCGTTAACATGCCTCGGCTACTTCTCTTTGGTAGACCATTCTATTTCGCTGATCATCAAGCAGGCTCAGACCATTGCCAATCCACTACACGCTATCGAGCTTAAACTGCTCATCGAAACAAGACTGCAGGTAAAGTTCATATACAATAGGTGAAAGATATATACAACGAGAGCTTTCAGATGCAACTCTATGTCGGCAGGGCAACGATCTCGGATACTTAATATACATTCTAAATATAATAGGGACAGAGTTATTTGGCTTTTTGAAACGAATAAAGAAGAGACTTGCTTTTTAATAACTAGATGAAATGATTATACCAGTCGGTCAGACACAATTTATTAAACGAGTAAGTCTATAGGTTCGTTCCTCGCTTTATGAACACTGGACTTCAATCCGAGAAAGCTACGGCATGGCATAGATACAGCTCGTAATGATTTCTAAATTTGAGCTGACTAATAGTTTCTTGTATATTAACATATGACTTTCTCAGGACCTAGCCAAACTAAAGGAGCTGACGTTAAGTGAACGTGCCTCGGACGACACTCTCGAAGAAATTATGAGATTAGAGACAGCGTTACATCAAGCTTTAGCAAGGTAAATAACTTGACCGTTTGCAGATTTTTCCAATCAGCAAACGGTAAAGTTATTGATATTTAGATCCGAACTGATTCAATCAGAGTTATCATTAGTTTGTACGAAAATACTATTCCTTTATCAAACTTTTATCTGGTTACTTAATTTTTTTTGTTTGTCGAAATGCACTGTGGGTACAAACTGTAAAACCTATATAACTCATAATAAATGACAATAGAGGCCTCGTTTATGAACAATGACATTGTTCGTTAAAAAGACTTCGAAGATGCTCTTATGTAAGTTATGGCTTATACTCTCCTGATACATCATACCATCAAGGAATATCGTCACTACGTCGTCATATTTTTTTATTATACATACCAAAATGGCTTAGATGCCTGCGCGTTGTTTCAAAGCAACTATTCCTTTTAATACAATAATCTATTATTTACGTTCTTGTCCCTTTCAGATGCCACTTATTTATGGAGAACAGGGAAATGTATGGCAAATTTGTAATTCATAAGCATATGCTCCGCTTCAACGAAACTATAGTAAGTATAAGCCTTAATTGAATTTTTTTCTATGAGTACCATCTTAGAAAATCCTACATAATTTTTGCTCATGATATTATTTAACAACTGATCACACTCAAAATAGCTAAAATAGGGGAGCTTTACACATATATAATATTCAATTAATTCGATAAATTAAAAAAAAATAATAATGCTGGTTAGATCATCGCTCTACATTTCACAGAAATAAGATTTTCTCGATAATAGTTTTCTTTTAAATCAGCCTGCTTGAATAAATTGCTTTTGCAAATAGACAGCTAATGTCTCGACTCTAAGTGTCGTAATGGCTTCAGTTTTTCTTCTTGTTCAGCGATCCGTACTAACGTGTCTATTTCATCAGGATTATCATGTAGGGCCACTGCGAGTTGCAAGCATTCCACAAAGAACAATAAAGGTAAATTGGTCCAAAAGGCTCTATTGTATCCACAGAGCTACTGCATGAGCCACCAGGATAATCCTGCTTAATTTGGTCTACGGCTGCTGTAACTGATTTCAGGTCGAACGATGGAGCCGCCGGATTACACGATTGAGTTATTTTGCAATACCAGTTTTGCTGGGCATCCTTGCCTTCCGAGGACTCCGCACGATCGGGCCCCATATTCGGAGCTTAGATTTATAGCTACGTTTAACGTTAAAATCACTAAGGAAGCGATCACTCTTTTGAATGAAAAAAGTTATCGATATTTATTCAAAGATGTTGCATAATCTTGTTTGTATTCATCAAGGTTAGCACACCGTGAGATTTGCCGAGTAACACCAGTTCAATTATCCATCGCGGTCCTTATACAAGCTTCATCCAAACTTAAAACTAAACTTAACATAAGTTTGGGTGAAGCTTGTCTAAGGACCGCGATGCATAATTGAACTGATGTTACCCAGTAAATATCACGTTATCATGTATCAGTGTCAAAACTGATAAACGTTTGTTTGTTAACCTCAGTGTTTTAATAAAGGTAGAGAAAGTGAGATAAATTACTTTATTGTACTTACTTGGAATGCTCTTTTGATCCATTACAGGCCCTTGTGTGGTAATAGAGCAATTTATGATTTCTAGCCATAGTTTTTATATACAATTTCTAGCACGTATTTAAAACCCGTACAGTCTTTAACTGATAGATAAGGGTGATAAATGGGTTTTAGAGTAAAATTTTTACGTAGAAGTACTGACATTACGAGATACAATTACACATACTGATCAAGTAGGAATGGGCTTTGTTTTAAAGACAGAATTTCCATCCCTAAGAAATCAGCTGCAGCTTGTAAGTGGGGCACTTCAATAGAAGTTACTGGTAGGAAATCATGAGAAGACAGCGACAGTCTATGCTGTTAGGTATGTATCGAATGCAGTGCTTAAGTGATCATACAGTCGTGTGTATAAATGTATGGAATATTTTTTGGATAAGATTTAAATATACTTGTAGTGTGTAACTGCATTATATATATGCATAAGAAAATACATAGACGAGGACTTGAGGTTAAGGAAGACATTTGAAAGGGATAAGCTTTGTACCTAGTAATTTATTAGTACGACTTCCTTAATAAAGTTCCACATCAAACATTTTAATCAGCCTAATTTTTTTCATTCAATGCATAGTGATAGTAAATAATGTTTGAATTTAGTCGAGGCTGTATGCGCACTCTAAATTTGAATTCCGCTTGATTTGCTACCGATGTCCGGCCGCCTTCATGAATACTTATTTTGCTACACTTGTTTACACGTCTAAACCCTTTTGAATGATCTATGTCGCGTTTAATCATCACAGCACAAAATCATCGGCGGCTCTTATAGTCCTTTTGTTCATGTATCTCGTCGTCCTCTCTTCTATCTGTAAGTCGAAGGGTATCAACCTGGCGATAGTGATCACTGCTTCATATAAGATTCTAACTATACCTATCGCTATTTGCTTATGGCATTTTTTGAATTTAAACCTATAGGTCTTCTCCTGAATTTTTCCGTAGTGGCCCGGCATAAAATGTGATGACGTCAGCGATTGTTGCTAGAATTTTCCTCATTTCTGTGGCAGGGCATTTTTTTATGAACCTGATTCTCGCTACTGTGTTAACTGCTTTTGTAGCGTGTAGCTGACATGGCCTGTCCTTGGGACTGAGTCGTCTACGATGACTCCAAAGTATTTTAGTTCCTTTTGTGGAAGGTTCGCGCGACCGTTAATGGGGCCTTTTATGCTACCGTATTTTTCCCTTTGTTCAACAGTACCAGGTCCATCTTCCCGCGGCCTAATTTTAGTTATCTACGATCCTTTATCCAGGCTTTGATAACACCTAGATTGTCTAGTTTTATATCGAGTTAAGAGTCGTTTCTTACTATAATATAATGACTACCGCCAGATCGTCCGCGGAAAAACTTTTTGTTAAGTATATTATCCTACTCCATTTTTCACAGCAGAAGGCCCAATACTGGCCCTTGCAGGACCATTGCGCTCATCGAGTCAGCATCACATACCTACCTCTCAAATAATTTGACATTAATTTATATAAGGGCAAATCGCTGTTTCTTCTGGCCTGTTACCGATATTCCAGCAGATCGCATTAAAACCATTGCGAATATCAGCGTCTTTTGCACCTACTCTGTTCCCTAATTCTCCTTCGGCATTTTTTTGCAACATCGATCGTGTATGAACCCTTCGTGAGGTAGTACTGATGTTTGACATAAGTCTTCTATCTTTGTTTTTATTTAGCAAATTGGCGTATGCTTCGACGAACTGATCGTGTCTTTTCTTGGATTCGATAAAATGATAAATTTAGCAATTTCAACAGGATACGATAGGTTCTGGTTTGTTACATGGTGTCTGTTATCTTTTTCAATAAATTAATGTTGCATCGCATTAATTTTTATTATGTTTGTTGGACATCGATGTACTCGTATCGACTTTTTGTTCTGCAGTGATTTACGTATAATGAGAATTTCAGCGGTTGACGTTCCCTGTGCGTTGTCTGAGCATCCGCTACTATCGCAGTTCGGTTGACGCCACACCTTAGTGAAAGATATTAGTAGCCAATTGGTGATGGCTATTTTATTAGATGCCTTACTTGTTAATCCTGACACTTTGTTGTGTCGAATTTTTACTTCCATATTGTTGGCCAAATTTAGAATGCTCTTATTTAACAATGATAGCATGCGTCAAGTAACGTCTACCTGTGGGATTAGTTCCATTTGGCTGTTCACCTGGTATTTTTCTATGCCAGAAACAATGACGTCCTTCCGGACGTAAATAAATTATATTATGGAATATAATATCTGTTTTATCTCGCAGATGCCACAAGTTGCTACAAGCCTGCTTATCCCAAATGGGCAGGACGATAGTTATTTTCACGTTGAATGGTGAAATTGACCACTCCTTTGTATGCTGGCGTCCAAATAGCAAGCGGAGTAAAACGTTTACTTCGCCAAGTGTATTACACAGACTGGATTGGCCCTGAAAGGGAATAAAAATATTTAATTGATTAATAATAATTTTTTTCGCTATAGCCATGCTTTGATTCTACTTAAGAAGCACTCATTTTGGTGGAGACTGAATCCGTCGCGTATGTTCTTTCTTAAATTTATTTTGTTCCGATGTTAATCTCTTCAGATCTCTTTTATTATTGCGAATATAGTTCGGATATCTTTCGAAGCAAATTTGAATTTATAATACGGTTTATTAGCTGTAACACTAACACTAGCATCAAAGGACCGAAATGTTTTAGAACTTACTAGATTTTAGCTAAGTACTTATATTGGTGGATTGAAAATGCTATGAATTTCGTCGTGAGTCGCAAGTTCGTAAATTAGATCGCAAAGTACTCTTTTTGTTTATCTCTTCTCAGCGGTGTTTGCTATTGACCAGCTAGCCGCGATCCTCCATAGCAAGCATCACCGTAGTCATAATCCTAATTCCTCGCAATCATTTAGCTAAATGCTTTTCATTCATAGGACAAATATTTTTAGCTATATAATCCTTTTAGGAAAACCGAATGCCTAAGTAGTGCTTTTTGACCTTCAATGATGGTATTGCTACGATCTGCTCCGGTAAGACATTATAAAATTCGGTGTCGTTACATTCGAGCCCATCAATTTTCAATACCAGCGGGCAAGTTTCTCAAAGAACCGTATCCCTTGTATTTAACGCATTTATTCGTGATTCTCCTATTTCGAAATAATAAAATTCCAAGGGGTTGTATGTAAGTCACCACGCATTTTCGAAAACAATAGCATCACTGTGGCGCTACTAAGAATATAAACTATCTGCAAAGCTATCTCGAGTTTTACGTTAGTTCTAAAAACAGTTAGCTCAAACAGCTTATATCGTGAGGTCCCATCATTAGCGTGTGCACAGATCACTGTTACTGTAGTATGAATGGTCTTTAAACTTAGGGTGAAAATTACCGCATGTAAATAAATATTTGTATGAACTATTTAATCGTTGGCTCACGTACACGGTCCAATTTGCATACAATGGAATTAATCTAAATAACTGTCGCGTCTACCAGCAGTGAACTGGCAAACCTTAATGGACGAAGCTGGTCATTTGGGTAGGTGGAAAAGGGTATGAACATAAACAGGTAAGGAAGTACGCGTATGAAAGATGTTTCCACTGGCCGACTATTCCATATAACTAGTCTGCGCACATAGGGCACCACACTTACTTATGCTGTAGAAGTAGCCATGGTAACCTCCGCAGCCTCGCTGTCTAAGAGATCTAATCGTATCACCAATACGCCGATACCTGCTCCATCGTCCACTGCAAGTTATTAAAAGGCATTCATTGTATGAATTTGGCTCGAAGCTTTTATCTGTTATTGTCTTCGTTTGGAACGCCCATCTCTTTCTTAATGCCCACCCAAAATCTAACAATGTGGCATTTGAGTTCAACGTGGGGATAAAAATTTCGATTTGCGTTTGAGCCAAGTGCGAATACGTTTGAAAAAAAATCGCGTAAATATTTAACAATGGCATAATTAATCTAACTTAAACGAGAAATTTAGCCGTGACTGTCACCTGCAACGAAGCCAAAAACCATGACAGTTTCAAGACTCACAGTTGTGTCGTAAGAAGAACATGTGTCACGTGAGATCAGCTAAGTAAGAGGCTAATAATAAAGAGCTCGACGCGTTGTCTTTATTATCTAGATATCTTTCTTGATTATTGTTACGGTTAAGTGATTTTGCGGACAGAAGTAGTTTGCTATAGTGGTATTCCTAGGTCCATTCTTCGTGGAAGATACAGTTAGTTCATTTAAAGATAATATGAACTATCGGTGATCAGGCTGAATCCCGAATGCAGTGTGAGTAAAGAAAGATAGCTTAAGCGCTATTGATAGAGACGTACCATGGCGACCATATGTACGTATATATACATATACACACACATGTATACAATAAATTTGTTTGGAATCAATGGAATTCTCATCGGGATCGTAGGTATAACAAACTCTTATCTTCATATGCTCGTATTTAAAGTGAACATTAGATTTATTGCTGCGTGGAGTAATTTCACAACGGCGCAGTCAGAGTGAAGACGTTGATGACCGGCGCTCTTCTGATTAGTCGATAGCGCTTTAAAGAAATTACTTCGTCCTTTTAGCCTTTTGGTCTCTTCTGCTACGAATGGTGATTGGTGCGTCTGTTTGCTGTCCTGATGATCTGTGTAGAGTCATTGAAAATATTTAGAACAGCGCGTAGCTATTGGTCTCTTCAGTAGGTTGAAACGTGCTTTCAGTTACGCGATGGGCCTCTCGTTCTTCCACCGCTAGCCATGCCAACACCGGCAGTAAATTTTGCTATGTAACAAGTAGTCACCATAAACTTCATAGTCGTTCCCGGAGGGTTACCTGCCTAACAACATCGCTGTATAAAGCGCGTCAATAGAGAGTTCATCTGGTTAAGAAGGACAAGACGACGTTAACGCTATGGCTTACGCTGTATCACACGCCATGGTAGTAGTGTCGACCCACGTGAGAGTATAATACCATACCTACGCGCAGGAAGGTCGCGAACAGATGAGGCACTAGAGAGGCTGGACGTTCTAATATCGTCGTCAGAAAAAAAAGACTGCGAGCGCTGGGTGAGATCAGACGCATGTGCGGTTCGAAAACAGAGAAGGTGAAAATATCGTGCATCGACTCCCCGTTCGGCTGCGCTGGCTTTCGTAGCAAGGCTCACTCTACTGGGTTCAATTCAGCCTGGCCTATAGTGGGACTGATCCTTAAATATTCCCGCGCAGGATATATATATATATATAAATCGAGTTTTGTGGTTTTACGACTCAACCTCGAAACTGGTGTCGCTTGTGGAGTAAAATCTCTTCTAGATATTACCATGGGCTAAAATTAAGTTAATATTTTAGACGACCAGCTCAACAAATAAAGCTATACTTTTTAATTTGTGAAACGTCCTGCGTTTGGTGCGTATGTTTATTTCACAAGGTACGTTGAACCGAAGAAGAGTATCGGCGACTTGTACAAAACAACTGACATCGATCACTTGTGACTGACTACGCTTATTCGACACGGTGTCTCCACTGTTCCGCTTTAGATGTAAACGGATCGGCTGCGACTTTGGCGAGCTGCGTTCGTATGCGTGGCGTATCGGTGCGGAATTCGCTCATGAATCGTGTGTTTTTGTGCATCTCCTTTATCGGTTGATTGTGACACGGCGGCCATCGAAGATCTTGATGTAGAGTTGTTGGTTAGCGTAGAGAAAGCACGCTACAGGTTCACGGTATGTGATTGTGTCCTGTATCACCTGCTGGGAATACAGACAAGTGCATCAGTTGGCAACGCTTTATCGTTACTACGCTGTTGTAGCGCACTCTGCCTGTTTAGCAGTCGCTCCGCCTGACTGTGCAATCATGGAACAGTCGATCTTTCTGTCAGCATTTGTCGACCGTTGTTCCACTGACTTACTGTCTGGCTGCCGCTGTGACGACTGTCGTTTGTAATTTGCAGTAGAAAGTTAAGCAGTGCGCTCTTTCCCTACTGGACAGACACAATAGGAGCGAGGGTAGCAGCATAATTTCTCCGATTTCGCTTGCCGACAGTCACAAAGCAATACAGGCGGCAGCCAAGTCCAGCGACAGGAACGATAGATCCATTACAAAATAGGGAAGTGTTGAGAGGCTTGATTCGAATACCTCGAGAGCTCCCTCTGTCCACTGGGCATTTAGCATTTTAATTTACCATTATCACCGTTCCTTACGTCGGTGCATAGCGAAGGTCCTGGCAGTTAAATGGATTGTAGACCAGCAGCTTTAAGCGCTTTTGGCTGTGCACACGTCGCGTGGCAATCATACAGATAGTGATGGCGATTGGTGAAGCCAGTGAGTGCTCAATGGAAACGATGGTTTACCAGTCTGTCTATTAACGTTATACCAAGAGCCTTGCTTGATTAAGTGGCCTGAGTAGTTCGTTGTGTGAAGACAGCATTTTTATCCCGAATGACCCGGACTCATCGAATGTTTCAATCATCTGTCCCATATATTTGCTAATCTACCACTAGTTGCGGCTGGTCGAGAAGATTTTTTGGAACATTAGAAAAGTGGTTGACGATAGGAACAACAGTTCGTTTGCAAATCTGCTAGACTGCTACCGTTGCACAAAAAAGAGGTCAACTAGAGCGTGAGAGAGCAAGTCAGCCTCTTATAATATTCTGGTGAGCGATGGTGTGGTACTGTGCTATTACATTTGTGCACTCGATCAGCTAAACGCTAGTGAGTTCTGTGCGTGTATATATAGTGAAGGCGGGAACGAAGTCGGGCGGTTGTCTCAAAGTGTGCAAGACCTCACTTAGCAGCATCGAATTGCAAAAGGAAATATTTTTCACTACTCGATGTATATTGCAATACTATGTCTAGGGAGTCTTAGCTTTGCCTCAGGCAAAGCCGGTACGGCAAAACGAAACTTCACGACATCGTTGTTATTTGATGTGAAGCACCTTCGACCGAAATAGGCAAGCTACAGTATTGAATTCTTAACTGAAAAACTCTGCTGTGATAAAAACCAGTAGCTGTACGTCGATTCGGGTAGCGGATAAGTGGGGCCACGTCAAACTAGATATGGCTAGGGGCTTTTAATCAACTCGCATCAATACAGCTGAGTGAACAGATGTAATTTCATAGTTTAAATCGTCGTTCGCCTCAGCGGGCGAAAAGCTACATTGAACACGAGGGCTAACAAGTAATTAACTTCGAAAAAACACACGAATTTCAGTGAAGAACCCCAATTCCCTTCTCTCGTGAGCCACAAATCGTTGATTATATCGTGCGTTCGTTCACAAAAGACAAGAAAATCCTTGATTTATTTATTTAATTATCCAGTTGGCACTTGGTCAAGTTTACACTCGTATATATATATATATATATATATATATATACACTATAGGGTTGTTAGTGTTGGCTCCAGTCGTACAATATTGCAGTTTTTGTTACGGACATGCTAAACGATGAACGGGTTAGTTCGGGCACGATTGTGTCACGGCCAGTGACCCAATCGTGCCCGTGTTTTTTTTACCAGTTCCATAATGCCAATGGTAACACCATATGAATTGGCAGTGTCAGGGTAGGTTGCTGAGCTCAAGTCTGAAGTATGTGCGCGTAATTCACTGTCGTTGCTGTCCATTATTTAATGGAAATAGCATTGGCATGGCCAAACATACTACCAACACACTTGACGAGTCTTAAATATTACAGTCGACACGGGTTTGCATAGCTTAGGGAATACAATACGATCAAACTATGATTTATCGAAATAAACGATCACGCAGTGCTACACATTTAATCTACTTTTTTTTTTTTAATAGAAGAACACAAAACAACTAACAAGCTATGTTTGATAAGATAACAAGCATTTATATGAGTAAATCACAAACAAATGAACTAGAGATATTAGCGAAGGTAAGGATTATTATAGATTAGTTTCATGAAAGCCAGTTAACAATAAAAGTCCTATAAACAACAGATAGTATTAATTGCAGTGGCTTGTTTTTGAGCTGTAACTAATGTTACATGATAAAAATTGTCATCTTATTAACAGTTCAATGCGTATGGAGTCGAACATTGGCTGGCGATATGATCGGTTAACAAGCTAGTTTCGTATACTTTGTTATAAAACAAAATATAGCTTGAAACAATATCAAGTGATCGAATGGGAGAAACACTCGATCGTTTGATACAGTTACAGATTCGGCAACAGGATTCAATAAATTGAGTTTTTGACGCTGGTTTTAAATGTTTAAAGCTGTCTTAGCAGTATGGTGAGTTAAATTATTTCCTGCCCAACGTCTAGCACATCATTTCTAGTTCTCACGCTCAACAAACTAGATAGATAAATTCGTTTTTCCCTAGCCTTGGGATGATTCTGGATTTGTTCCTTTGATTCAACAACCAGATCTCTATTATAATAAGCGTTGCCTATTTCGTTATTTTCAGTTTGCACAAATGTCTTTACTTGGCTATAATTCCTGCGGCAGTATCAACGCAGTATGCGGCTAGGGGAGGAACTGGTGCAAACAAATCGAAAAATCGAATAACCGGTAAAGCATTTATTTACTAAGTTCAATAACACGTGGGGTAAGTTGAGTGTGAAACTGGGTGTGGACACGCTTCGTTTTCGGGCCAGCCGTTTGAGACAACGCTTAGCGACAGCAAAACCGGGCACGTTTATTCAGGGCCGATGCAACTTTCGGGCAATTAGTGAACCAAATGCTGTTAAGGTTAGAATTGATTTGAAACCGATAAAGAAAATCTTCAGGAGGAATAGGAGGATCCGATCTTTTTACGATAAAATCGTTTCCATATTAGTTTCATATTAAAATCGGGAATCCTTTCACTGGGCTATACAAACGCCATGCACGGTTTGTATGATACCTTTCTACCTGAAGGACGATTGCTTGTGATGATACGGTTTCATCTACTCTTATACTATCCTAGGTACAGCACAGGAGCACCTGCTAACAGAGAAGCACATGCTAAACGACGCGGGATTTGTGCAATAACAAACTTGTGCACGGTAGATTAAGCAAAATATATTGACGTGTAGTACTGTAAGATCATCAAGGGTACGAATAGACTCCTGAGCTTTGTACGGCTCATCAATGATCGCATGTTACTCTCATTCAATTTATCTTTATTGATTTTAACTACCATAGCTCTACTTGATTTTTTTAGCTTTCTAATTGACGCTGGTTGCATTTTTGCCGTTACCTATCAGCTTCGTTTGAGAAGAAATTCCGCTGGAGAAGAATGGCTTTTGGTCAAGTGTTGTCTGTAACCGCCATCGGCGATACTCTATATTTTCGTCCCTAAAAAAGTACACAAACTCTGTTAAAAATAATGAAAATAATAATGTAAGCTTTCACTACACAGTAACATGTTGAAAAAATCTCAAACAAACTAAACTATAGTATTTGTTTTCTTCCATTTCTGTTACTAGGTGTGTAATTATATATAAACAAATATTTCGTATAGAGTATCGCAGTTGGATAAATGTATGAGGGTTCTCTTTCCGTTACAAAATCCACGTGTTGCAACGTATCACAGCCGACGATGCGTTTGACTTTAGCTTTCGATCACTTCCTGTTCTATTGAAACAGATAATGATCTGATTGTTTAGCTGGTATAGCTGGGTTAAAATTTCATATGCATATATATTCGACAGCGGTCGGTTATCTCAAGTGGCTCACTCCAAAGATAAGTACCGTTACTTTTTTTATGCAGGAACGTGTCAAAATGCTTTCAAGTGCTCTTTTTTTTTTACGCCTCTATACACAATGCCGTAAGGTGATATTTTTCACAGCGGCGCGAACATAAGTTGTTTTCTGGCAGTCTAACGGTAAATATGGAAATATGTAAGTACGAACAAGTTAAATGATTATGATACTTTTGATCTTCTACCTTTTTATTTGAAAGGCGACCATGCCACTGGACTCCTGCCTGGATGACTGACAGTAAGTAACGCATCCGCCTGATGGAATGGATGTACATTGCTACATCATAAAAAAAATGTATACGGGTTAAATCGACTAGGATGTTTGTAACGTTATTTTAATGTTTTCAATACAAGCATGTTTCGGTTGATTTAGACAATGCGCCAGATAAGTAATCCAAGTTGGCCCTGTAAAATAAAGGATCTGATACGATTATTGCTTGTCAAGGCTAATAAGGCTCAATTTTGCTATTAAAATAATGTCGCTTTTGTTTAGCTAGGACCGCAAAAACCTAAAATATTCAAAGAGAAAGACTATCGACATAAGGACAAAAGATCGTAAGACCCATTATTGTAAAGTTAACAACATATCTTTACGTCCTGTCTAGGCCTAATAATAAATCTCCTCCTATCTAAACAATACTCTGCAAAGAGCAGAACAAGAAATTCAATCTGCTCTTGCTTAGGCTTAACTGAACCAGCTGTTCAAGCCATGCCACCTATTGTCCATTACTTGGTTTTTTTACCAAGATCATCCAATCACGCTGCAAATGGCCATTTTGCTTGTTTTTAATTACTCACGCAAGGAATTACCGCTACATAGCCGATAAAAGAATTCAAGTAAATCCTCCACTTCAGAGAAGGGACACATGCACGCAGTAAGTTTCTATGAAAAATTCAGGCAATCACGATCACTTATTAGACAAGCCTAATGCGTCTGTTGGAACTTGCAGAGTTTTCGCGGGTTCGAGTCCCATCGATGTCAAATAGAAAAGAAGAAACTGGAACAAAAAAGTAATCCCGAATGATCGTAAGCGTTGGCTAGAATAGATTCTTCGTTTTAAGCTTTGTATCATGCTCTCATTCTATTTTGTGTTTAAAATAAATTAAGGTATCCTCAAAGATGTGTACCTTCAGACATATCGGAGGTTTTAAAGAATCTCATGGGATATTTAATAAAGTTGTTCGGCCGCATTTACTGTCAACGAAAAATATGTTCATTAAATCGAACAGACCAACCGAAAACAAACATTATTGATGATATAATATATTTACAGCGTGGGCAAATAATCAAGCGAACTAAAATTAATCTGATATACTCGACTGGGTGTGTGATCCAGCGCTTGGCAGGTATTTCTAATCTCGGCCCTCTTATTCTCTTTGTTTCCACTTGATTTGCGCGTGGGGAGTCCAGAATGTATCGTTTGATCGTGGCGAGCTTAATATTAACAGAGTCCACAGGCAAAACAATTAGTGAAGCCGATAGTCAAGGGGTTATACCATATAGTACCTGCAACTTAATCTGAGTGCAATTATGATAGTAACTTAATAACGAAATATCCGTACCAGTTGGCGTGCCTACGCGTGTCCATCATGTATGTACGGGTGTAACGAAGAACCGTTTGATATAGAAAGCGCGGAAATTATCCCAGCTATCGCATGTCCTGTACCTAGGTCGACAGGTACAACTCGCTAATAAAACAGACACTTTAATTAGGAACTTTTTTTTTGATGAGTAAGCTTCACTTGCATTGTATAATCAAAAAATCTATATAATCGATGCATATTGACAATATAGGAGGGAACAAGTGACAGTTTATCTATGCAGCTCTGACTACTATTCCCAGTAATAGTGTAACTGACGTAGGGGGGGGGGGGGGGTCGAACTACATGCTGCAATCGTTTGACAAAAATGATCTCGTTTGTTAGGTAAGTTACCATCTGTCGAAGCTTTGTATATGTCATGACCAGCATACTATTATCTGTAACGTTTAACTTAGAATAACTGAATTATTGGAGTCGAATTAAAAAAGACAAAGCAGTATTTTAAAGAACTCCGTAACATTCAAGTTTTTTTTTTTAAATTTAATGGCATCGAATATTCAGTAGAATAGTTCATGATTTTTCCATTATTTATCGTAGCGTATTATGGATGAAAGATCACGTGGTTCGTTAATTTGTATCTTTCTCTATCAATTACGGAACTGAAGGAAAACCGAGATTAAACATTTTACTAGATAATATATTAAAATTTACATAGCTCTAGAAAAGAAATTCGTTCGAGTCCCGTCACCATTCGAATTCATTGTATGGCTGTATTTCTACGCCCGATTTCGAACAAATACCACGACGTATCCCGGTACTGCTTACTGTACCATCGCAGAAACGCACAAATATACAGTTCAAATGAAAAAACATCTCCTAGAATTTGCCAGTGATGAGAGCCCGGAATGTTACAGGTTTTACCATTGAACAAAGTACGCCTGTGGACGGGTTCGAACCTGCACCACGATGTGTTGTTTAAATTAGCACGCAAGTACGTTACGCACTAAGCTATCATTCGTAGACATGTTGTTGGGTTCAGCTCTACAAAATTCCGGGTTAGCTTAGTAAGATTATAAGCCAGATGGGATTATGATAGATTACACCGATTAGATGATTATATGGTCCACCATAGTAAAGTCGAAAGCAATATTACATAATATAGGCACTTTGCATAGATCTCAAGTCAATGTTTCCACGCTTGTTCTTTCAGATGCAGATGGCAAACTAGAACTTTTGGAGACAGCGTGGTAAGAACGACTGCGATGTCGAAGACAAAAAAAATTGACTACTCTACTTGCTGGGACTGGGTGCAGTCTTTTGATCTCAGTCTGTCTTCTCTTAAGTGGAGCCAGCCCATCGAGTTTCTACAGAATACGCTGATCTGCGACACTCCAAGGTTGGTAACCCAAGAAACAGACGTCTAGGATATCTAAATTACGAAAATATTCTCTAAATCGCTATATTTCCTATTGACAAGATGATATTTCTCTTATTTATGATAGTTGTTTTTGGTATTAGGTTACAATATAACAACAAGTATCACCCTGAATATGAATGAGCAAATCGTATGCGAGTACCAGTGATCTGCATCTAGTAGTGATCAAACATAACTTATCGCTAACGGGGTATAATAAAAAAAAAAAAAAAAACACATTCGTGAATAAGTTGATTTAATTAAGTGAACGGTATATTGAAAAGGTAAACGCAACTAGAGGGCATTCTATTTGGATAGGTAGATTGCCACTATGTTCTTAGTAATAATAACATCTTCAAAACCGAAGACGCCTGGCTCAACAGAAAAAAAATTCCATGAATTACGCTATATAATTTTAGGGGATACTTGTTTTACTGAATGTAGTTTCCCAAAAAGGCTAACTTAACTATACTTCCTTTATGAATTCTATAATTGTGTACGAACTCGCTTGACAAAGGACGAAGAGGAGAAAACATGTCGCAGTCTTACGCAAGACTAACCAGACTTTACTTGTCTAATATTACATCATGTTTTATGTAAATTGAAAATAACAGATATATAGGTTAAAATATAATAAAAATAATAATATAATAAAAGAACGATAAAATAATAATAGAAATAAAAGAAAGGTCGATCGTTGAAGTTGTTATGGGTAATTTCTTGCTTCAATTCGATCTCGTGGTACATGTTACATCAGGAAAACATTAATTAAAATGTACTATAAGAACCGTCGACACTACAAGACCGTTTTACTGGTCTTTGTGCTTAAGAAGATGTCTATTGCTACAAGATGAATTAATTAAGGGGATTATATGGTCCACTCAATAGAAGAATCTTGCAATTTTCCTCATGCACATTGTCAAATGATTAGAGAATTTTCGCTTATTTCTATAAAGTGACGCTGATGATTTCTAAGAGTCGATTGTTTGATTTTTTTTTCTTTACACAAAGATGTTTTCGCCGTGAATGGAATCAACGTTCGCGTGAGAATACCGACTTTGCAATCGTTTCCAAAGTCAAGGATCGAGGTTACAAACAATGGAGCCACTGTCACAAACATGTTATTCATGTATGTAACTGTTTATTTCGCTATTACATGTCCCTGTACTTTGGAGATACTTCAAAAAATATGCTGGAAAATTTTAAATGCCCTTAGCTAAGCATGTAAGTCGAAATTGCAGTAAGCCAAATTTTAAATGTTTTTCTCAGGCCCGGCCTAAGCTCCAGTGGACTCGCTTTTTAATGCGTTGCATCGATGTTCGTACCGATATTTACAGGCAATGGTGAAGCACAGTTTTCGGTTAGGACAAGGCTCCAAGGTGGAATTGGATTTAGACAGTGATACGATCGAAAACCTTCTAAGGATTCTCTACACAAGACAGTAGGTTTGACAGAGCTCATAGTCTACCAAAAGTTACAACAGGTTTGTTTTTTTATAAGATGTTGACGTTATTGGCCTTCGACATACCTCCTTACCTAGATGGCTTTGAAAGTTCACGCAAGCATACTAATAACATTAACAATTCGATCAGGCGGTCCAGGAAAGTCCAGCTAGAACGTACGTGTAGGCACGGAAGTGTCGGGCTGCATCGTACTTGAGTGATACCTGAGCATCTTGACTACATTTGTATTCGGTAACTGCATCATGGCTATGAGGGGCGTATCTGTTAAACGAACGTGCGTCGTGGAAGAACAAAATTCCGCTGTTCCATTTCCACAACGATGTTTTTCTTAGAAGAGTAGGAACGGCCAAATTACTGTTACGTCCCACACTGAAGTTACCACAACTTGCTCACAGGCTATCGACATCTGTTCAGTTGTAACAGACGTCAAGGATCAACTTTCTTTTTTATATATTATTCTGCTATTAAAAAAACACTGTCCTTGGATTATCAACTATCCTTGGACAAGATAAGCATAGCACAGGTAAAAAGAATATGACTATCGTAAGACAGACCGTTTTGTCTTCGGGTGACTTTTCGGACTCTTAACCATAATATTATTATTTGGCGTCAGTCGGATTTTGAACACGCTTCAGTCCTTATCGAGGCTGTCGTAGAGATGTCTAACTCGAAGGTCTCTTGAACACGAACTATAGTGGACTATAATGAGCTCAGCATTTTTATATATGAAGTAAAAATGTCACGAGATTATTCACACCCTAACAAGAGTGCATATATAGGTAACTGACTCGTATATTTAGTTACTTGAAGAATTGCAGTTGGATACGTAACGTGGCGTCTTCAGCGTTTCCAAAATAACAGTTAGAGAATTTGTTGAAATGCTAAATAAATTTAGTCTATGGCCTGATGCAAAATATGTCAGTCAGTTTTGCAAATCACCGCTTGTTACATTACCTTCAGCTTCGTCGATCTAGTGGCGTTTCGAAAATGTGTAGCCAGAATTTAAATAACTATAACTTCAATTTTTACTTACATATCATTAGACATAAAGCATCTATATAGAATGTAACGTATGGCTTTTTCCCTGTAGTGTCGATCTTTCAAAATGTTATCATTTTAGCCACTAATTCACAAACTTCAACGAATGTTTCATTCGGTATTGCAATGATATTGTAATGGTTTTAGGTGTAAAAAAATGGGCAGTTTTCTCTGGGACCTTTCGCCCAACTCATTTGTTCGTCAAGGTGACATAATGACAATGGAAATAAAATTTACCACCTTTACTTGAGTCATCTGGAGTGCGGGATAGAATGGATTGTTGGGGTAGCAATAGCAACTAGTTGGCACCGGTCACTGTACACTCAAGTAAAATGGTCCAGCTAACCATTCGTTCGGGATTGTAACTTCTCGTAAATTTATATGGTGCCCCCTGCGTATTACCTAGTACACCGATTAATTGTGCCACTTAGTATGGTTGTAGCTTCATCGTTCCACATAGTCTTTTCAAAAACTAACTGCACTCTGCATACATTTCTACATTTGCAAAATTACTCTCTTCTTCTTCTTCTTCTTCATCTTTACTATTTAATATATGCAACATTTCTATTAACAACATTCTAAGCTACGACAGATACTTGGTCTGCTGTTGACAGATTTTGGGGTTGTTTCGGTATAATTTTACATGTGCCTCTTTTCGGCTGACGATATTCAGTGTAGTTATTGATTTTGTGAACATCAATATCCTAAATCGTTCAAACGATGTTTTAGACTTATCTGGTTTGTTGAATCGCGCAGGTGTATCTGCTTAAAACTCGCTGCGATACTACCTCCGTACATTGTGTATCCATTACTTTTAATTAATTACGCCCGAAAAATAAAAAACCGTTTTTACGGGACCGTACATACATGTCAGACCAGTTAATGTAGGCGCGTATCGTTCACACTGTAGGGATTAATGCTATAGCTATTGATGGTCTGCTTCCTTTCAGGTACGTCTCAGTAGATTCTATTACAAAGAATCACTTTCGTTTGATGCGCTTTATTCAAGAATTAGGGTTAGTTAGCGATAGACTTCAGGTCGCGCAAAATTATCTGCGTTCCGAGTTTCATCGTTTCGGCTCCGAACAATCCTTTTTGCAGCTCAATGAGTCACAGGTTTGTATATAGAGTAGAACGGTCCAGCTAGAACGACAGAAAACAGTAGACTACAGTATGATACTAATAAATCTCAGTACGCCCGCGTATATTCGAATTGTGACGTTCCATTTATTACTACTAGATAAAATAGGGTGGTTGGTGAAAGGGAATATATACCTAATCGGTGTATCGAAACAGCCCTGACGGTACTTCATTTCCTACGAGTGTATTAAGTTATCCAGCTAACTCAAGCCCAACAAATTCAACATTTTAAATAGTGAAAATCTACTTTGGATAAGTTCTACCATGAGCTAATACAACAAAAAAATTGTTAATTGAATTTCAGCTGGAACCGTACCTGAATACGGAAACTTTACCACTCTATACCGTGTTAGATCTCAATTTTATCATGCGAACCTTCTTGCATTGGAGCGCCGTAGCTAAAGAGTCAACAGTATCGGAGGACTTACCTTACAGATCAGTAGATTCCGCCTCGTTTGCTACGATTACCAGTACAATCTGCGAGCTCCTAACAGAACTACACGGAGACCTGTTAATTAGTCCAATCGAGCTTACCCAGTATACTGACCACTTGTCCAAGTTGCCAAACAGTCAACGTTGGCCAACGCCGAAACCTGACGGATGGAGTTCCGATAACGAAACTCGGTCTTCCAGCGGAAGTCTAGTACTAGTCTCCTCCGATAACGTAAAACTGACGTGCAATGAACGTATTCTCTGTCGTGTGCCCTATTTCCGATCACTTTTACATGGTGGCTTTAGGGAATCTCTGCAACACGAACAAGTTCGACTTGATATGCATTCATCAATGTTACACCTTGTCTTGGCAGCCCTTGAAAATGGAACTCTGCCGGAGCTGCCAACGAACAAGCTACTTGATGTTTATACTGTGTTCGACTATCTCCAATGTGACGAGCTTCTTCACGCTTTTGACGAGCAGATGAGACGAATTGCGCTGCGTCTTGGCCAGACTACCTTGGACGATTTTTCAGCTGAACTCTCGCCGGCGTTGATGCAGCGCATGCTACCGCTTCTTTTGCAAGATCTGACCGACGTGTTCGGAATGAAAGGGTACGCTTTTGTGCTACGCTTCTTCCTTCGATGGCTGGAGGTTAGTGGTAGTTCGATTCGAGTTTAGCCAAACAAATGCAACATAATAAGACATCACCTAATATAGATATGATCGAACATTAAGCTTCATACATTGTTTAAAAAATGGCTTTCGGATTATTCAAGCAAGCGCCAATGTTTTATTAAGTTTTCTTTTTCTTTCGGAAATATGAAAAATTCATGCAGAGGAAATTTCTCTATCTAAATGCGGCGTTGAAAGATTTTAGCTCTTACCAATCTGCCACACGCGTCGCGGACACGCAAAAGCTAACCGAAATTTTTAGTACGGCTGACGCGTTGACCCTTGTTCCATTGGCTCTGCAAATAGCTGAAAAATATATGCTGTACTAGTTAATCTTTGACTCACGGTAACAACTGACTTTTCTGCTCCGGACTTCGCCAACGATATATGCCCCACGACAAACTTTCGCGTTTTATCATCGCTTGAAGTCGGACACGTCGCACGGCGACTGGCTTGGGCCGATCCTGTCATCAACGTTAGTAGCAGTGGACGAGTACGAGCATGCTAAAAATGTTACATACGAATCATTCGACGGGCATGTCCACGTGTTTGATGGCAAAGTGTGGGCCCCTTGCCACTGGGGAGACTTCGACTCGATGAGGGAGGGCGTGTACAATTTTAAGGTACGCGCATGCTAAAATTCCAGCAGCTAAAATTTTCACAATGGCAACTGAGTTCTACTTCACATAAATGTAAAGCCGCGCTTGTTGATCGAAATTGCTCTTTCTTAGCTCCCATTATTGTTTGTATAGTCGACAGCTGCTGCTGTCGGCCATACAAACAATAATGATTTTAAGGGCCATGGCTTTTAACTAGATGACCGCTAATACCATTCTTGATTGTAGTATTATTTGCAACATGAAAGCTCTGGACTATACAAATCGACGATGTCATACGAGCTACATAAATGTTATTAAAATTTATTTAAAACATGACTTATTACAGGTATTACGTTATAAACAGCGTTACTTGACGCACAATTTCCTTCGAAGCAACACTGTGGCTTTACACGACTGCGTCACCTGTGAAGAGACAACACTTGCCCGTCATCCCGAAGGACGTACAGGATACTTTATCGAGATGTTAGGAAGGGTATTTTGTAGCGTCAATGGCCAACACTTCGTCATTGGGGACGACCTTCAACTTCATGAAGTCGATATGCCGACGGTTGACGGATTTGCACTTGAACCTCGCTGCGTAGACAATTCGCGTCGGCGAATCTTTTTCGATACAGAGCGCGTAGGATTTTGCGTTGAGCTAGGTAAGGATTTTTCTGTGACAAATCAATGGCAATTCGATAGCAGCGGCGTAACGACAGATTATCAACTTCATGTGATCGATGGTCATATCCTAGCTTTACGCCTTGGCTATGACGTTTTAGTGCTCGATGAAAATCTAGCGAAATTTGTTCTAGTAAAAGATTATATCAAACCGTATCTTGACCAAACGAAAACCTGCGTGTCCACTCAAGTTGATGATCGATCATCAGCTTTGAAACGTCTTGTAGGCGCGCAGTTGCTGCCTAATATTTGTGGGGTCATATATAAAATATTTGACCTACAAGGCCAAACCTTCTTGATAGTCACCGAGGCGGTTGAGTTGACGCAGGCTCGATTGCGTATCAGTGAAACGGAATCCGATCCAAGGCTGGTGGGCTTCTTTAAATGGAGTCCAGAAGGCCGCTGCTGGAAAGACGTTTCAGCCTCAAGTCGTGTTCCGAAGTCACAGGTCCAACAAACCGTTGTCCTCAACCATCCCGGGATACCACTTTATGCCCGAAGGCCCTGTTATGACTAAAATAATAGAAAGTGATTTTGGTGCGTGCACTAGTGTCAGATCTAGCCACATAAGGGATTATGCTTTTCTTCTATCATGTATACACGCTTTCATTTAAGATGTCATACAACTGGGCTATTAGAACCTACGTGGAGACACGAGCGCTCGCAATATAGTTCGACGCCCCGCTGACAAACTTGAGAGAAATGCTGCACCTAATGGCAATCTGTGAGGAAACATATCTAATCCGTGACCCGAAACATGTAGACGGCCATTGACTTTATAACGAGTGAGCCTAGTGGCAACAGCATCTACGATCTAGGTTTAACGTGCATTTGTGTTGGCACTTTTATTGAAAGGCTTGACGAGACGTTAACTGTTATTTTACTCTTTGCGTAAGGAATGACAAAACGGTATTGTGTGGTTTAGCTGGTTACGAAGCTGTGTAATTGTGATCAATTAGCTAAGGTTTGCTTTCCGTAAACCGGCAGAATGGTACGGTAATCAAAATGAGGAATGTGTACAAACGAGGACACGGATTGACTGAACATAAAGATGCTGAATTGCTAGGTGTTAGTGTCACTCCGTATCGATAAGAAATGATCCCCAAGTTAAATTTCGGTGAAATCATCTATACGCATCGTGTGTGGCATAGATATTGAAATTTGTTTACTAGATCTAGACAATTCCGGCTCACGACATAGGCAATCTTGCGGAATAAGTCGTACATAGTTGTTCGTTTACGGTGCCCCAGCCTAGGGTCTCTTATTTCTAACTGTCAAGGCTAGTACGCGATCGGCTTTTCTCCGAAAACATAGTGGAGCAAAAGGTAAATTCGTACGCTCATGAGCAAGTTTTAGAAACGGGTAAGCGTCGCAACTGCTCCGCCTCTTGTTGCAACCCTGTCCGGAATCGTTCATAGCGCTTAGCAGCGTCATGTATGTAGGATTTTTGTTAATTTCATGAATAAGAAATTGCGCTGAATCATTTCGAATATGTCGCATTCGAAAGACGTAAAAAGATCTGATATTATAACTAGGTGTGTAATTTCTATAGTTTTTGAGTAGCGAGTACAACACGATGCCATAAACATAGATGACATGACATTGGACGTTGGAATCAGATGAATCGTTTTACAGATACACAGATATAATTTAAACGTAAAACCTTGTGCATTAGAGGAAGGTGCATCTTGAAGCATACGGTTTTTTATCGGTATATTGTTATATAATCTTACATACGTTACTTTCACGGTTTTACGACGATCCTTACCGGATACCATGCATGTATCAGTTCTGTTTGTCATGGTGCGCTGGCAACGGGTTTGTCGAACAAGCCTAAAGGCATTGAAGGTCTATACGGAAGGGAATATGCGTAAACACACTTTGTTACATGCTGGGGTTCAGCCGTGTAGCGAATAAAACAATCTACCGTTAATGAGCGAATGTATATTTTAACATATTATCTAACGCGATATTTTTCAAAAACCAACTTTTTCTTAAAAATGATGCTGATACATGATTAAAGACAACGACAGACATTTTTCAATTTGTATCATGTACAAACAATAAATAATTACTTTTTTTTATTCACAAAAATTGTATAGGAGGTGTTTTTGGCGGGATTTCACATTCACCCCCTGTCGGTCTTCTTCTAATAGTGTGCGTACCTAAAATGATAAAGCAGCAGATTAAAAAGGAGATTAATGTAATGATTTTCGGAACAGGATATTGTTAAACATAATGATATCTATATACGCTCGAATATAAGATTAAAATAAAAGAGGCCTATTTTAACCTGAGAATATATCTGAATAGAAGTATAACTGTGTCGTCCATATAGTGCTGAACTATTTTTAGCCGCAACCCATTTCCCAGACTGGTTTATCGCGCTTGGCACTTGCCTAAATACTATATCCTACGAAGTCGGCCATAATCTAGAGGTATCTCCTGCTAAGCGTTCACGTCATACGGTCCAACGTTGATATGCTATGGGACAAAAAAATTCCCCCAAAAGGTCCCCGTCGTAGTTTGTTGGGTAGCTATTTGCCTGCTAATCCTAGGGACATGTTTTCTAGGCTTCGTTTCGTGCTGGGAGCCATCCGTCTCAGAGAATGCCTAACGGCAACAAAGGGTGCAAAATTTAAAACATAAAGAAACAAAAATTATACATATTTTTTTCTATCTTTTCTATACCTGACTGACTAAAAACTATAGGCGCCCTATGCACACAGCGTGTATTACTGTAGTATTTAATAATTTTATTTATAAAAATAACAAACATCTTGTAGTATACATAATATTTATTGAAAGATTTGTCTAATATTAAGTTACTCACTCACTTTTCTGTTCCAACTTATATATATATATATATATATATATATATATACATTAATTACCTGGTGTAAATATACCGTCGGCATTATATAAGTAATTCATAATAATAATATTGATAATGGTATGTAGCAATCGATTTCCATCTCTATGTCCATTGTTTCATATAGATATTCTACAGTGCGTTCTATTTAACGACCAGCTAGTATAAGTCTACGCGGGTACGTTCAACCTTTCCTATTTCTAGGTTTGGTTAGGCAACGAGGAGCCCTAAACATGTTGATCGAAATAGCCGTTTGCATTATCAGCGCGCCACAGTGGGAGCCGCGAAACGGCCGCCAACCCCCGACCCCTCGCCGTGCCGTTTCGGCGATATTGATCACTGCAAACCAGTTCATATCAAGTCAGTATCATAACAGTTGTCCAAAAAGGCATGACTATAGCAATTACTGCATTTTTTTGGCACGGATTAGTCGATACTGCCTTATTCAGGTCCATTGTTCCCTTTGTTTGCGTGTCCCGACTTTCGTTTTCGCGTGGCCACGCAGTGTCAGCGCCTTTTGCTAGATTCAATTCATAATCAGCCAATACGCTATGGAAGGTAATTAGCTTGAAATGAGTACTATGAAAATATATGCTATTTCCCTGAAATTATATCTTTGTTGGGTAAAATTAATAGGTTGCGCGGCAAAGAAAAATTAGAAATTCTCACGCTGAGCCATCTCGTTGGCAGGCAAAGTTGTCTTCAAGAGGAGAAAAACTGTGAAGACGAAGCTTTCTAAGGGAATTCTATTACCAGAGTGCTGATAATTGATCATAATAAGAATGATGGTTGTTTGTAGAGTCGAGCAGCGCTTTGGTATGGGAAAACTTGTCCTTACTCTTTGGTAACAGTTTAATCTCGCACATATTTAGATTTGTCGTTAGGGTGACGTATAAAGAGAGTGCTGGCACCTGTTTTTCGACGGAGCCGCTGTCGCCTGCCTCTTGGGAGCTTCGATGGGACTGGCAGTAAAGTTCTACACGTTATATATGTTTAAGTTCTTGCTCGATAATGTTAATGGACCATGTCAGATGTATGTATGAGTTTTGTGTTGGCCTATGGACAATGGCTCGTTAGTTATCTCAGCACTAAATACTCTCATAATAATTGCAGTAATTTAATGGTTAGAGTGATAGACTTATTTGGTCCGTCACTGCAGCTATTAACGCTATGAAATTGCGCTTTACCACCAAAAAACCAAAGAAGATGTATTATCGTGTGTCTCGTAGCGAAAAGTGTACTTTGGTTGAACTCGCTTAGTTGGGAGTCCCGATTCATGTCGACCCACCTTATATCAAGCGAAACCTCCAAATACAATGATAGTATAACGTTTGGGGTAAATAGCTCTAAACTCACCCGTATCAGAAAAACCCGTTAATTTGATATCTGTATTATCTTGCATGATGCTGCCACACTGTGTGTATAGGCGTATGTGCGTCCTGCCAAGATCTAGAAATGAGTAGAAATTCAACCTTATTATACGGAAGCACTTTTTTCTAATTTAAGCCAATACTGTTATAGTTTATTTCTTAGCTCGTTTTATCCTGAAACTGTGCAGATCGAACAAAACGAGCTAAGGAATAAACTATAACAGTATTGGCTTAAATTAGAAAAAAGTGCTTCCGTATAATAAGGTTGAATTTCTACTCATTTCTAGATCTTGGCAGGACGCAGCAGCTTACCAATAATCTCTTAACTAATACCTTTTAAGCTTATCGGTATCTATAAACCCATATCTTGTCATTGGCTCAATGACTTATACTTCATTCATTTAGCAGGGATGTAACGCTGACATGCCAAGAGCTTCACTCAAGCAAGCCGTCCTGCAATTAACGATAAACAACTCTACGCATACATGTTTACCCTCTAAAGGCTTTGTCTTCGAATAAACTCACCTGGCCCTCACTGAATATGATGTTGTTAACCAAATGGGCCTCTGAACTTCATAAATAAGGGCGTTCTAGATCGTGCTAAACCATATGCAACGAACGAATACTAGGCAATGTGTGGCCGTGCTCGTTTCAAAGTTAGCGGAGTTGAGTTAGAGAAAATTGATACATCAATGGCAACATTCTAGCTCCTTTGTCTGTCTGCGAATGCTTTAGGCGTTAAGGAATCATTATGAATAGGCGAATTTTCTGACATAAAGTTCCCTAGAGCTTTCACAGCTACTTCTATAAAAGTTGTCCCAGAGTTCAACTGTTACAATAGAACAAGGACACCGGAGCGTCATTTCAGCGTACCTTTTCTGCATCAACTAAAGGTAGTTCCTAATTTTTCTATGAGACATTTACTGGGCCAACCGGCCTCGTATATCAGAACCGTTCTTCAAAAAACTTTGGATAAACGAGTAAGCATATCTCGACGATCTCATAATAGCATGATGCAAAAAGTGCTTTATAATAATAATACTAGCATACATTGCCATATAGACCCCTAGAACGTGCTTAAAGGGCTCACTAATACACCATTTTGTTCTTTTCATCAATTTTTTTCCATAATGATGAATGCGAACCTGTAAGAGTTGGTTTTCAATTGCTTTCGTTTTCAAGGCTAATTCTTTCCTAGCATCCAACCCTCATATATTTATCACTTTCATTGCGTTATATTAAGCTGATGCTGTCTTAAACGTCCTATACGCATGCGGCCGTCTCACTTTTATGATCTCCATCATCAGATATTATCTAGATAATAATAATTTGTTTTTCATTTTTACGTTTATAGATTTATTCATGTTCATGACATATACCTGTGCCTATATATATATATATATATATATATATATATATATATATATTATATCAATGAACGTCGTCATGTAAAGATGTGCGTTTGTATCGTTTTCTCTAGGTGCGGGCTATCTTTAAGTATGCCTGTTTGTTGCAATGCTGGATTAGCTAATTAACTCATCGAAACACCGGAAGTTCATCTAGATATATGTCGAGAACGACGCTTGCGACATATATTGCGCCTTAATAGAATGTTGGCAATTAGGTTTGCCGCTCGTTAGGAGTAAGGTTCTTTAATTACATTTAAGTATGTCCAATTTAGAGATAGAACTGACTGTGGCCATGGCACATTGTCATTTTCTTATCGGTAGCGTCAAATAGGTCTACAGACTCTTGTTCGGATATCAAAGTCTTGTATATTCACACGACTCTGAGGTTTCGATGGAGCTAGTATATTCATAGACCAGTTAGCTTCGTGCATTTATATACGACCCTTATAATTGTCTCCGCGCATCAAGTCCTGCCTTTCTAAGAGTTCGAGTTTACGCGAAGCCCACATAGTGGCTACACGGTTAGACACTAACACCGCTACCAGCTGAGAAGTAGCATCGATGGTTCAGTCGTTTCTCGCTTCAATAGATATAATCTTTTGCAGATTAGATCTGATCCACTTTATGTATTTCAATGACACAGAGCAACCATGTTTACGATCTGCCTCAGTCCTGCGTAGCAATCAGAGCTGCATATACTGCTTCTGGTTTTTATCACAACTTAATACTGTGTTCTGTTTCGAACTGACCCCCATATACCTACCCCTATATGACAAGTCTTAAGAATGACCTTTCGGTAATTGTTTCGAAAACTGCCAGGAGGATTTAAATACAGATGTTTAGGGCGACTGTAGAGGTGTCTTGATATGAAAAACGAAGAAAACGATACTGAATGCGAACCTTAATTTAAAAAAAAATCGCTTTTAAGATAAGCCCCTTTTTAAGGTAAGTTGAATGCCCGGGTCGTGTACCGAGGTTGGCACCAATAATCTGAAATGTTGAATTGATCCAGACTGTGGTAAATGCTGATGTCGTGCTTCTTGCTTAACGCTTGCCCTCGTTATCGCGGAGCAGGGCATGAATACCAGGTATTCTGCCCACTGTATATTATACAAGCATGATTCTGACTCCGTACGTAGCATTTCTGACGCAAAGACGAACAACCACCAACGATTATGAGTCGTAGAGCTGCTATAGCACTTCAGCAGGAAATTTCAGTTCTCCGCTGGCTTAGTCCGCTATAGGTACTTATTGGCCGATATATCAACAGAACGCTGAACTTATAAGTAGTTCCTGTGGTAACGATCAAAACGATTGGCTCAGAACTTGAGATCACTACGAAATATGGCGGCTTCCACACGCAGCACTCGTGGAGCTGCAAGCCCCCAGCTCGGCCAAAGCCGAGATGGTCTGATGTTAGATATTCTTGCTCGGCTTGAGACGACCAATTTTCATGCTAACGTTGCCGTTTGCGAGCTAATGACGAAAGCAGCACCATCAAAGTGGAACAATATAAATACAGGTAAGATTCTACCATCTCCTTCATACGTAGAGTGGTGATCGTAAAAGAAAATTGAACTGTCATAATAAGAGATGTACTATTATTATTATTATTATTATTATTATTATCATCATGTCAAAACCCGTTCCTATAATAACACGCGGCTACGGTACATAAACATTTGTCACTCAGAGTCCAAGTGTCAGATTAGACAATTATTGAGGTTGACAAAAATTCTGTAAAAGATGCACTGACGTTATTTATTTAGAAAAGGCTCAAACAATTAATGGAAAAGTGGTCTTAAGCAAAAGAAGTCTCAGGTAGGTCTTACATGTATTCCCACTATACGCCATGGTTGATCAACTAACCACAGATTAAGCTTACCTTGAGGAGAGCGGCTGCGTATTCCGGTGACGCATCCTTAACGTCCTGCCCATTAATTTCAAGGATTTCATCTCCCTGAAACAGGCGACCATCCTGCTCAACAGCTCCACCTGCTACGACCTCTGAAATGAAAACTCCTCCAGGGGGGTCATGCCGCGAAACAATGCAAACTCCTAAGCCCCTTCCAGGCTTCTTGGTAATCGCAACGTCGAACGTTTCATTGCTAGTGTTGAGATTGTGTTCCGTATCCCTGTAGACAACCATTCGGACGGGCGAGCTAACTTGCCGCAATGCGTTAATTGCCTGTATCGGCAAGCATACGGACCAGGTTATTATTTAGACAGAAATCGAAGACAAGCGTGAACTAAATTACCACTTATCGCATATTGCTATATATTTTCTGTTCCAAACCAAGATTAAGATAGTACTACCTTAGCTAAACTATAGGCGAAAAAGAGCAGACGTTTACTTAAATTATCCGAGAAGTGAACAGAGTACGCCACATAGAAACACAAAGACAGAAAGGAAAACGCCATCCTGTTTGAGTTACCTGCTCGTGTGATGCCGTCGATAGATCAATACCGTTTAGTTCGACAATCTGGTCGCCTACCCGCAGTCTTCCGTCCTGATGAGCAGCTCCATGCTCAAGGATCTCGTGTACGACTATGGCCCCCAGTGGCGTATCAGCTCCACCCACAACGCTCAGGCCAAGCCCAATCTTGTCTCTGGCGATTTCAATAATAGTTTCCTCGCCAGCTACGATGCTTTCGCTTACCGTTGATCGAGGTGCATTGCACGACGAGCGTGATAGAGGTGTGTACGCCAGCTGCGACTGTATAGATAAAATAGAGGTCAACCAGCAGCAGCATGACAGAATACAGCCATAGTCAAATGAGTAGAAAACACAAAACGGGCCACGAAAATGCAAAATGCTTAAAGCAAATGGATCAAGCAATCTGCTTAGCATACGAAGAGCTGATATTCAATAATTAATTTCTTCACAGCTTTTCTATAAATAATATATAAAGAACATACGTTTTACAATGGCCAGACGAGTCAATAAAGCTGTTCTATAATCAATTTTGCAAAAATGCAATATCTAAAGAATTTAATTAGGTAATACAAGAACTATTATTAATATACTATTTATATTTACATCATACTATTAGATTTAGTTATTCTATAGTTATATAATATTGTTATATTTAATATTACTATGGTAGGACCATGGTATCCTAATAGCGAAGCCAATGCTAATTTCGTTTAAATCTACGTATTTGGTAAAAAATTAAGGAATTAACGATTTTTAAAACGTAGTGTACCTTTTCGATTATGGGGGACCTAGATATTTCGCGTTGTAGACGCACTCTTATGAACTGAGCCTTAATTGTTGCGCCCTAAATCTACAGTAGCACAAAGTTCTCTCAATTTAAAGCAAATATAACGTTTATCTCCTTTCAACATCTAGGTATACCTAAAAGTGCGTGCAGAAACATTCCGTGCACGAGAGCTTAAACCAACTTCGACTCAATTGGAAATAAGCAACGTCCTTTATATGCACAATGAATATCAAAGTTGATTAGTGTTCTTTTTATGATAAACACAGTTAGTGAAAGTTCGAAGAGTACTCTTTAAAACAAACTTAGCAAAGCTCGTAGCCATCGTTTTTGCTCTAGCAGCGTCTAGAGATGGTCTGCTATGACTTTTTAACATGGAAATTCCTTGTACTGTATCTTTTACTTAAATCCAACGTTAGTTTGAGCAATGATTGCTAATGAATTCGTGTAAAGTATGAGTGATTCTTAAACCACTTGAACTACGGAGGCTGCAAGTGAGAAACATGCATTTTTCGGTTTCTACGCCCGGAATCAAGTCAGCATTGGAGATAAAACGGCTGCACCATGACGCAGGCGCATCTATTTCAGCGTGCAGGCCCAAGATTCGTCCAAGTAGACCGACATGTCGCTCTGCGGCATGGCGAGAGCACATTTCATAAGTATATAAAGACTACCTCTATTACTTACTATCTTCTGTTATCACTAACTAAAGGACGCATGAAAAGGCTCGACACGTTATTACGCTATCTCAGATCCACGAATTTCACAATACATTATGCAGTTTATCAGAGTTATACGAAGTTACGAAAATTAAGAAATTTTGGATCTATGATCTCGACATTTTGTTATTTTGTTGCCCATTCTTTTACATGATGACGACTGCTACTAGGCACATTCTTATATTTTTTTATATATACCAGATAAAGGAAAATATACGGCTGCGAGTGATAATAATGCTAATAAATATGACGGTGTTTTATTTTTTCCTTTCTCTAAAGTTCAAACACTCAGCATTATTGAAGGCTGTCAAACAGGCTATCGAGAAAGAACTCAGGGATTCTCCGTGTCCGGCGTGGCACAGTGGTTAAAACGAACGCGGTAGAAATAAAAACAGCTTGGACATACATCATTAAATTTCAATTATATTATAACAAGCGAGACCGCATTGTCAATCCTCTTTATACCAGGCTCCCACGCTGACCGCTGCCAACTTTTCCATTTGCACCTAGCCTAACAGTTTTCTCGTTCTTCTGAACGCCTTGGAAGTATGAGTAGGACGGCGCCTTGGGCAATGTCTACTCGGGAAGTGCCGCACGTACGAAATATCTTGTCCTAGAGTCAGCTTCTTCCAAGCCTTCTTTAAAAACTAGCGAAGGTCACTAGGGGAAGCTTTTTTTTCATATCTGCAGGATTCGGCCGATCTTATATGTAGTTTCAATGTCGAAGGGACAGGGCATAACTCAAGTTATATTTTTCGAAATACTAGCGCGGACCATACGGATAGGTAGGGGCTAATCGAGGCAAGAACGTATAACTCGAAATATTTTCTTTCACTACAGCGTACCACCATGTATACTTTCATTGGTCAAATCCGCAACCAATGAATTCCCTACAACCTTGTGATGTTGTAAAGTGTTGCCCAACGGTTATCGGGCGTCTCGCTGAGAGTTACCTCAGTACCAGTCGCCTTACTTGTATGGAGCTAAACCCGCCGATGTATTATTGTCAAACGTATCAACCTGGAAGCTGCACTGCACTTGAGCACCGTGTCAATCTGAAATATATTCCTCACACTTGTGGTCTCATAATACTATCTCCGACTTTACCCCTATTTACAATCTTTTTAATCTAATAACCTTAATTCATCCGAATAGACTACAGTAATCATTCTCCTCTAACCTGCATTGAAGGTGAGTGAGGTATTTCTGCCGTGGGTGATGCACTCTTTCTGCTAAAGGGTCCCATTGATTTTCGGGTTGTGGCCTGTTTACCGTAAGGCGGTTGCTGGCCCTGAGGTCCCCCCTCGAAGGACGATGCCTTACGCTTGATCACACTTAGATTAACTGGATCACGTGACGGTTTCGCTATCGTGAACTGGACTGTACCTGTCGAATTGGCAAAGCCAATGGTCAGTAATCATTGTTCAATATAGAGTTTGTGTCTTGATCTAATACACTACACTTGTATCGTATTATGTGTCACTGACGAAGCCTGAGCTACCGGCCCCTTCTTTTCGAAACCCAGATAAAAAAAAAATATACGTTTATATGAAAACCTTCGCCGTAATAATGCTGCGAACAAAAAATTGTGTGTTTAATTACAACTAATTAACTAGTTTGAGCTAGATTTTCGTATAGATTAGATCAGCATCGAACTCTGCTTGTTATATAGTTGTTGTATGCATTAACTGAACGTTCCAGGTTTCGAGTTAAGTTTTATGCTATTCCAACGACTACCAATGCTCCATAGTTTTGTATTTATTGCTCCAAGGCAAACGAGGGGAGTATGCGTCATGCAGCACGAAGGCTCAAAAACTCGTTTACTTCAATGACCACCCTGCCTATGGCCCATCTACTGACTCACGTACCGTATACAATTTTTTTAACAAATGTCGTTTCACGAAACCATCTTTCGACCCTGGATGAAACAACATGACTTAACCGCGACGACTTACAATCAGTGTGTTATCCATTTAATCAATGGACTCTTGTTTCTGCTTCATGCCCCCATACGTGGAGGACGTTCGTTTTTATCTGGCAACTTTCAAAAAAAAAAATTGGTAAAAGTACCTTCATTTGATTTGAGTATCTGTACGGCCCGTTCGTAGTCGGCTCCGACGAGATCATGCTGATTTACGCTCAGTATCATATCCCCGATGGCAAGTCCTGCCTGATGAGCTGGGCTTCCCTCCTGGATATCGCTAACAAAGATTCCCTGACCTGCATCAGGGTGCCGACCTTCGATAATCATCAGACCTAGCCGGCAGGATCCCTTTCGTACAACAATATTCCTAATATCCTTATATGATGAATAGTCCACCTAGCAGGAATTGAAAATAGAGATATTTTTTATTAGAATATATCAATATTCCTTTAGTTACTTGACTTGTTCTTCAAGATCTTTAGCTCTTGGTAGCTTGGCAAAAAAAATATTGTTCTCAATGGCTTGATTAAGGCTAACTATTGCACTTACTAGATATTTAGGATACCTAATATATCGACATCGGGTACATTTTATGTAGGCCCAGTTTAGGCACCATTCTAGAAATTTCTACGTCGTTCTTTGACGTTTGATGATTTCACTATACACATACAGCTGACAGCAAGTCGACGAAAGACTGATGTGTAACGATAATTTAGTAATAACAAGTCTCTAATAAGATGCACGGATATTGCTACTGTTACTTACTTGATTATCAAAAAGCACAGGGTACTGCGTTAAGGGTCTCACTGCCATATCATCAATCGCGTTTTCTCTTCTGTAACAAAATTATAACAACTTAAACAATAAACAAATCTTATTGGCGCTATACATATCCAAACTAATCTGGCCGGCAGTAGACAGGACAGCATCGTGTTATGTAAACGATAAACAATAGACTTCCAACTGGGAAGTACCACGAAAATTTTGAATTTCGAATATAAGCGCGCCCAATCATGCATGATTGATGCTAGCTTTCTTGGTTCCTAATATCATATAGACTCATACGATTTCGCATAATAATTGCCCAAACATTCCCCTGGCAGCTGTAAACCAAGCATCTTTCTCTATCGTTACTGTGTGCCTTGGTATGTTGTATTGTGTTTATATGGCGGCTCGTTGGGAGATAATGTTTGTTTTTCTGTAATTTTTCATTTGCCGATGGCAAAGTATTACATTCTATTGGAAAGTTTTTGGCTTGCTTTTCAGGCATAATGGGTTTTGTCCATACCATAAAATTTTTCAAGGAAGTATGGCTTTGAAGCAAATGTGCCCTTTTTCATGGTTCGGCAATCCTATAGGAATTATAATAGGGAAACAGTAATAAAAGGGAAATAAAAAACGAGTAGAAATCGGAAAAGACCTGATAAAAGCAGGGAAATTCATTGGAATAAGACCAAATTTGTATTGTTTCAGCTAAAAAATGACAGGGTCAAATATAAAACAAGTTATAAGTCAACGATACACACGAAAGACCCAAGCCGACCTTATTTATTATCCTTTACTAACCTTTTAAAGTTTTTTAGATCGATATTTAGCCGTTTTTCTTTACCTGAGAGAAACAATTTCAATTTTGCTCTTTTATGTAGTCACGATTGTTTACAGTAAGCATAATTATCGCTTTTGTGAACTGTCAAAACTATGACACCTCAAGAACATGCAAATTTCTTATATGGACAAAATGATGGCAACTAGCTCAGAAAGAGACCCGTTTTCCAAGCCTGGCGCACAGAACTTAGTGATTGGTCGACGACTCGGTCGCTGCATAATCTGTGTGAATAAGAAAAGGTTTTTGTTTATGTATCTTATATAAAAACAAGCCAACAATCACAAAAACGAATCAATAAGTACAGAAGTGTTATTACTTTCTGGACAATCTCACATATTTTTTGTAATGCCGTAATGCTAAATTCGTCTTTCTCCTTGTAATATTTTGACTTCTTTTTCATTATATTCAAATATATTCTGAAGTTCATCGCCTAAAGATATCATGGACATTGATCGTTACTATTTATAGGGATTTGTCAGAAATATCTTGAAAGATAGCCAGCTTTACGGAGATTAATAGCAATAACAGGTCTCAGTTTGCGTAGATTCAGTTTGTGTTAGCATTTGGGCATCTACGCATGATTTCCTAGCTCACATGTTTCAAAATAATTCCAAACTCGTTCCTTCGCCGGCTTTTTCCACGAACCACACCCGAAGGCTCACAGATACGTCCTATACAAAATCTTTGGACTAGCATTGCCGAGATCATACCAAGGCTAGCTCTTCGCCTTTTGCTTTCCTGTATATTGAATCATTCCGGATCTGAACTATGAGGTAGTACTACGAAAGATATCTACGAGAGAGCTCATAGTATAACTGGGCTCATTTCGTACCTACTCCGGAGCCCGCAAAGGGTAGGTCTATATTGCAGAGTATCGGTTTCAACGTTTTTCCATCGTGTGTTGGTTTCTTGGTCTGTGCATCTTGATGAACTTATCTGAGTTTTTCCTCTAACAGAAGTATGAAACGGCATGGTAATAATATATTACGTATGGCGAACTCTTGAAATAGTTCGGCTAGAGTGACAATTTTTTAATATGTATTAGAAGTATCGTTTTTTTATTTTTTACGCACTTGCCTAGGCGCTCTGGCAACTTCTAGGTAACCATATACCTACAGGTCTCGTTCCCATACGTAGATTCTCCATCCACGGCTTCTCGAAGTAAATCTACGATGGCATATGTTTGTTCATCAGTTACCGTTTTTACGGCATGGAAAGTCCCTTAATCAAACGGACTTAGATTGCGAGAATAAGCCGATTAAAGGCAACGTTGTATATTCCTCAGTTCAAGAAGTCAAAGTTCAACAAGGTCTGATATTGTCATTAAGAAACCACACTGCGTGCTTCCGAGTGCTGTGCCAACGGTCCACGAAACCCTTATGGGACTCGAATCGGCGGTCTGTGTTCATTGTTTCATTTTCGGCGGCTGTCTCAGGGTAGCCGTTATTGTCGATCGCTAATACTGCCCCAACTTACCTACAAACCACTGCTACCATACCCTATATTTTCCAGAGCGACATCGTTCTCTCGCCTAATTGTCCTTCGGCTGACGGTAGATGTTACACCATGCATCGTTTATGACAACCGTATGTTCCAGGCAGGTTTTTTTTTTCATTAAGGCTCCGCCAATTGCCCGTATAATACACCACAAGGATTTACAGCAAATTCAACGCAAAATCTGTGGAGAACCCATTTTTTTACTCAGTTTCCGTGTTTTCAGATGTGAATTATAATTTTGTGACGCGCCACAGGTGAAAACCCAGTTTTGGCCGATAGATTGTAGGCTCTGTTTTCGTGAAATACCTCCTCGATCGTGGTACTACGTTTTTGTTCTTTTAGTCCCAACAGCTGATCACTTCTTCACAGATCTTCGATACTCTATTTTTTGTTCTTGAAGCGTTTGCATCATTTAATTCCTAAATTTGGGCTAAAGGTCTCTTTGCCTAATGTCCTTACCAATTTCCGATGGCTTCCTGCAGCGCTGCGGTTCTCGAGCAATAAAAACCTGAATACTGAGTATTAATGGAGACTAAAAGACTAACTTACTTAAACGGCTTTCAGTTAAAAGTTTTCTAAGAAGACTGAAATACTGATCAGCCAATTTCGTCTGCTGCAAGTTGTTTGAAATTTCTTAAAGACGAATGTCGACTGGATTTGCCAACGCTGAGGTTGGAACTAGTGGCAGTGGCATGTTTACGATTACCATAGCAATATACTCAAATGCTCATTAATCATCCAGATTACATAATCCCTTGAAAACTTATATCTGGGTTGATTTTTTAGTGCGTACTTAACGCGTTATATGGACGGTCCTAAAGCATGAGGACGTTCCGGCGACAACTGCGAACTCTATGGGGACTAGACAGAGCCTAATAGTCAGTTGCGTTCAATAAAAGCAAACTTTATGGCACATTCACACATTAACTTCTGTCGGATATACTAGTTCCTAGAATTTTTATTCATAGCTTACAACGTATGAATAGTGATTTGAAGATCGACAGAAGTAAACCGAAGTTGCTCTCTTTAAGTGAATGGCTATATCTCAAAAGATCAGTATTTTAAAAAATCTTTGGCATTAAAAAAATCTCTTAGTTTGGATGTCAAAACAACAGCTAAACCATCAACAGATCTGGTTCATGATATCCAGAGAAAGCGAAAGCCTCGTTTGCCTTTGCCTATCAGACGCGGCACTTAATTCCGTCTTATATTCGTACTTTGTATCCACGGCATGTCTACAGATTTCAGTCACCACATAACGATTCCTTTCAGCAACAGAGCGATAACTAAACTGGCACTAAGTTCATTTATGTTATTTTATTTAATGCATCGTTTTATTAAGCGTACTATAAACTTTTTATGACCTCAGTCGCACTTATAGCTAGCCACAATCAGAACAGGTAACGGCAACTACATCGTACTATAAGATCGCAATTAAAGTGTACAGAAGCTTCACGTATGTACTTACGGATATACCTGATTTCAGCTGAACTTCTTATCAATAACTATTTACTACTTGTCACTGTACTGACCTGAGCACGGCGATTTTATAGGCAGGTCCAGTGAAGGATTTAATGATTGCCGACGCGTTAAGATGCGACCTTCCGAAGATGATGCTGCCGTTCACCTGACGCCGTCGCAAACGGTTGAAATGCGGTAGCAATAAAGACAGGAGCCAAAACAGAGGCCGAGGAGGAAAGTGTGTTAGAAACCGTTTACGTTACGCTCGCCTTGGTCAGTCGGGCTTCCGCAACGGCAGAAGCAACAAAAAAGTCAGCATCTTTCCTCCGTAAGGGAAACGGCGTTTAACACAGATCTTTTTTCACGTTTGCCAGGCTCATCGCAAGAACAACAGGCCCTTAACTGATAGATAGTGTACTATATTGTTGGCAAGAATAGTGCAGTGATTAACGTATCTAATTCAGGCTTACGTCTATACAACCTGGTTTTCGCAGATGAACCGTTATTATGATATGACCATGATGAGCTGCTGCTCCATTCAAAAAACTCTAAGGATTTTGGATAAATCAAGAATTTATTGCCTCTTTTTATTATCGTCACTTGATTCGTACGTCGATTCTTCAAAACAGAGGTCTAGCCAAGTTACTCAAGTAGTAGTATCATTTTATAGGGGTGCACTTTATAGAAAATGTATTTTAACAAGTTTATGAATTTGCTAAGAGCATGCGTTGTGAAGCAAAATGTAACAATGGTGTATATCATTAACTTACGTTAACTGGTGACAAAAACGAACAATTTATGAAACCACAGAATCTACGTTATCGTCGCAGTTGATTCTTACTATATACGACATAGAGAAGGCGGGAAACATCATACAGAGGATTAATTGGAGAATCGTTCAAATGAAATTTCGTTTAATTTTTATTGGTAAATGTCAAGGGCTCTGTATATATCTATATATATATATATATAGGTCAAGAATACAATATACACATATGGAGTAGATGGGAACATTTTGCGTCGTATGGGTTAAAGGGTTTTGTTGTGTTCAAAAAATTAATAGGTTTGCCAGATATCAAAAGACAGCGAACGTTACGGTATCTATCATAATTTTCCTTGTATTTCGAGCGTCTACATGTATCGTCAAGTTACTACGGTCCCTTGCACAGTCTATGGCAGGGGAAATGCACTGCAAAGTGAGTAACGACATGTCTGTTTAGCCGGTTCGTCCCTTTCTGCTCGTTGTTCCTCAGCGCACCCGAAGCAAAGAGATCCCATCAACCTCCTCGAATTTTTGCTTTAGGTTCTTAAAGTTGGTCCTGGAAGCTTTGCTTACTGGAAGCTCAAAGCGACGACGTAGATCTAGTATCGTAGTAGTAGTATAGTCCCAATGCTTTTAACGCAAGCAGGCTTTGACGTGATTTAACTGAGGTTAGGGTTTTCTATTTGTCCAAATGACGCATGTCAGAATTCCCTTGAGGTCGTACGAGCTGTCAGCGAATGTGAAGGACAACCGACGAGACAACTGATCGCTTATGCGGCCGACACTGTCTTCAAACACGCGTGCAGTGGAACTTTTGCGGTTCGCGAAGACGCACAACCCCCAAGTACGGAAATCTAAGCAACCAACCTAAGCTTAAAGATTATTCCTGAGTGGTTCAAATATTAGATTTTGACTAAGCTTCATTTGAAAGGATATCTTATCTTCAAATCTATCGGATAATGAGTCCATTAGACCTAGGATCTATGAAAGATACCTTTCGAATAGGTTGATCTGCCTTAATTCTACGATAGTCCGGACTTGATATTCCTTCGCTTATACAACTGACTCTCGAACACAGCCTGGAAAGATCGCGAGGAATTTTTTCTACTGATAAGACAAGTTTTGCCTTCTAGATTACCAGGACACTTGAGCCGAGTCATTAAGCCAAGATGGTCAATCCTACGCCGATTTACGCGTGCCGTTTCTTTGTATACAAGTCAGATTATATTGCCCACTGCCAAGGTAAATGGAAAGCCTTTGTTTAGCATACTTCGCATGTTCCTAACGTCTTTAAACTTTTTCGAAAATAAGGTGCAGAACTCAATAGGCTGAAAACGACGACTGTAAATAGATTATTAAAGCTGAACGATCTTATACCTTCCCACTTTTTGTTCGCAAATTCGACACCGTATTTCATCAGTGCTCGCTCGACGTCCTTTGACTGATGTAAGGCAATTTGACTAGCTACATTAAACAAGAGATACAGCCGTGAGCTTCTGAGAGCCTTACCTCGTTCAATAAGTCTCTGGAAAAAAAATATCGACCCGTGCCATTGCGCTATTGCCTCTGGTGTGTGATGCATGGTGATAGACGCACACCGATTAATATTATGACACATCGGATTTGTATATTAGCTGAAGGGCAAGTATCCTATTTTCTCCACTTGTATCCTCCCGTGGGGGCGTACATTTCGTCTAATTTGATCAAACTATTATCAAGTCATATCTGATAAATGTAATAAGTGAAAATCGCAACAAAGTAAAGAAAAAGTAGCGAAAATTCATTTGACAACTATGAAAAGCTTTACCTCGAGAATTTCATCGCCGATGCGTAGGGTGCCCTCGTGTTGAGCCACCCCATTCGGATGGATGCCGCAGATGAAGACCGACATCTTGTTGCGGTTTTTGTTGCCCGCAATCGACAGGCCAAGGGTTGTGCCGCCGTTGCCTGTTGCTTCAAGCCGTACCACAAGTACATCTCCGCCCAGCTCCGAGTACTTTGAGGTCACTTCGACTATATCTAATGAATGCGCTCATATGCCAAAAAATGAATTTATACATGAGGGACAGATTCGATCAATCAGTTTAAGCGATAATTCGATATCAAAAAGAGGTCACATTACGGATCAATAGTAATTCTATTGACTGACAAATGAATGGTCGATTGGATAATACTTAGTCAGCACGATAACTTGCTTGTGGTCATTGCGCATTTTTGGCGCCGGAGCAAGCTATCCGTCCTAGTTGAGATAGTAAATGTTAGATAGCAGCAGGTAGCATTAAGGCCTTTTTATAGCCTAACCCATATACAAGCAGTGACGATACATAATACTTTTATACATACAGTCGGCACAATGCTGCTATTATACATATTAACGACCCGTCAGACCGATTTCTGATACATATAGCTTAGATGGTTTTCGTCTTCGTATCATTTTTTCGGATTCGGAGAGGTTATGGCCTAGAAAGTGACCTCTCCGAATCGCGGACAGGTGACGAGCGAATATACAGGCTTCCCTATTCACACGCTTCCGCATCAGTATAATATAGTATGATTTTCGCCATCTGCGCCTAACATCCTTTGCATGTCTTTTGTATGGAGTTTCAAACAGATACAAGTCACTTGTCATGCTTCTCTATCCTATTTATCTAGGTTTTTTTAATCTAAACACCTCTGGCCTTGTTCTTTATTTCCAAAAATCAAGTATTTATCTGCCAGATGCACAGGCTACTATACAAGGAAACCGAAGACGAGGAGTAGTAGCGGAACTAAATTTGCGGTTGTTCTCACTTTAATCCGTCCGCACGCTTTCCATTATCAGTTGAACTCTGAACCTTGGTCGGGCCGGATAGCTGTTTCACTGTTATTTTATAATTTTTTTCCTGAATCGTAAAGTCACCCACGGATGCCCACTGACGCGGTTAGCGCCATTGCTACAAATGCGCATGCGGTTTCGCTTAACTCTCCTTAACTTACCTTAACTAGTAAGCATTCTATTGAACACAGTTACTATTTTGCTCTTCTAATCTTCGATAATAATGTTCTAAATCCTAACGCCTGGCTCGAACGAATCAACCACAACGGCACAAAGATCGTTACCGGCATCCTCTACACTGAGCATGGTTCAAAACGTACTGAATACCAATACCAATGAACTCTGCCACTTATACCTACCTTCATTGGGATCCTCGTTGAGATTTGCGCACGACATCGTGGAAGACGTTATTCGCTAGTGAAACACTCTTTTAAGATACTATGCTGCTGTCGCAGTTGCTCTCCCCGTTCGTTCCGTGTCAGCCAACTCCGAGCTTTTCTGTCCCACTTTCCCCACAAAGACGGCCAGCAGCGCTGGCGCTTCCGTCTGGCCTTCACCACCCGCGCACCTGACACTACCTGATCACTCGATGAGCCTTGGGCTGGCGCGACGTCGTGCGCCCACAACCCACTGCACAATCGTCACCCAGCAGCAGCAGGCACCGCTGAAGCAGGGATCATCGATAGCAACACGGATTTAAACGTCACCGTTGCCGTCGTCGTCGTCGTCGCAGTTAACAACCACTAGCCTCTTCTATTACTGTAAGTACTGAACTATTTGGTGATGGTGATTGTTCTGCTATTACTAATGCTGCTCGATTGTTCGCTCGCTGGTTGCACACCGTCGTGTGCAGCGTGCGTACGTCAGAGTGGGCAAGCAAGAGGACAGGAGGAAACTGGGAGAAAGGGCCAATGAGACGGCGAGACAGGTGACAGCGGCAGTGGCGGAAGATGGTAAAACTAGATAAACCACCACATACACTGCTGCTGCTGGCTGGTAGCAGTCATCAACGTGGTACGCTCACCCTCTCGAGCGTTGCTTCCGTTTTTGCCGTGTCGTTTACGCCGAGGGTCACCAGAGGGCGCAAAACGGTATAGACGTTGAACTCGTAAGATCTGCAGGCGACCTCGGTGAAAGACTGTCGGCCTGCCTGACTCACGGCACAGCTCGTTTCGGGTTGCTCGGTGAGAGTGTGCCTGGGGGAGATATGTTGCAGCTAGTACGGGTCCTGCTGCTGCTACTACTACACTCGTTAAGAGTTTGGAAGGAGGCTCGCAGAAGAGTCGACCTTTAGGTGCAGGCAAAGGCAGACGAAATACGATAAGCTGGCTAAGTGAGTGCTTGCTAGTAATATTATCGCCTATTTAGTGCTTTGCGCTTCGAAGGCTGCAAACGGCGAAGTAAGGGCGCAGGCAATACGCAACCGTATGACTGACTTATTCCTTTTGAAGTTTTCTTTCTTCATCTGGTTAGGATGGCAGCAGCAGGGCTTGTTCGCAGCCTGGTTGGAAGGATACCACTAGCCACGTCTCTGGCGTTAAGAGATGCCACATGACCCAGCGCCTGGTCCGAGTAAACCTGGCCTATCCATCGTACCTTTACGAATGAGACGTACAGTAGCAATAGACGCGTTAATTACCATCTCACACAGATAAGCGAAACAAAGAGGGTAAGTGGGGGTGAGTGGTGAGAGTGCACGTTGTTGTACGGGTAGTTCTACTTGAAACTGACACATCATGATACACAGCCTTTTTCCACAAACAGAAAACAATAAGGCCGCTAAGACGGGACCAGAGCTGGATAGCAAAGGACCAGGCAAGCTGGAGGAAATTTAGTGAAGATTAGATCTTTTTCAAACTCGCTTAAAAGTTATAGGACAATGTAGATGACCACTATCCACTGCGAGAACACTCTTGAGAGGGAGAATTCATCATCCCGTTGAAAAAGATAGCCTCAGCCTGGTATGTATGTTTCATTCGTCATCTTTCCTTGTCGGACGACATCTTTATATGCTCTCAGAGCATTGATTTTCGTTAGCCTCCTTTAAGGCAGGCGGGTGCTTGCTTGCAGGAGTTAGCTAAACGAAATCGTCGTTGAGCAGTTGCGCTGGTAAGTAACGCAGCGCAAGGGATAGACGAAAAGAAGACGATCTTAGTACTCCATTGAGTAAAAGATATATATATATATATATATATATATATAAGAATAGAACGCTGCAGCGCGTCACGCCATGCGAAAAGTTGTCCCTCGTACGCATATGCTACATATTTCTTATCTAACTGATGCACAAACCATCATCAAAGAGACCTCTCTCAAACATATAGTGTATTTTCTCTTAGCTTCCTTTCGTTCTTTCATCTCAGCTTCACTTCGGTCCCAGTAGTAATTTAGTCACAAAAAATTGTTCTGTTCACGCCTAATTCTTTGGCGTCTTATTTTCCCATCAGCCTGTTCCAGATCCTTCTCATATAATCTCCCGCCTCGCAACGTTATCGTCTAAGGATAGTACCCATAGCGCTGTGTCCGTAGCGCATGGTAAGAGCGCGGCTGTGACTTTCTCCCAGGGGGTCTGAAGCGAGAGGACTGTAGGTTTCTCTCCCCGATAAAATCGTCTGCTTTGCTCTACGTAACATGCGTGCATCTGACTCGGGGGCCGAGGCCAGCACTGTATTCTGTTCGTCGGTTCGTGATCATCTGACTCTGTTTGTCATTCAAATAACTGACGATTCGGTGAAACATTGTCGTCATTGGTTCACATCTCACCGACGTTCTTTGATCTCAACCTCATGCTGCTAGCCTCGTGAGTAACGTGACCAACTACACTGGCTTGCCTCTGTCAGTAGTTAATGCATACGTAATCCGCGCTGGGTCTCGAAGAGCAGAACGTCCAACAAGAGACGATGAAGGAGGCCGATCAACGGCTGTCCCCATTACCCGAAAACGGGCCGGTGGATATGGACAAAGTAAACTACTACTATGGAAATATATCCAGAGAAACAGCCGAATGGATTCTGTGCGAACGAGGATGCAAGGATGGCTTATACCTTCTACGAAAATCTAAAGAGGATTTTGTACTTTCGCTATGCTATGAGAAGAGGTAAGTAATACGCTGTTAAATTAATTCCATGGCACGTTAATCGTAGTACGTAGCAAGCAACATTTTTTCTTTTATTTTAACTAATTTTCCTCATAAAATTATCTACCGAATATGAGATTTAGTAGAAGACAAAAATTGTAAATGCTGCCGTTTGTAGATTTCGGAAATGAACGGGTTTATAATAGTAAATCGCTACATTGCCGCGCGCTGTAAGGCCCTAGTAAGCATTCCCTGCATGAACCCAATCATCTGCTTCACTAAACTATTTGCGCATGCTGAACCTCACATATTTGACGCGTTTTTTCACCCGTGTGATATTTATGTATACATACGAAGAATATCCCGGTGAAGCATCTGCGTCGACACTGTCGAATTCGAGGTTCCTCCTCGCGCGACATTCAACCGTGCTGCCTATTAGAACCTGGCCCCCTCGTAGAGGCTGGAAGAATTTGTAGCGAAAATGCTTTCATCAGGCCACGATGGTAGAATAATGGGGGAAAATACTTTTTCGGTATCATCGGCAGGCCCGCGGTGCCGGCCTTCTTCCCCTCACAGCCGCAGCGTGCGTATGCGTGAGATGATGGTGAAAATAGTACGCCGTTGCGAAGTGTGTCTGAGTCTGTGCTGAGCTATTTTCCGTCTCGCAGCGGCCCATCTATCGTGTCATCATAGGTTGTCAACCTCGCAACATCCGCCCATCACGGCGTCGACCTAGAAATTTTTCGCTCCTCCAATTTTTGCGTTAGGCAGTACGGTTTCGGTCTGAAATAGCATTATCGTTATTGGCCAGCGTAATCGCTCCTTGCTCTGCTATCTTCACTCGCTGGCGCGGTATCGGCGGCAGTACTGTTACCTCCTACTTAGGAAAATTGCTTTTCAACGGCAACGTTTTACGATCTTCGGCAGAAGCTTCATCTGCTCTCTAACACTGGAAAAGCCGTCCAGCCCACGAATGTATTTTAGTTTTCACAGAAAACGCGCTCTGCACTATGGATTTTTTTTGCCTGAAATGAAGCTCTGGCTTGAAATGCTACTTCTTCTGCGTCCATTGTGGTCTGTCAAGATATAAACTTTTTGAAAGGCTTTTGAAATAATACGACAAAAATTCTATCGAATGGCGCGATAGAATCTTTAAGATGTCGAAAACAAATTCTGGAAAAAAATCAATGTATCTTTCCTTCGGCAGCTTTTTCAACTAGATTTTGCTGTTCAACCAGGTAAGCTATGTAAGTTTTGTTTGTTTCCATGTAATAAAGCATGCTCGGTAGTGTTCTCGGTGGATTGATGTACAGCTGTCAAATTGCTACTGCGTTTTCTAATCGTAAATGCAGTTACGTAACAGATCCTTGTATGATGTCACAATCTACTTCAAGTGGATTATTATAATGCTCTAGCAGTGCATCATAAGAGGGTACTTAATAAAATAGACTGCAAAAAACAGATGTAAAGAAGGGTAGAAATATGTCCTATAGGGTACATGCTAGACCGATATGTTCTGTAAGGCACTTATGAGCAGACAATATTAAGCCGAATTAGGAAAAAGGAGGCATTAAAAAATATATGCATAATGTGAAATGGACCTAATATATCTAAGGAGGTATAATTTGTAGAAGTTGTTGCAGACCTTGTAAAACGCTTCGGCATCAATTACCCCAGTGTGACACGGAGTTTGATCGTGGTAAAAGTATCGCTACCAAAGCCTTTTACAGACAGAGTGTTCATCGCAACACTTATTAGCAATGCAATGAACTATTCCGTCGAAAACCTGTCTCGCGGAGAGGTTATTCCCGAGAAAGAATACTACTGCTCCTGCTGCTAATCGTGTTGATCGTCGTCCCGATAAAGGTGAATTCCAGCGGCTGGTCTGACCTTTAAAGGAGAATGCATATAGATAGACGGTACAAAAAAAAAGAACAGAAGAAGCGAAATGAACGAAAGAAAACGCTGGAAAACTAGCCGCGCATAAAGAATAGCCAGGGACACAGTGAGGAAAAAAGTGCATCATGCAATTAACGAACCAAGAAAAAAGAAAGCAGGCTCGGCAGCGAACCTTCCATGGTTGGAAATCGACAATGACAACGTCGAGTTATGGCAACCGAATCACTACCCTGCCGATAAAATTATCTCAAGGGTCTTTTAGTAAAAAAAGCCGCGCGCCACGAAACTGCTATGACCCGCAATTTCTATGCCGATTGACCCACCCAGACCCACCGACTGCCCCGCCGTCGACACCGACGAGTAGCTGGTACCGACACTTTTGCAGCCAACGGATACTGGCCATAGAGTTTCCTTCTACTGACCACATTTGCAACTCTATAAACAAGAAAGCCTTTTTTTGCCATCATATTCTCATGCTTCATGGTCCATTCATATAGCTGCAACTAACTGGCAGAAATTTGCCCCGTGCCTGCTTCTGCTGTTGCCCCAGGTAGAGAACGCGAGTATTGTATGGCTTTGACGTTCCGATAGCCATGTGGACGAGACCCAAATGGGCCTGAAGAAGGAATATTCGTGCTCGCAGGGCTGATGCCGCCGCCGTTATAAATGCTGCCGGTCCATTCGACACTGCATGCTTTACGGACACAAGTGAACGAGCAGATTACTGTCACCTTTGTGGTTCTATTATTGGGTGATTACAAGCAGCCTTGTCTAGGTATAGGCCAATAATGAAGTTGTCTACTAATAATAGCATTCTAGCTAACAGAAGTTCAGGGGGTTCAAATAAGCACGAATCGACGAAGAAACCGACAAGGGAAGTCAACAATAAATCGGCTTTTTTTAACTCACCTATTTTTTATTTGCCCCTTGTCTTAAACGTAGTTTGCGTTATTAGTAGTGGTTCTAGACGGCCTGTTCGAAGTGGTAGTCGAACCAGGTCAAAGACTAATATAGTAAAAAAATTGCCCCAAGCGGAAAACATTGGGCCCCAAGGAAGTTGTGAGTGTGTTAAAAACTAAAGAACGTGCGCCATTTTGTTAACGTTCACACTTCAGCATCGTCTCATTTTGCACTTTACACAATACCTATGGCCCCCATAATAATGCCTTGCAGTGGAGGCTCGTTTCCGAGGCCGGCGTCGACGCCGACTGCGCATAACGAGAATCCGTGTTTCTTCGTTGCGGCATTTCTCGATTGTCCCGTTGTCCAGTATGATACCCATAGTAATTAGCAAGCAACCCTTCCTATCGTTACATTTCTTTGTACCCTCATGCTATTGTTTTCGGGGTCATTCCCGGCCGTGTGATGTTCCTATGGCTCCGCGAATTTTTTCGAATTCACTGAGGCCTACTTACCCCACTCCCACCTTTATTTCTGCCTCTACTACGACTTAGCCTTTGTTACATCACCTCCGGTGCGATGTTCACTTCCTCAAAGCTCCTGTAGTAAATTTTGCGCTTTCTTCATTTACTTATTTAGGTTGACGCCCTTTATATTCACCGTTGCGAGCATTTTCTCTATGAAGCTCTCTCCCCCGTCACATGAGTGGATTTGAATGCAGCAGTTTCGTTTAGGACCTGGTATATAATAAGATTAGAGCCGTGCATTAGGTGTTTTTTTATATTGTTTCGAAATAAATTACTGTATTAGGTAACCATTGACGTCTTATTGTACGACATCTTTGACCTTTAATAACAAGCTGCCTTTGTATCCTAAGCTACGGCTCACTCTGCTCACTATACTTCAGCAATATATCATATATTTATAGAACGTATTATCAAGTTGTCGTATATACGTTACTCATTTCGATTGTCTCCATAGTTTGCCAGACGAAGATTTTTCTCGGCGGCATAAAACAGCAGCGGACCGCTAACTCGGTTCTTCTTCTACGCTCCGACCGTTAAACTCGTCACCCAGTCGGTCATTGCATATTAACAGTAATGATATAAATGAAGTGATATAGCATGCTTCCATATTTCTTGTAACTGTATGATTCATAACTTCTGGTCGTCTAACGACCGGTAATCTGTTGGTACCCTCTAAAACGGATATAGCCCCTGATCTGAAGCGACATAAATAAAGAAAAAGCGCTGTTATATTTAAATACAATTAGAATTAATTGAATTTAAATTGAATCTCACGAAATATGGCAGCCGGGAGTACACTTATTAAACATTTCTCTTATTTATCATTTACTACTTGGGCAGGATCGGGATCGATCTAATACAATGGAATTCGTAAACGATACAAATAAATGACCTAAAGAAATATAATACACAACTATTAGATGGGAAGATTACACAAGGACGCAAATACATAAAACACGAAAAAGAAGATTTATTATTAAATGGGAGGCAACGTAATTTTTTAAGCACTCATTTTATTGCCCTCGTTTACGTTGGAAGTCGAACTCATCAGGTAGTGCCTTGATACGTACAAATCAATCATTTTTTATTATGAGCGAAGCTAGTTTAAGCCCTAACATCCAAAGCTGCACTCTGGAGCTTAATCTTTCTTTCGGTTTTGAACAGTCCCGCCATTCTCTGTCAGTTCTGCTTATGGCAACTGACTCCTCTAGCAAAGATAGATCCATACATGTCGACGCTGGAATGAGTGGGTGTGGCCTCAAACTTACGCCACCCTTCAGGTCAGCATATAACCAACTATATGCAGCAAGCCCTGAAATGATGCCTCCTAATTGAGGAACTGTCTCAGCCAATATGGGATTTTGGCGGTACTCTCTACGGCGAAACACGAAATATTGTTTCAAGTACATTCTATTACCAACTAAAAAGGCACCTATACAGAATCAACTGGACTGTCCCGGGCACAACAGCGGTAAATGCAAGACCCACTTGGGTCAAGGTTCGAACACTAAAATTAACCTAAGATTTTGTAATCAATAACAATTATTGAAGTCCGCACCTTTTTTCAACCAAGTCAAAGCAGACAATATATAACCTAGACAATTTATACTTCTTGTTTAATAGACTGAATTGGATATTGTAAAATTATTTGGATTAAGAGACAGCTGATACTTTTCCGGTTTGGTGTTTGCTTTACTGTAATATCTGCCATGTCAAATTCACCGTTCAATTGATGGTATCTAAAACTAAAACCAAATGTGCCAAACTCTTAGGTAAAATACATAATTTGATTTGTCACTACAGCCAAAAAGCTTTCTAGGGATGGGTAATTAATTAGTCATTCAAAGCGCTGAGGCCCACTTGATAATGAGGTTCAAATGTGTCGAAGTATATGGGGAAGTTATCGATTTAGCATAAACAACTCGATACTTCTCAGACATCTCGTTCTTGCTCTCGTAGATATTGTGTAAAACTTATTTACTTAAAATCACAACAATATTTAAGCCGTTTTGTAAATTGTTGAAACCCATGCTTACGTTATACGATATTAACTGGCATTGGAGCTTAGAATACCTAGCTTTTGGTTAGCCAACTGAAAACACATAGGCCGTAAAAGAAGAAGAACTACATGTGATAAAATACAAGCTAGAGTTTTACAAAAATTACAAAAAAAAATTCTGCTGTTTCGTTCCGTTACAGCGTGCTTCACTACCGAATTTCCTGTTTACCCGAGGGTACTTTCGTACTGGCCGGCACAATGGACCAAAGCTTTCCGGATCCTCTGCAGCTGGTGGAAAGTGTGGAAGGCTTGGCAACAAAACCTTTGCACCCATGTCAGCGCTGCGTAGAAGCCATTCTTCCTCCGACATACTGGGGCCTTTCGGAAGAACAAGTAAAGAAGTTCATCCTTCTTCGGTCGAGACAATGGGGACTCGATGTGAGTATAAACAATGAACATCTCTTTATTTTACGACAATAATTATCTATTTAAAATGCACGATGACCTTCTGAGCTCATACTTCTTTCTCTTTCAATGCCGTTGTTGCTGAACAGAAACGCAGTTTAGTGCAAAGGCGACCTGTCTACGTGATTGTTACAATTTTATGGTTTGGTTGACAGTATTCTAAATGTAATTATGAACCTGTTGCATGAAAACGAACTAACTAACATTGATTTATGAGAATTGACTACTGCTTTTGTCATCAAGAGCAGAAAGACTACTCAACATAGTGGTAACACATTAGAAGAAAATGGACTATGTTGCATCTGCCGAGACGGATGTATAACGGTTACAATAAAGGAAGCCTCGTCATTTTGTAGCAATGATATCAAAAATGCGTTGTCTGTTCATTTTTTTTTTTATCTATTAGCATTTGCAAAACCAGTTGAAAAAAGGCTCAGGTTCTAAATTGTTTACGATTAGTGCTTTAGGTCAAATAATGTTTAAAAAAATAATAACTTTTAATTGAACGATCAACAGGAAGCTCGCAGATCACTGACAATGCAACCACCTTAGAGCACCAACTAGTCTGTACATTTATGATAAACGTACATTTTGTTAATTAAAATGTAGCAATTTAAATCACTATTACGGCATATTTTATTTGCGCAAAAAGGCATTACCAGTGAAACGAACCTAAAGTCAGCCATGATTTATTGCATGAAGTGTCGTATGTAACCAACGAGCATCTACGCGAAACCGTTGGATTATTCATTAACTAATTCTTTATTCCGTTCAACGTCCCAGTACGTTTTTTACGTGTACGTGTCGTTTTTCCGCCACTCGATATCTCGTAATATCCAATACTCATGCCAAATAAACTTCCTGATTTCTTATAGTTTTTCCCTTTCTCATTCTATGATCTCTAACTAGCCGTCTCTTTCATATTGCTATATGAGCAGTAACTTGTTCCATTTGTTTCATACTCTTCGACGCATACCACAACATCTTTTACCAGCATCTTTTACACATCTAGTTTCTTCGTGTTTTTGCCTTTCTAATAGATCGATACCCTTCTTGTATTTGTTCCATTGCTTTTTACTGGATTCTTCGGATTTTTATGTTTTGCAAAACCCATGTGAGTTGAGACACGGCCAACCCGTTCGATACTATCCGCTACTATTTATATCGTCCCCTTTTCCTCTTGCAATCCCGAATGGCTTAGTCTATAGACATCGCTATCATCGTTACCGGAAGCGTGGGAAGTGCCTATCGGTTCGTTGTGTATCCGTTCATGTACTCTTTTTCGTTCAATATATTCTCTCTGAGCTTCCATTCGTGTCATCTTATCTCTACGGTGTATGCGCACACACATGCATATCTATGTCCAATTTTGCCTAGCGAGTCGCCTTTTTTCTACTGAGCCTACCCGGTTTTTTTCCCTCTTCCTGTCGGGGTCGTTGTCATCATCTAGGACGGTACGTTACTTTCCCCGTCAACGACAACGACGCGAAATTGTCATTTTCCCATTTATGTTTTTCCGGTGGTGTCTCTTCCATTGTCGCAGTCATTTACCTTACCTTACACTTAGATAGAAAATACAGGAAACCGTTCGTTCGATGTCGGTAAATAAACACTCTCAATGAATAACTTAACGTAAATGGTTACAGAGGAAATTATTTCCTGTTTATAAGCTGTGCTAAGATTTCATCTATAAATACTAATATAACGAATGCTTTCTACACGGTAATAGTCAATAAAAGGATTCGGTCTGTTATACCTCACAAATAAACTACATTCAAAAGCGAGCTCAGTAAATATGTTCAATTTATTAGCAAAAATGATAAAATGATTTTTGGATAAAAATTTTTGCATTTAGGCTGATAGATGATATCTATGTTTCGAGCTTTATGTTCAGTATCGCCGTTAGAAGACATTTATAATAGATAATGGTTACTGTAGGTAAAGTCTTAGCTATCGCACGAATTGACTATAGCCTGATAACATGCGTCAGTATTGAACTCACACTCGTTCTCAACACATGATCTGATTAGTTGCAGACAAAACGAGGTATGAATATGTGTCTTCTAACTATCATGCATTATATTTTCACTCCCGTCTTCATGATGGACAGGGCAAGACGGTTATGTTTCTATCCTCATAAATTTATTGCCGTTTCAGTGTCTGGCAGTACACTACGATGTGTTTTCGCTGTCTTCATTTTTGTTGATTACATCTTCCTTTTGTCCCTTAGTTTTTTTGCCCCCCAAAGTATCGGCCATATGCATAACTACTGGGCCACCGAATTATCATCATTTTGTATACTCACTATGTATCTGTGGTGTTTGGCGAGGTAAGAAGGGCAACACGAAATACGGAAAAGCCTCTACGTCAAGCATGGGACTGGCTATTATATTGTACTAGAAATATAGCGGCCCCAGGGGTTGTTGTTGTTGGAGACGTCTATACAACAGCGACCGTTTTTCTCTAAGTCGTATCTACTTGCAGCCATGAAAGGTTCGTCTTCGCCACTGAAGCCAATACGCGAATACATATTCTTTTTTATGAGTTATGAGAAACGTGCTGTACGGCAACCATCATGTTGATTGTGTACACATGTACGATATATGTACACTAGCACTTTACCGCGAACACAGAAAAAGTACAATCATGCATATAGGTATGCTCTCGGTCTGTTGTTTCGTTTCATAGTGAACCCTTGTGTCTCATCGCGATAGTTTATCATTGACTGTTGTGAATTTTGGATTAGCATGAACGCTGGATTCTTTATCCTGGAAGAAGAGTGGAGGACAGCCTCTCCGTGGCATCACCAAGGAGAATTTACAGACTGCTGTCCCCTTGTTCCATTCTCGTCGTTGCTGCTAGGCAAGGACCCCTACCGTATCCCGGGTATTCATCGAATATATATATATATATATATACACACATGCACACGTGCCAACACATATATATGTGTGTGTTGGTATTCTTGATGATAAAAGATCGGAGTTTTCCCTCATTGTCCGTTTGCTCTCTCCTGCCACAACGTCCTTTGGTTACCACCGCAACACTGAGTTCGGCCGTCCTCTCTGGAATAGGGAACATTTTCTAACCGTTTTGTATAATAAACGTTATGTTTAGTTGACCTTATCTTCAGCCAGCCTAAATGAAGATAAGGTTCCCTTCTACACATAGATATTTCAAAAAGGGTTTCTTAGGGAAATCTTTCATTCTGTCAAATACGTTCTGTCAAGCGTTCTCGAAGACCATATCGAAGATTGTTGTTGTTGTTGTGACTGACGGTACGATGCATCTTAACTGTCAAGTAGTGTTAAATACATCTTACAACCTTTTTTGCCTTTAGAGAAAGTGTACGATGCTTGTAATACTTTTAAAATTAATTTTTAATTTAAAAAAATACTTTTAAAATTAAAAAGAAATTGATCCATTTCGATTTCAAGATGTCGAAAGCTAGACAGATCCTTGTGGGACTCGCCGGTAGCTGCTACGGGCTTCCAGCTACAAGACTTTTTTTCTTTTTAATTTTAATCTTGGGCGATAGTGTTGGCATAGCAATTCAAGCACTTGCAAACGTATTACAGGAAAACCGGTTAGAAAATCTGACGCAGCAGGATGCCGCTGATCTACGTGTGCTGATCAGCAAGACGCTTCACGAAATTCAGCCTTGGTTTCACGGCCCTCTAAGTCGACTTGAAGCCGAAGCTCGAATTGAAGAAATTGGACATATGGACGGACGTTTTCTGTACGTAAATAGGTACTACATATTGTACGTATACAGATATAGCTAAACACCGTTATTTTTGACAAACTAAAACAGCTACGTTCGTTTGCACTCCTGTGCTTTCAAAGAAACACAACAGACCTGTCCGTGTAAAATTTCATCCTAAGCAAAAGCAGATCTGAGGAAGCTTATCGACCGACTATGTAGATTAATTGAAGATACCGTTTTTTTTTTTAGAAAAGAGCTCTTTGTAACAGTTTTATTTGTTAAAAATTCTCAAGTGATCCTTTTCTGACCAAAAACGATATGCGCACCTGTTTTTAACTTCCCATCGTATCAGAACTCGTTTATTCATTGTTTTTTCTCGACTAGGAAAAAACCGAATGTGCTGCCTTAATTTCAGTAGCGAATCCCTTCTGTATCGCACCCTGTATCATATCATCTCGATTTGCGAATCCGATTGCTTCTTGTGCAGCCGAGACTTTTCAAGGTTAACAAGGTCAAGCAGGTTCGTGTAAATTCGGTCATGTAGAACTTTTGGGTATAGCGTAGCTCTTTTACTTTGGGACGCCGAAATCTCCTGTCCATTTGTCTGTCTGTCCAACGTTCTACCGAACGTTCGACTCCACATGAAAAGAACGTTGCAACATTTTTCCTTAGTTGATGCTGGGCCAATTAGGCCTTGCATTCAGAAACACTCTACTGGTAACAGTAGTAGGCCTAGTTGTAATTCTAGTGGTAAACGTCATCAGTCGCAGGGGCATCCCTAAAGATTAGCCAGTCAATCCCGGCAAAGTTTCCCGATGGCCGGTCTAATTACTTCGTCCGCCGGGAATTAGTTGAGTTGAACAAAGTGCATAGTTTCCTTGCGTTAGTTCAAGGCGTGTGGTCCAATCCAGATCAGGACCGGGACTTCTGACAGCTAGAACGGAGAATACGAAAAACGCTGGCTTTTTGGCTCATTTTCGTTATAGCCTTCTATGGCGTTTTCCCTGCAGAGAGTCGCTTACTTTATCTCAGCTAACAGCAAACCATTACTCCATACCAACTGACTGTACGTTGTCAAGCAGCAGCATGATTCCACTCAGTACTCAGACGAACTCGGCTCCCACTCCGTTATCGTTTTCCATCATTTTTCGTTCCATGATATTGGCTCCATTATGTGTGGAGAGGAGCAAAGAAGTTGAAAGAAAATTTTCAACGTCTGTGGAATCCCGTATGCTTCGACGCGTTACCGTAATCGTGTGCAAACGATAATAGTACATGTTCAAATGGCGGAGCTGCTGGTTAATCAAACGGTGGGGTCCATTGTTGTCTTGGGGCAGAGTGTCCAGAGCGAAGGACGGGAAATGAATTTTTTTCCATTGTCCAGAAAAGAAAAGAAAAGGTAGAGACGAAAAGATTAAGAACTTTGCGTCATAATCTTGCTTATTAGGGGAGTTTCCTGTGGTGTTTACTCAGAGTCGTCAACAAAGGTTATATTGCCAGTTAACATGATGGAAATTCTACGTCGATCTGTGAGTACCTAGCGTAGAACTCTCCGATCTGGAGTGTATGATCACGTGCATTTGTGCACCTGTGTACGGAAGCTTTCTGACATTTCTTAGGTATTATAAGTTGCTACTAGTAGTTGTTGACAAAAAAAAAAAACATGAAAGCCGGCTTGAAAGAAATCAAAAAGTAAATTTTTGGGTCTCGCTTAATGTGGCGAGGCGTGTATGCAGTAGAGAGCGCCAATATGTAACGGATCGGATCGACCCCTCATAGAGAGAAAGCATCAAAGAACGCTGCAAAAAGCGATGTGTACAGTGAAACTATGTTTGATGAATAAGCTTGGCACTTAGTGAGAATTCAGTCAAAATTTATGATGTTTTAGATAAACCAAAAAAATCCCTGATATGTTCTTCTGATTGTTACAACTTCTTTATAACATACAAGATATTGTATCATTCTTGTATATTCTCCTCAAACGCCCCTATAGAATCTAGTATATTTCATATAGTTAAGATACAAACATTTCATTTTCAGAATTCGCGAACGTGATGACTCAAGCTACGCGTTGTGTTTAAGTCACGCCTGTACGCTCAAACATTATAAAGTAGACGTTCTCTCTTCAGGGGAATTTGCCATTCAGGATGGTTATGCCTTTCCCAGCCTTATGTCGGTAAGGCTGTTGAATAACATTTCTGATTACGATACACAGCAATATTTACTCGTATTATACATATGGGTAATAAACAGCACAAAGCAAAAACAGCCGCGTTACATAGACAGGCGTAGATGTACTATTGAAATTTGGTTAACTTAAAGAGCTAAAGTTTAGGGCTGTTTGTATGTAAACTATTAATACTAGATTTATAATAACTATCAAGGTTAGGTATTCTGGATTTTGAATAGATCAGTAAATGTATTCATATTCATCGGTGATTGACTGGAGCATACCAAGTAACCGGTTCGTATTTGAATATTCCTGTGTCTCTGTGTGCTTGCCGTCATGTGTCTTCGTTGTTATATATATAGTTGGTCAGTCATTATACGCTTTTCGCGGACGGTCTTTGGTGCCCTCTGATAGAGGCTGTGGTACGGCCAGACTCGCTTGACGAGAACACTTTCCTCAAGAACATCTCGAAGGCGACAAGGCATTTTTTCAACAAGTCCCCTAAGGCTAAACTTTTTGGTACCATCCCTAATAAGGGCCTGCTCAATAAGATCGTATCATCGATTTCGACGCCAGGCTCAAATACATCGTACAGATCGGCGAAGACGCTGCCAAGGTAATTCATACATACAAACATAAATACAGGAAAGCAGCCAGATCAGGACGCTATATACCTGCTTGATCAGAACGCCACTGGCAAAGACAACGGTAAAATCCTTATCTTATGTTCGCTAGCTTCCCGTTGAAATCGGTCGTTTGCAAATTCGATAGCTGATCTTTACAATTTTACACATAATGAGGACCGATATATTTGGGTAGGCGATTTATATTTAGCTCCTGGAGGTGATACTATTGAACAGGATGTGGCTTCCGTGCGGTCAATGTTCATCTTCCCGATAAAATCGAATTGCGTACAAGCATCGCTTATTCACAGGAAAACTATAATAACAGCTGGCAAAAAATCACTTTCATTTATGAATGGCTGCAGGATTTTTACTTTAGTCACTAAACTTAGCCAATATAGTTTTGCTTTTATTTTTCTATTATATACTCCATACGACATGAAGAATTCAAAAGGAGGACGAAACGATATACGGCTCCAAAGTTTGAAATAATCTACTTATATATTGCTAACTTAATTTTCAATCACGTTTTCTTTCGCTATTACGGTGTACACGTCAGACGCTCATCCGTGTATCAGTTATTATCACAACAACGTCAAGCAGAACATTGTGGTATGTTAGTCCAGTAGACATATTACCGACGGTAAGAACATCGTTTCTCTGGCCATACGTTCGCTGTTCCATATGATGAGGATTTTTCGTATTTCGCGATTTCAGGTTACATCAGGTCCGTAACACGGAAGCCATGACAGGTTCGTGTTGTGGGGACGAAAACTGTTACCCTGGGGCTGGCGAGGCAGGTGTGGGCGGTATCGGAGGCGGGGGCGGCGGCGGCGGCGGCGGCGGCGGCGGCGGTGGTGGTGGTTGTGGAGTAGGCTGCAAACAATCATCAGGCAAGCTACAGAAGTCCTCATCAATCGACCATGTTTTACCAGGTTTTATTCAGTACTTCATGTCTCTTGACGGAACTACCCGTCGCGGCCGAAGAGCTCACGAGAGCAAACTTCTTGACGAGTTAGCTTGTGAACAAGCTCGTAATATGGAGCAACACTACAACCACTATGGGTAAGCCAAATGCATCGATGTTTGATCGCTAAAGACTTGATTCTAGCCGTAGAGAATTGGATAGCTATACGATATTGTTTACGGTCGAACGAAATAAGGTCCTGTACGATGACTGGACAACGTACTCCATAAAAAATATGAGGGCAAGGTCTCTATTTCCTTTTCATTCTATCCTTTAAACTCGTAGTGATTCCGTCAAAGCATTATAGTTCGTTTGTTTTTTCGTTCAGTAAACACGAACGAAAGTTAACTACTCAACAAACATTCGGATTGCTTAATCTAAGTTGAACATGCTATTATAGGGGATTCAATATATGTACTACGGCCAGATTGAATCAGAAAATGTCAGACAACAGCTAGCAATCAATACGTAATTAAATACGTAGTACGGCCAGCGTTGTTTGACAACTTCGTGACTGAATCGCACAATTTATGCGCAAAAAAAAAATAACATTAATGTCAAATAGTAAAAAATAAGAGACTGTGAGGGAAACACTTCTTTTAGAGCCAACTAGATTTCTGCTTTTCAATCCAAGGTGCTGCATCTAAATTGACAATTTTTCTTATGCATTGAATTGAAGCAAGAATAAATATGTCCCTAGATTTTTTACATGTGCTAAAAGTATTGCTTCTGATTTCTTTCCAGTATAACTATAACAAAACGCGGTTACAGTTTCTGTTCGAGGGCTAGCCACTAACTAGTCATTTTCAAAGCAGTGAGGACATAAAAAAAAAGCTAAAAAGCTTCAAGGAGCTTTTCAATCTAGCCGTTCGTGATCCGGGCCGTTCAATCGGTAATCGATATTCTCTTCGACAGGATAGCTATTTATTTCTGTACCAAAATCTAGATGTATCAAAAACGATTTTTTTTTTTAACTATTTCAATACATTTTCAAATCCAAATCATGCTTGGCTTTTTCCTGTTGATTTATGAAAATCCTCTTTGGACTTTCTAGCGATCACGTAGATGGTCGACTGACGGCAAGAGGAAGCTCGTCCACCGCAGAAAAACTAGGCCATAGTACGAAAACAGCGCACTGTTGTTTGTCATGACGAGCTAGTTGTTTCGTTCTATAAAGAACTGGTTTCCGCCTGATACCAAGAGCGGCGGATAAATGCATGCCTGTACGACAGAGCCCCCAGAGCTCTGCCAGTTTTAACGCACGACCCTACATATATTCCTGATTTCTAAGATTTTGTAGCCTCTCGTTTCTTTAAAATAAAGAACATTTTGTAATAAGTTGATCAGTGTATATTATGTCAGTAGGTGCAGGAATAATTTTTACAGCTTGAAACATTTGCCCTTTTGACAGAAGATTAAAGTCTAATTTTGGTGTGCATTACTATCTACTGTATATTAATCATGCACTTATTTGTTTTTGTGTCCAACCGGCTAATCTCCAAAAACCCGTCGTCTATACAAACAGTTTGAATATGTAAATCTTTTTTTTTACTATTCTTCAGCATGACGGTGCCCTCCAGCGGTGACGAAGGCGGCGGAGGCCAAAGTGGTGGTGGCGGCCCTCCTAGTGGACGGATCGTTCTGACAGAAAATGTCAATCTAAACTGTTGCTCCGGCATGCCTGTGCCTGCACCAGTGCCAGCCCCGCGAACTTCACTCGCACGAAGAGACATCCTCAGTGAAGACCCTTCGGATCCGGTCTACGTTAACAATGACCAGCCAACGGCCCCAACGACGCAGACGCAATTTCGGCAACAAGCCCAGCAGCAGATATTGGCAGGTCAAGTCGTTAGTGCTACTAACGTCGCTGTTGGACATACAGATGTACATCTGCAAACCGTACGTTGGTTTAATGGAGACTAGCAAATATTAAATAACGCGTTGATCTGATTGACAAAAATGATCTTAAAAGCCGTGAAAAAATCGTATATATCTATGTCAGCCGGAAGCTAATATGTGAATTGCCTATAATATTTTAATAAAGAGGCACAGTAACTGTAACAACGCAAGCACCCCCCACAGTTCTGACACGGCATAGAGCGTGAAAAATGTTGATTGAATGACCCAAACCTTTTTGACTCTAACTAATACAGGGCTAAATGATAGTGTATGATTTATATCGAAACCCCCCTTCGTTGAGGAAAATTGCGCGGGAGGCAAAATGATCCTAAACTGTTTGAAGGAATTCCTACACGACACTTTGTGACCCTGTATCATTGAACTTCAATTTTGGTTGATTTTAGCAAGCTAAAAACGCAGTTTTCTAGGTATTCTTGATCAAGGTTTTTTAAAGCGTGAAGTTCAGCTATTATATTAAGTTCCCAAAATGTATGAACTGTTTTTCTAGCTAAAAAGCTTTAAAGTTCCGTATCTCAAGTAGAGGTGGCGTTGTCATCATTCTAAAGCTGGGATTTAGCAGTAATAGATGCGCTAACATTATAGTAATACTTTTATTAGAATAGAGCGCCTCTGAAATAACTGTAACGTAAGCACATAACCTATATTTTACAATTTTATTACGATAATGGGCCTACGTTGAAAAAAGAAACGTTTGTTTATATGTATATATGGGATGGCTCTGTCGCTTTCGTTCTCGAAATTTCGATGTAAAAAGTGTTTCTTCTAGTGGTCAACCCCAATTACAGAAAAATTTTATGAAGTTATTGAGTGAGACCAAAACATGAGTAGCTATGATATCAGCAAGGGACAACATTTACCACTAAAAATTTTTGAACGATTTGAAAAAAAGCTGGTTAGAAAAAAAAAACACAATAATTAACACTAAACAATTTGTCTCACATATAAACGCCATAGAAACCGAGCCATTTCTAAGGCAATTGAGCGCCAGTGATAGAAAGTGCATCACATACGACAATAACACGTAACTAAACTAATATAAATAAGAATATGCTATACGATCGTTCGCCAAGTCCAAACTCGCGCAAAAGTGGTTGGGTTGGAAAGAAATCGTGCATTATTACTAGCTACCCTTGGCAAAACGATCGATTCTGACTTTTACTGCTAACAACTAATAAGTCTACAACAATCTGTTTTTAAGAAAGTCAACTGAAACTTGTGAACAGACAGTGCTATAACAGTTCCATCAGCAAAAATTGAGAGAGATGGGAAATTTTAACGATTCACCATATAACCCGGATCTTCCTCGATTCTACTGCGATCTGTTTCGGTCTTTGCGGAACCCCTTGAGTGGTGTTAGCTTGGTTTCAAAGAAGGCATGTAAGAATTACTTGTTACGGCCTTTTGACCGGAAATCACAGTAGTTCAACGGTTCAAGATAAGATTATCGTATCACCAATATATATATATATATATATATATATATATATATGTGAAACATCCTAAATCCATTTTAAAGACTCCGCCATTCCTCAGAGAATGAGTTGTTTTAAATTTTCGAGAACATTATTATCGCTATTTGTAAACGGTTTGGCCCGACCGCAGAACCTCCGCCGTCTATACAAATTGGCAAAGAAAACATATTTTTCTCGTTTATAGAACATCCATATAGATAGCCTCTGCTCACCTTTAATGACTGCAAAAATGGATACCTACAAATGAAGTATATACTGAAGATTCTTAAGATTAATTCAAAATAGGGTGGATAAATTGTCTAACTCGATGCGATGAAGTCCAGGATTCGAATCTAGGTTGAAGCAAAGTGCCCCGTTTCAAATTAGACGACTAATTAGACAAATTAGGCATTTAAAGCGTTACTATTATATTTTCCCCGTAGAAATTGCTGGGGTATTGGTATTAAGAGGTTTTACCAACTTCAAGCAGATGTTAGGGGGTAGATCTTGTACATCACAGGTTTCAGCTAGAGGGGAGACTATAATTTATTATAGAGCACAATTGTTTTTGTGTCAAACAGCTAATATGGTGAAAATGTAAAGATAAGAGCATAAGTTTCTTGGGAGTGAACTGTGACCTCGCCTAGGGCAGGTGAGCATTACCTTCTTTGCACATCAGCTCAGCTAAAGATAACCACTAGGTGCCCTAATCGGTGCCTCAGGTGTAATAGCACAGCTTGAAAATATAGCGAAAACATTTATTTTTCAGCTTTTGAGTTTGGTGCCAGGCCAATAACTGTTAGAGTGGGCCTAGAATTTAACGAAACTCTTTACGCTAGCATTAATCCAGATGCATCAGCATTATTTTGTCACAACGAAATGTTGTAGAATGAATGCACGTTGCGAGACACGCCTAAAAGCCTGTGGTCTTCCACTAACAATTTTGTTGATTATCTGATCTTATTTGTTCGTTGTAGATGACAGATGAACACCGTCGGCATCATCAACAAGGCCAGATCCCACACCACCTGAGTGGTTTACTATTGTCTTACCGGAAGCCGATGAAGATTCCGATTGATTTGTCTCCGTCACCTCCATTGATCGACCTCTCCGAGGCGAACTATGAAGAAATCGATTCTCTCATTGAAAAATGCCCACGACTTATCCTCGATAAGCTGCAATACCAAAAGGAAAAGAATTCAAACGATCTCCATTCAAGCAACGAACAGCAAACGGAGACAATCGATGAAAATGTCGACATCCCGGAAGTTGCCGAAATTCCGAGGTTTAGAAAATTCTAAATTTTATGCTGCACTTTATAATTGCCAAATCAGTTCCAAAACAATTGGCAACTTAAACTTTCGAGTATATATATCTGCTTTTCAAACGAGAAACAACTTAAAATACGATCTTCTTTTTTTTTTTGCTAATCATTTTAAGCTTTAGCGATCACGGATTAATCACTAGGTGAGCACAGGACATGAGAACTAACGTGGTACCCTTACTAAAATCAAATCTAACCATACAGGTTTACTTCTTAATTGTAGTGTATGATGTACTTTTACTATGAATACAACAATTTTTCTAGTGTTTTAACAGCTTTAACAATTCTTCTAGGGATCGGCTGGAACGAACTATTGCGGAGGCGATTAAAGAAACTTCAGACCAGATCATTCAGGAAATTAGAGCAGAAATCCGAGCTGTGGACGAAAACACTCTCGCAGCTGGAGAGCTATCAACAGAAGAGGTGCCACGAAGTATTAGTCCTTCATTGGACGACTTCGATCCACTCTGTGCCGACAATTTAAGCGGACCGCCTTCACCAGAACGACAAAGAAGTTTTGCTCAAGGTAGCATCAGCTAGCTATGGCAGACCATATGCTGTAGATTTCAGTTCACTAATTATATAGCACTTATATAATGCAACAATTTCAGTAGATGGAAAGGCCTTACGAGTAATTTTCTTTAGCCGATACGATACTTCAACTTCATGCACATCAATGTAGTGTCTATTTGTACACAATGTTTGCTTTTAATACTAGAAGCGTAAGTTTATTTATTTCTTGCGTGCGAGTCTGCTTGTATTACCGTTTATTAAGTACAATGTACAGTAGGTGTGCAATGACAAATGCAAAAATAGCCTTCTGGAAAAGTATAGGTTCAACGGTAAAAAAAAAAGCGGCTTCATAAGTAAAGTAGAACCGGTAATTAAGATTATTGTTTCAAACAGAAGCCTAATTCGTGTCTTATGTAAACCTGCGCTTTCACCAACCGGAAACTTTTTCCCTGTAACTTATTTATACAACTATATGAATCATAAAACGTAGCGGCGTAGTGGAACAGAATCAAAAATATAAATTGCCCATTAAAAAAAAAAAACATTACGGACAACTCGAATAGTTATTTGTTTTATTTTTATTTTAAGATAACTCATAGTTTGTAAATAATCTATAATCGCTCAGTGTCAGCTATGTCACTTCTGAGTTTCGCAGACTAGTATACCGCTACGCTGCGACTCACAACGTTTCGCTTTATGCGGAATCGCGCAGGTCTGGTGACACTCAATGGCACAGATGACCTGTCTCAGTTTGTATCAATACCAGTGGTACTTTTCCTCGTTGAGCTCACTCCCTTTTCCAGATAATGGACTTCGATGTTCAGGTTAATAAAGAGTAGCTTGCCTAATGGATCCAGCACCGATCCGAACGGCGCTCGGAAAAAAGGTCCCGACGAGCATTGATTTGGGCCTCCTACTTTACAACGCGCAGCTGGCTCGACCGGCAATAACATCGGACTGCGAAGCGTATCTAACAGTTAAAAAATGGAAAGAAGAAATGATAAAAACCAACCAGCCGAGTTCTTACCAGATAAAGGCTTCCGCTATCGAGGCAGTATCGGCCGTTTCTCGCCCGCACTGGGCGGAAATTCCTCACTCAGTGCTAGACAGGCACCGAAGTTCGTGCATTTAACCTATATTGTTTTCCGTAAAGCATATGGGGAATGGATGAAGTAATCAAAGTGAGAGTGTTTTCATGTAATGTTTTGAGTGGACATGCTGTACTCATATAGCTTGTTCGGTTAACATACATACGAGCGTGCAGTGTTAGGGCCGGCTCTCAGACGGACGTTTCCGCAAACACATGTGTTTGAAGTACACGTGTGATAAACAATATACAACAGAGTTCCATGTGAAAATAACACCTCGTTCATTACAGAATTTATAGCGTATTAAGCGCAGTTATTCCTTTGCGTATTGAAATTAAACAGCGTAACAATCTGTACTGCATACAGTCTTAATTGTCTTAGATTATTACTTCAATTGCTCTCTACTCTGTCTTGCTACCGTGAAACATTATAAGTAACATCGTTAATTTAGCCGTCTATTTCTTACGTGCGCTATAGAAATGCCTATAAGTTAAGCGTAGGAAAATGGAAATAGCACCAAGTGAAGGGTGAGCAGTATCGTCGCAGTCACGAGAGCCTATGTCTAGTTGTCACGTACAGGAATAACTGATATTATTTAAGTATGTACATCAGCTACGAGACGTGACGTCGTAAAGAGCAACGGGTGAATCGGTTGGCAGTATACGAATCAACTGGACTGCAAACGGTTGGTAAACAGCCGTAGTTGACTGCCGGAACCATTTATTTACACTAGTATATAATAGTAGAAACAAATACCAGCCGGAAGCTTTCCCCCTCGAACATTGGACAACAACAATATGTTCAAGCAAATTGATAGGCGAGCAATTAATGTTTGTTTCCTTAACAGATGCGGCCAGCTATAGGAGGTAAAATGATATGTTTGTCATGTCGTGTAGCTTCCAATGACAATTATATCATATATTATACGGTTAATTGCAGCGATGGCTGATGTACTAAGCCAGGAGCAGTCGGACGCAGCATACAACGACGTGAAGAGATGCTTACAAGGTGTTTTTCATATTGAGCGTGAAAGTCTACAGCTTATCGAAATGTTTGGCTGTGGTAACTTTGGACAGGTGCACAAGGCCATTTTGCGGCACGACGGACAAGAAATTCCCTGTGCAACGAAATCGCTCCGGGCAGAATTCTCCGAGGCATCCATGGTGCGTGCCATTTCCCTCATCTGACGGCTAAAAGCGTTACGCTGTAGCGTCCGACGTTACTAGGAAAAAAGTTCACAATGAACTACGTATAAAACAAAAAACAACGCAACGTTTTATGTATGGGCGGTCTCAAGTTTCTCTATATGTATTGCTAAAAGTGTTTGCGTACCGAAGTGCTTTAGCCTGAGTGTCAGATCATTCGTGAATCCGCGGAAAGTTCTTTCTTTCATTCATTGACTTTCCTTCAGTTGACTTTAATCCTCTTTTCTGCTCCTCAAATAGAAAATGTTATTGGTTCATTAGTAGAGTTGTTTCCATTACAAGGGTAGATGAGGGAATAGCTTCTGTTGTTCCATTGCAGGACGCTTTGAGTCAAGAAGCAGATCTCTTGGCTTCGCTTGACCATCCACACGTCGTAAGGCTCTTCGGTGTGTCCGAGATTGACACAGGTTTAATGATGGTTATGGAACTCGCGCCCCTCGGACCACTTAATCGCTTTTTACGATATAACAGGTATGTGTATATAGATAAATATCTAACTCAATAAGTACAATAATAGGATCCACTCATTTTTTCGATGTATACGTTTCCTTGCTTATCGTGTTAGCAGAAGTTCATATCTTAAATTAATACATTTATCCTTAGGGTAAAGGTCCTTAAATAGCTTGAGGGACGTCTCATTTTACATTGCAACGCGTACCATATCTATCACGTATGTCACGTCGTTTTTGATAACTACTGCCAAATTGAATATGAAAGGTAATTTTGTATTACTACACCAGGTATTGCAACACAACAGTGTAACATCGTGTGTACATAGTGATGTTTGCGTTTCAAGACCATCCTGAAAACGGCGACAGTTACCATTATGCATTAGATATTATGACATCCAGTCCACCGTTTCGGGACTCCTGCGCACGCACAAAGTGAACGAATTTTTCTTATGTACCTCGAAAATGATTGCCAACATTTGCTGTCTGGTGCACTATGTAGAGGTCTAATTATATGGGTCCAAGTCTTGTAGGTTTTGCTATCGTACAGACAAGCAGTTGTGGGTCTATATCGCGCCGCGCTACGGACTGCTCGTCAGATTGCGTACATTCATTAAACCTCTCCTTCACTAACTTCAGCCTTTTAAATGCTGAGCAGCAGGGAAACGTCTCTAGTTAACCTTTATATTATTTAGCTTAAATTTATCCAGTTTCGACCATTGAAAGGTTGTTAGTATGACCCTGGTTGTCGAATTTTGGGTCTGAAGATAGCCACGAATTTTTAAGGATACCCATTCATAGCCTACGTCCTTTAAATACGAAAGCAGATACCAAGGTGATACGTTGCGCGGTCCGAGCAGTGATGGGAGGTTTGAAAAAAAACAAGCCAAAGATGCCTTCTGCCCGAAGCTCAGGTTATATGGAGATTTTAGGTGCAGACAGAGCATCGTTCTCTTGTGAACTATATGGCGGTTTTGTAATGCCCGTGTGCTGAGCTCTTGCTTATTCAGCTCTGATCTAGTTAGATAGCAAAATAAATCAACTCAGAAAATTATTTACTATATAAGGTTGGAATCGCGTAATAGCCACTCTTCGGTTGAAGCAGTGAGCGTACGACGCTGCGTATAATTTCTATTTAAGCCATGTAAATTTTATAAGACTAAGCACTGAAATTTTCGTGCAGTACACGCCAGCGGTTTTTTACAGCGAGCTGCAAATGGCACAAAACTAAGCTAATTATATTCTCGGACAGATCCTCACTTGCTGTACCGTAATGAATTTGTTTCGACGACCCAGGGCAATAACTACAGAGCATTTTAAACCTTTGCAAACAAATGGCCATTCTTGTAAAAAAAAAAAAAAAGTCAATAAGCCCAGTTTTCCGATTCAGGTCTATGATAAAATCGGATCCTCTGCCAGTGCTTGTGAGCACTCTCGGGTCTGCTCTCGCGAATTGATTTATAGCGCAAGCAGTCGGATAAAGCTGATACATGAGAAATGGATAACCCTCTTATTCGGAGACCTAAAAGGAGTAAGCACACACTGCTAGGGTGATTGTTGTAGAAACAGCTCTCTTGCCAACAACAGTGCAGATTGTTGCCACAAATCGAAAGGACAAATTATATGTACCGTTGAGCATCGGTTACACGGAACTTGCCTTTTCACCACACCATTGATCTTTCATTCTTAGTCAGCCTTAAATGATGGTCATCATTGAAAAATTTCTCAATGATCCAAACGCAATCATTAAATATGTAATACCATTCTTTTTTGATAAAGCGTTAGGATACTTTTTTCTGGAACACCACTATCCCCTTCATAGTGTCAGGAAATCAGCTACGGCAGTTAGCGGTTCATTGTACTGTAGAATTAGTGTAGGTTTAAAACAATTCCTATTTTCTTTTTTACTACATTTGTCTCATGTAGAAATTTGAAATTTCCTGTGATTTTCTATCCAGTTCTCACAGACAAGACGAGAACGCACTTATTTCTTTCATACATCGGCAGAAGGCTTTGGCGTTGAAAGTTCTCCCCAGGAACAGGGTTCGGTTATGTGTCTTCTCCTGCCTCTGGATGATTGGGGACTCCATCACTGCTTTTGCTTGTCGTACTGACCGGTAGTCAGCATTGCTGTTCTGTTAGCAGTAATCTACCATTTCCCCCTTTCCTATTTCCATAAGTCTTTCCTTTCCCTACCCCAGCTTTTTGCAGATGCTAGTTTTGTTTCCTGTTTGGCGACGATCCTTCTTACCGTTATTGCTGCTATTATGGCGGTAAAATTCCCGCATCGGTACGTCTCCTTCATCCCATCTCTTCTCAATTTAATGTCATCTCCACTCACGTTGCTACGCTTCACAGCTTGCCGACGACATATTGACACTCGCTCAGGTTCCTTTTCCTCGTTACTACTTTCGTACGTAACATGTTGGTCGGACGGACACAGCGAGGGAATATGATCGCGATCGCTTACTTACTTTTAGCCTTTTTACATTGAATTCAATCTGTAATTCCGTGTGCATTTCCCTTTCACAACGCCGTCGTGGTGGCCGTCAGTGTGCGAGAGGTACTGCATCCTGTTTTATACAGTCGTGCACACTCGCCGTGGCGAGGTAGTCGTCGGACAAAATTATTGGACGGCCTAGGGACAATGCAGATTTCACAAAACCAGTGCAAAAGTGACAGACTGAACCACGACATGGCATCACCAGCAACGATGGCAGAAATGCGTGGGCGTTAACGCGACGATGAGGCTTCATGTGTTCGTCAAGTCGCATATGTTTGTGTCGTCAAACTATGACGGAATATGAAAATACTTTTTCATTTGGTACACCTTAAAGAGGTTAGACCATTGCCTCGTCCAGAAGATCTCTATAAATAGATAAGCAAGATTATATCCAGTGTCTGAAGACAAACTTCGATAAACTTATTGAAATTAGAAACTCTTATTAGGCGTCAGGCTATAATAGGTTTTATTTATTTTATCCGATAATTGGGATATAGGCCACATGAATAAACGGAGCATCAATCAAACGCCCTATTATAAAAGAGGACCTAGGGCTAGAAATAGCACGCAGTTTTTTTCGCCGTACCACGAAACAGAATAGACAGTGGCTAGCTGAAGAAACTACCACTGCATTCTCATAAGATTCCTGAATTCTCATATGATTAGAAGAAAGGACATTATTTATTTTAAACTAACACCTCCTTCTCTATTTTCTATACTTATAACCTACCTTAAGTTCATTTGAGAAAGAGCTCATATTGGAAAATGGCTGAGAAAGGTCAACAAGAACCAGCATCCAAATTAAAAGCATCAGGGAAGCTATCCAAAGGAAAGATTTCGATAGATAAGGCGAACTTAGGCTCCATTAAAACAACTCGCGCGCCGTACGTGACAAAAATTTCTGAAGCCCCTTTGCCAAAGTTTGAGGGAGGGCTTCGTTTACAGCTGCTGCCGTATCTTCCAGACTTTGTGATAACACTAACGAATGGAATTCGTGGTAGTTTATTTAGCGTTGATATGGGAAAACTTAAGCGAGTTGACTGAATAGGTGTTTCAACACGGGACTTGAAAGTTTCGGCAAAGATGGAACAGATGTATTAGTTGAAAGGTAGGAGAAGCTCATTGAGAACGAGGGCAAATGTAGAAATTTGTTATTGTTTAAATACAATTGTTTTTTAAATCGCGCCTAATAGCACAAAGTTCCTATTACTATGAACGGGTGTATTTCTAACCTTTGCTGGAAACAATTCAGTATTTACGAACACGGACATGTATATTTCATCTTCAGAGACGTCCAGTATTGACAAAGAACTATCTATAAACATAGGAATTGTAAAAAGTTAGCTTTATAGGTGATAGTCGCAGGCCGATCTTGGTTCACGTGCTAGAAGAGAAATGGAAAGTCAACAGGACTTTATAGGCCACTCCAAATCCCGTGTGAAACTCCACATTAATTCCACGGGAGACTCCCCTTAAAACAGTTCCGAACCATACTACAAAGATCTACTTTTGCTGCTATGAAATGGCTGTCAACCAAGTGCCTAATATATCCATTGAAAAAAAATGAAGCTTAATAATTAAGCTTAAGTTTGTGTGTTCCAACCATTAAAGGGAGCATTTGTTTCCTACAGACGGATATAAGTGAGCAATTTAGAAATAGTAATAGTCAGAAATGCAGCTATATAGATTCTACACTATAATCTATATAGCTGCGTTTCTCAAAAACTACGCTAGCTCTAAACTAGCGACAACGAAAGCGATGCGGAAATGGCCGGGAAGACTTTGAAGCTTTTTCTTTGATAAAATGTACAAACATCGTTGTGATGATTGCTTAGCAACAGGATTCATGCCTAACGTTCAAGTATAACAGTAAAACGCATATGGTTTCTTGTTTATACGATATCTGGCCGCGTAGTATTTATAAGCTCAGAAAACGATTACTGCATCTAGTGCGATAATTATATAGTTATAAAAAGGTGTAGTCTATTCAATACAGAACAACCGATAGAGTTTGAAAATCGGCACTTGCCTTTATATATATATATATATATATATATATGGTGTATCTAGAAATGAATTGGGGAGACCGCATCAAGATAATTTTTGACATACCTTTAATTATCTAATCTTAGTACTTCGAACTTTAGAAAGGCTAGCAGCTATGCTCTTAACAGCGGCTCCTATATATATTGAACTAGGTAGACGTCTATTTTAATAAGCTTCCTGAATAGCTAGATTGTTCTTGGATAGCAATTACAGCGCCCTATATATTGGTATACGATATAGCTCTAACTGGTTAGAGATCTCGGTTGGTTATAGATTGGTTGTAGATTAGATATCGATTGGCTGAATTTTACGTGTCGAAATTTGCTTTTCAAAAGTCGGATAGCGTAACTCTTACCTAATTTTCGACTTATTTCAGGGATACGCCCGCTGTAGTTATATTAAAATTGATGTTGCAAGTTGGCCGAGCTATGGAGTATCTGGAACAGAGGAATTTTGTACATCGTGACCTTGCCGCGAGAAACGTTCTTCTTGTCAACACAGAATTTGCCAAAATTTCCGATTTCGGCATGAGTCGTACGCTCGGTATCGGCCGTGATTATTACAAGGTATAGTATTTTACATAAAATTATGGTTATTTTAACAAAAACACATTCAGACGGTAAATTTCTCAACTATGGGGCCTTATTGAAACGTAGGATGTCCAGAGAAACTTTTAAGACCAACGTCTTAAAGCACATTATACTGTGCACTCTCATTTGTTCAACGTTCGACGTTATGGATTGTAGAGCCTTTATTGGCCTTATTGGCGCGATTTTTTGAAGTGGAGAGTCGCTCGGCTAGCGAATCGTCACCCGCCCAGCGCTCGTGATGACCACCATCAGTTGGTTGCAGCTAGCGAAGGCTGTAATCCTTCGATTTTAGCTGGCAGAACAAGAAGAGGTCGTCCAACGAATTTCATCTGACAAAATGTGTGGACGTCTAATACGAGTGCTGACTTAGGCCAACGAATTGAAAGGAACGTACTTCTGTGTGTGATTGTATTCCAGGCCGAAACAGCCGGCAAGTGGCCCCTGAAATGGTATGCGCCAGAATGTATCTACTACTTCAAGTTCAGTACAAAATCGGATGTATGGAGCTACGGGGTCACGCTCTGGGAGGCTCTAAGTTATGGCGAACGACCCTACAAGGTACAGCTGCACACGTTCTTGTTACACGAGGTGCCTCTGCATGCCGTGTCTGCCTTTCAATTATAGGTACTCACCTAGGTTTTACTTACACAACTTGTTTAACACAAACTTACAACACGCTTAATCTTAGCAGTATCTGTTTGCACTATTACGTTCCGATAATTCGGCATAAAGTTCAAAAAAAAGCAAAAAGTGTTACTAAATAAAAAAAAAAAGCCTTATCAAGTCTTATGCAAGCACTAGTCTTATGACTTATGTTATAAACCGTAGAATAATTATTAGAAGCATACTACATGCTGATGGCATTTCTTTGCAGAATTTGGCTGGCCAAGACATTTTGGTTATGTTTGAGAGCAATAAGCGATTAGAAATGCCGGACGAATGTCCACCCGAAGTGTATGACATTATGTGGAAATGTTGGGCATACATGTGAGTATAATTACTGTTATAATAAGCCAGTATCTTATCTACATTATTTTATGGCTTTTTCTCGTATACGTTTTTTAAAGAAAGGAAAAATGAGATTAGATCAGAAAGAGATATTCGGTAGAGATTATGTGGCTGTAACGCCGAGGACGCACCTCATGATTTCCATAATAGGTTCCATAATAGGAAATTCTGAGGGTCGACGATCGGTCAAGGCGTTTTCTGGAAGATCTAAAAGAAAAAAAATCTTGTCTACATTCAACTAGTCATCTCGTTTAATTGTCAAAACAGCTGAAAACCACATGTGATATAATGCTTCCTTTAATCCATTTTATCACTACTATATCCGAGTGGAATCTCTGTGATTTGTTGAAATCAATCATTACTAGGTAACTGGCACAGGGTTATTATTGTATTTTTCCTTTTCTCTGAGCCTTTAGTTTTAATACTCTGTTTAGCTCTCTATAGATTATATATTTTTTATTTTAATAAGTTCATATCAAAACTCTGTATATCGATATAATGAAGTGCTAAAAAAAAGCAGGGGCGTGCCTAGGCCGTCACACTAAATCGATAAAACTGAAAAATATGCATAATGAACTTAATTATTGACCCCCTAGCAAGTGGGAAAGAAGCTTTACAGCAAGAATAGAATAGAGAAGTCATTTAGTATAGACGTGTATTTTTTATATGAGATCTCACTTCAAACGTTTAGGGGAGTTCTTTCTTTAAAGTTAACGCTAAGACGGGGTTCGCAGGTGAGACATGCCCCAGTAGTAATTTCGGACAATCTCGGCTAATAGTAGATTGAGTTGTTTAGGCAGTCATAGAGCGATTTGTTGAAGCCGATAGCTAATAACGAAGCTGAAGTTCATTGATCGGTCATGTATCGCTTGAATGGAACAGTGCACGTTCCATCCCGCATAAAGTATGTACAGCAACTCCTGGATCCCGCTACCGAATTCAGTTGTACTACGAAGATGATGGCACCGTTAGATTATATTATGCTCGAGCAGCTAGACAATCAAAACGCTTTCACTCTCAGACACTTATAGCGATTAGAATAGACCTCACAAGGAAGAAGAAAAGCCCGACGCCGAACACCACCCAAAATGGCAGCGTACATTGGGCAAATTGCGATAAATCAAGTAGTAACGAAAATGTGTAAGTGCCAGGAAGGTTAACAGAGATGATATAGGGCCATCAAAGCAAAATGCCTCAGTGCTTCACACTGATGATCACAGACAAGGGGACCCGTTCTTTTCTCCGGACATCGTTGTTATCAGTTGCCCTCATCGACGGCACCATCCAGCCAACTGAAATAACTGCTATAAGTTAACCAAAGTACCTTTGCTTCAACCTCTTTGATCTAGCTTCGCTGTCGCACTAGCCTATGGTGTGTTTTGGCAAAACCCGAAAGTAGCTGGACGTGGTCAGTAGTAACGCTAAGAGATTAGACAGTGCTGGAAAAGGGACGGGTAGGAAAGGGTCAAATGAGTTACCAAATGACGGTAATTGTCATGGAGGCCGATCTAGACGTGGTAGCGGGTGCCTGATATGGTTAATTTCGTAGCGAATTTCGTTCAGACCATGATATGACCGAGGGAGCATTTGAAATGCCGATTTGGGGCGACGATATCAAAGGAAAGCATAGAAAGGCTAAAGAAAGGCAGAATCACTGGTAAATCATACTGCCATTAGGCTGTACGTAGCGATCTGAGTTAGAAGAAAAACGAGAACAAGTAAGAGGAGAAAGTTCGTTAAACAATGGAAATTGAACAAGGTCGTAGGGCTGTCATATGGACGTAGGAGAAATTGGCCGAGTCCTTCACGGGAAAATTTCCTGCCTTAGGACTGATGCTGGGAGAGGATTAACGATTTTCCCGAAAAAATGAATCTGGAACAAAAACGTTCATATTATCTAGAGCTAGAACAAGGTAAGCCATAAAATTCGTTTTCAAGCTGGATAGTAATATTCGGATTCAGAGTCAAACACAATAACTGCTAGAAAAACATATGGAATGAATAAAGCGCTCATACGTTACATATCAGTCTGTTGGTAGGCAGCAAATGTGTCAAGCTTGACATCGAAACCGATTTGGCATAATAACGTCTGCACGTGAAGCCTATATTCTTCGAAAAGCACCTAGTGGAATTGTAAAATAGATATGAAGATCCGATCGTATCTGCTAATATGAGAATTTTCCAACCGGTCCATGCCGTATCGTAGCTATATATTTAGACAAGGGAAAAGCGGGAGATGCATTTAGTTGCAGACTATTCCTTACGACTTGCTTCTGAAGCTTTATCTAAACGAAAATAAACATTTCAGGGAATTTTCCCATATTTTCATCACCTATCGATCGCGTTTTTTCTATCGTCTATCGCGATTCAGCGACAATACTGATTTTTTTTTTTGATGCGTCTATTGTCCTTTGGTAATAGCTGTGCGTCGAGCGATACCGTTTAGTGGTAAATTCATCAAAATGTACAAATAAGTTACTTGCGAAAAATTCCAACACGAGTAAATTTTGGACTAGTAGAAAGTTAAGGGCCATCCGATCACAACCGCTCACAACCACCAAAGAGAACGAGAGCGCGAAAAGACTAATTCGACGAGCCAACTCGACCTAATATTCATTGAGAAATTAAGTGTTATTTAGAAAAACAACACTTAATTTCTCGGTTAGTATCTAAAGTAACTTTTTCGCTATTATAACAAATCGAGTACTAGAAATTTTCCTCGTGTGGAGGAAAATTTCTAGTACTCGAACTACTGGCGATGTCGTAGACGGTCAGTTTACTAGCAAATGACACAGCAAAAATTTTGTTCGGTTGTAGAAAGGACTAGTTTTCACTCTGATTTTAACAGTAATCATTAAATGCAGCAGTTTGCTGAAGCTCGAATAGCCTCATTTTGTACATACGAAAAAAAAAATACTCAACATCGTATGAGCTAATATTCGAAGCTTTTCTTAAACGTCACTTTATATATATATATATATGTATGTATGAATATTTTCTCCATCAACATTCTTACAGGCCTGAAGACCGTCCGAGCTTCAGCGAAGTATGTGAACTAATGAAAGGAGCCAGCGATGCGGGGGAAGCCGAAAGCCCACATCCATTAGATCAGGGTGTGATACCGACTCAGGGGTTCTTACCACCTCCGCCTGATCTTGAAGAAGATGTCGAACTCAACGAGTTGCTGCGGCTTGAAGAACAATTGGCTAATACTGTGCCCGCAATCGACGCTGATGTTCCCCCTGTGAGCGTTTCGGCATCGACTACTAACGAAACATGCTGAGCCAGGTACAGGATAAGAGATGGTTAATCGAATCGTTTTGTCTCAGCTGACCCAAGCCCACAAACACGACGCGGTGGGCAGAAGTACCCTTGTTGATTGCCTAACCGTCTCACAGTTACGAGTAAAATACGAATTCATCTGCTTACAGGTGTTCGTGGTAATACAGCGGTCGCTCTCTTCAATTTCAGGCTTCCGTGTAACTTAAATGGTGTTTAAGTGTAATCTACGCACTAGCTGATGATAATGTAATTTATTATTAATTAATAGTAATTGTGACTAATAGCAAAAAGTGAGGCGACCGACTTGTTGTTGACACCCATAAATGTCGTCGCTTATATACTACAATTGCATAAAAATAACGCCATAACCGAGTACGGTGTCGGTTCTATATAGCGACAAAAGCAAGCGGGGTTCAAGAAGCACAGTTCTGGGACTACTTATTGATAATAGGTGGCAAAGGTTTAATTTCAGTATTATACGCGTACGAACACGCTCACTCATAGGCACACGCACATATGCAAAGTAACGTGTTATACCGACACACGAACCAAACAAAAACACGATACGAAAAGGTTATTCACTCGTAGTTCGTTAAAAAGCGGCGGTTTTTCAATAAAGTCTGCCAAAAAAGGTACACAATTAATAAAAGCACACCGGAGCCAAGCGAAATGGATGGCGGTAACGAAGACACCCTGTCTAAATGCTGAGACAGATTGGACAGCGGGAAACGTTCAGTAACAATGACAAAATAACGGTGTATATGCGTGCCGAAATAAAAACTATATATAATCGCATTTATAGGATAATATAATAGCGCGACGTGTGCTGCTTAATATAGTGAATGTATGGTAGCGTTAACGTTGAATGAAAGCGAACGACCGGTAGGGTAACTGTCTGTATGTTTTTGTTTGCCTTCTTTCCTGGCCTCTGTGGAACTTCCTTCTTCTCCTCAAGTCGTCGTGGCGTCCGTTCAAGGCTCACCCTTTACTTGGGACCGCATTAGAGAAGCTAGCTGAAATCAGATTGAAGCTCGGTGTAACTCTTCCGCTCCTCCTTTGCTTCTCTGAGGTTTAGTAAGGGAGGGGGCGGGTGGGAAAAGGCTTTATCATGGGTTCGTTCAACTGCTATTCCTCTTTAACCCCGTTTCTGCTCTCCCCCGGAATGAAAGACATCGTCACAGTACGTTGCTCTACGTACGTAGGCTCTAGAAGCAGCACTTCTAAAGGCGATGATCTTCGTAGTAGATGGTGAAAGTAGTTGAGAGAAAGGCAACGTCGGTTGCACAAGAAATCTTGCCCCTTGAAGGAAGAGGAGTAGGAAGAGGGTAGCTCGTACGACCGGTGACTCGATTTGTGGGGTCGAGTTTATACTTGTATTCGGGTATTCAAATCATGGAAACGAAGCTGGTATTGCAAAAGGGAGGCGTAGGTAAAATGGAATGTAATGCACGGGAGAGGTGATCGACGCTGATGTGATGCTCTCTCCGACATCGTTGACTGTATCAGGGTTTGGTGTCGCTTTAGTCGCCAGTTGTCGTCGATGGCTGCGCCCTCCAGCAGCAGTAACATTGGTAGCGGAAGAAAAAAACTGCCGTCGTTTAAAGATATCGACATGAAGATGACTCTCCAAGGGAAGTGTTGTAGAGGAAGATGACAAGTGGATAGCGGACGGTCAAACTGAACAGCGATATCCCTATGGCAGCCTTACTGGCATGCCGACAGACTGGCCCGGGGGAGACAGCGGCGACGACTGACTTCCAACCTACTTTCTTCTCCTAGTTCGAAGGCTGCTGTGACGGGAGCATGTATCTCGATTTCTCCTCCGTTTGTTCATCAAACGTTTGCAGACATGCATGTCACGAGGCGTTAGGGAGAAGACTGATATACGAGTTTTGTAAGTGACAGTGTTCGACGAGGTGGCGGTGCGCGCAACAGTGGGACGAGCACAATCTGCCACGAGGCTTTTGAAATTATTGGGAGTGAGAACGGATAGCGTACGTAAATGCTGAGTCAGCATAATCATTTGAGTGATACCTGTCAGGAGTATGAGGTCCTACAGAGCTGTTTAATAATAGGCATAATTAATTACTAATACAATAATTATTTTCCACTTTGTTGAATTGTTCGTTAAAGTACATTTTTCTTAGTAAAATTATCCCTTCTCTTTAATAATTGACATTAAGGCCTGTGCATATAGCGTCGCTTTATTTTCAGTTAACAGAGCTATTTAATTTGTTTTTAGCTTTATAAAGCCACAATAACCTTAAGTACGGCGTAGACGTAAGCAGTCTGCTTAAGACAGTATCTTGTTGCATCATTGATTTTTCCTTCGTTGGATGATTCCGTAGTTTTTCCCGCTGATTTCATTATCTTGCCCCAGATGTTCCATTACAATTAACCCACTCGTGGGCATTATTTACATACACTTCACTAATTTTTACCAATTTTCGCAGATTAACACTTGTCTCGTTCCTCAACGACATGAATAATAAACAGTTTAATAATTGGAGCTGTACTTTTTTCCATGTTAATTTTGTGAGTGTGACAGTGTCGCTCATTGTAGAGAAAATTGCCGTAAAGAGTAAAGAAACTATTTCTTAAAAATTCGAGCCGCAGAAGAAATTAGTTCTCACACACAATTGGGTAGTTCATTGTCTATATGGCCTATATGGGAATCGACTTTAGGGTGCCGAAGACATTTTATGGGAACAAACAGACAGATGCACAAAATTTTACTAGTATAAATAATAGGATATGATGATGATGATGGCAAGAAATTGCGTATGTTAAAAATTTCGAACAGAAATAGAGCTGTTCGGTTCCGTTTGCGTCAGTTTGATATATATTCTGAGAAAGCGCTCCTTTTGGCCCCTCCGAAGGACGTATTGAATGAAGTGTATTTAGCTACTGGGTCCTTTGATAGGTTCATAATACCGTTTTTTCAGAAAATAAACCCAATAAGCTGATCTAAATTCGTTTTACGTAGTTTTTAATAAATTCATCTGAGCACAAGACATGTGACAGTCATTCCACCGTTTCATGTTAAAACCAAGATTAAAGCTGTCGGATAGGAACGATAGAGCCGCTAGCGAACTAAAACTTTATGCGTATAACTGGTCCTAACGACTACAATTACCTTTATGAAAGAATAGCCTTGCTTAGCAAGCACTACTTTTCTTATTTTATGGTTCTTTTTGGCCATGTTCATGTTAGTACAACATTTATTTACCTTGCATCCACGACCATCCTTAAAGTAGATAGAAAATAAAAAGGTCAGCTTTTCCATTAGAAACTAATCGCAGGCCAGTACGCGTAGGGAGCGATAATTCAGTTTATGGAGCACCCGAACTCTTGAGTTTTACGTATTTTTCGCCACACAAATAGATCCAACGGATTTTGTCTGAAACACAGAGGTGCGTTCAGCCTCTTTTGACGAAAGGAAGCTTTCATTTGCCAGCATCGCTACCAGAAGCTGTCCAGGTTGGGGCTGGACTTCGAGCTCAAAGTCTTCGTTTATAAAGGGAGTGCAAGCTATGCGTTTGCTAATAGTTGAGGACTCATACGCACTGTATATTTCATCGACTGCCCGCGTCAACCACAGCCCCGATTGGCACATACAACATTAATGGCCCGCCATGATTTAATTGTAAGGGTGCAGAGGCAAGTTATTTCCTCATCACCTAAGTTTTTTTCTTAGAGAGTTAGCTAGGTCAGGTTGAAAAATATAAACAGGCTCATGTGTGACGATTAGATTGAATGTTATTAAAAGGCACACTAAGCGTATTAGATGAATCCACTTTTTCGTTCTGAGAAATATTTCTAGAAACAGCGGGTGACAAGAAGCCTAAAGACGTTTCGCAAACGCCATGTTGAACAAGCCCACCATTAAGCTTGATGAGGTATTTATTTTCTATAATATAATAACCGTGTATACAACGGTACGATGACTATGGATTGCAGAAGCAGAACGGAGCGCCTGAATAACAAAATATTATTTTATGCATTCTATGTGAAAGTGATGACTTTTATAATATCTGCACCGTATAAATGTACGACATGTACAACACGCCCGTCTATAACCCTCTGAAGTGAACGAACGCTAATGTGACTACCTAATTCCTTTCAATTGCACTCGTTTAAAGTATTTCTTTCGTTTCTTTGACTCCTTACCTAACCTCACCATTACTTCGATATCGAAAATATTTAGGCATCATATTTTGTCGGATCCGTTCAATTTTGGTACAGCTGCGATTCACACAAAGCTGCTTCATACATAGCTGTTGTTGCCCTTGCTACACCGTCATACACATTTGTATATTTTTTTTGTTTTCTATCATGTTCTGTTAGTGTAGTTATAGACGTTGGGCTGTTCATGTCTGATTAGTTCTAATCGCTCGTTAGTTCGCTTTCGCTTTTTGCTCACTGGGTACCATGTTAGGACGGCTTTGTTGACTTTGGCTATTAACTTACGATCAGGCTTGGCGCCCCCTTCTTCTAGTCGTAGAAGGATGCCACAGATTTGGTTGATTACGGAAACGCTGTTCGCGTTGTCAATGAGTGTTACATAAATGTCTCTATTCGGCTGAACACCCTGCCTCTGAAGCTTCTCGGTAAACGCTACTAGCTGCAATTGGCATTCTTTTTCACGTGTATTTATTGCAATTTCTAACAACATGTCAAGAACCTTATTTTGTATATTTTTCCTTTCTTGGATGCTGTAGGAATTCGATACTTTGTCAAACAGTTTATTCAGAGTTATCAGAACTTCTTTAAAGAAGACAGGCGCATAGTGGCGCAGTTGAAGTAACAAAATTGTCAAATTGAGGAACTCGTTAGCATCAAGTGCGGCGAGGTCCAGATTGCCGACACAGGCCAAAGCGAACGGGTAGTCTGTCCGTCTATGGTTGCAACGTAATATGTTAACGAGAACTGGCAGTGCTTCAAGCGGACAGTAACCAATCCTGTTCGTTACGACTGAAATAGTCTTCATCTGCCTCTCGACTAGGTCGTCATGGCGAGAGAAGATCGATAGCAGCATAACGCGTGCCTGCTTGATACAACCAGGATGCTCGATGTTTTTAGATTCAATGCATTCGAGAAGATCTTCTATACTGTTAAAACCGTAGCCGGCTGACTCGAGTGCTTGGTATGCTTTATTTTCGTCTAATGGTCCCGTATAGAATCGCCGCACAGGCAGAATCCTATTTTCATCAATGACCTCATTGATAAAATCCAAACTCTCAGCTTCGGGGGCAGCAATCACCAACTGATTGAGGTCATCGACTGTCAGCTGGTCAATGAGCGTCTGCTGAAGAGATCGAAGGAGCGACTCAACGAGTGAATTGAACAACTTCGTCATGTTTCGTTCGCGGCCACATCGCTTCAACGCTGCGTACGTTCTTCTACACGCGTCTATTGAAGAGATCGGCAGTCGTTGAACAATGTACACGTACATATCTTGGCATGAAGGGCCATTGAAGTTAACACCGTGACTAACTGATTCCAACACTCTACACAAGACACCATTTTGTCGGGAACTTGGCAATTTATCAATAACTTTACGCAGATCATTAAGCTCATCGGGTGTCATCGGAAGGTAGCACTCCTCATCACGATTCGCCATTTTGATAGATTCCGTCCCCCGGTCTGGTGATGGTTGATCTGGATTCATCTCGATGAAGTCGCATCACAGACCTAATTTAGCAAGTTGTCAAACGTTAATGAATATAAATGAAAAAAGTTCACAGTAATTTGGACGATCAATGATTCGAGCATTAGGTGTACTTAACGCACGGAGTGGTAAATCTACTTTTGTACGCGATACAGAAATGCACGCGCATACTCTCTCGATGACTACCACTGCTGTATTAATCTAATTCGATCTGACTTGAGAATTTCTTCAGATTACAAGATAACAATGAAATTCGACTCAAACGAATTCACCCACTATCAAAGCAGACATACATAGGAAACAGGTGCCGCTTACCTAAATTGATATAAACCAGGATGCCTACCTGTTAAACACCTGTATTAAATGGAACTATCATTTAACCATCAGATAACGAAGCTCAGCTTCTTGAACTTGTCGTAGTTCTATGATTTTGTTAGTTGTAAACAGGAAGGCCATGGTGCCCCGAAATAACTTCGTTGTTATCACCACAATCACACTGTATTAGTACATCTAAAAGCGCTGATAGCATCCGGATGGTATCGGCAGACTTAGGCGACATCCACGCTAGTTCACCTTGACGGAACACTAAAGTCATTGTTTATTTACTTTGCGACAGATCAAACGGAAAATAGCCTTCATACGAACATGGTCAGGTGAGTTCGAGCCGATCAGATCTTCTAGCAATTGATGAAAGGTCTTGTTGTATGCAAAAAAAAAGTCCTGCTGCGGGACTCAGATTATGCAAATATGCGTAACAGTGATTGCCATTTTATAGAGAAAGATTAGAAGATCGTAAGAAACATCCTCTAATTACTTGACGGTGTATAAGTGATGAACGTTCCGAACTGTTAGAGCTTGTGATGAAAGCTTGTGTCAAAGCGCTTTTCTGTTATTTTTTTTTTTAATTCAAACTTTAGACGTTACTCTCGTAACAAATGAAATGGCAATTTTATAAGTTTCATAACAAGTTAATGTACACAATTCCTGTCTTGGGGTCTGTGTCTCGATCTAATAGTATAAATGTTGTTAGCAATTTGAAGCCATACATACATGTATGATCATGCAACGGAATCGGTGCTAGACGCTGAAGTAGTACGCCTGCCGTCTTTCTCTCTATTTGAATGATTGACTTCTGCCGGCTTTAATCAAGTGATCACGGCCAGTTTATAAGGGAGCTTCAGATTTTGTAGCCAGTGCACTGGGCTCACGTAAACGTCGTGCGTTCTTATAGCTATTACTTCATGTCAAATCGAGTAAAAGGATTGTTTAAACGAAAATTTCAATTGTTTTTCTTCTACTTTTCAAGCGAGTTTCTTTCGCTCGATGGCGTTATCTTCACCTACCAAGCAACTGATGGTAAAACCTTAAAACAGGCCTCACTATGTTCTCTTCTAAAATTTCATTTGATATGGTCTTTAAAATGGGTTCTAAATCAACCGTTCCGCTTGTACTAAGCTACGCACTGAATGTAGATACATCTCAGTGCCTTGTACCACACTGATACTAGAGTTTACGCGTGTCTGTATTGTAAATGTGCATAGCATTGCGCCTTTAGGACCAGTATGGCTACTGCAATACATGCAGTGATGCACAAAAAAACAACTGATGCACGTTATTGGCATTCATTTGGTGTTCGTGACCCATAGATCCGCTGTAGATAGACACTTGCTATCGCTTGCTACCCATAGACACTTGCTGGACGGAGGAGGTCAAGGAGCAACCATGTTCGTAAGTTTGTTACCTGTTGGGCACCTGAGGGTATATTATCACTATAGCCTCTTAAAGCTTTTATCTTTTCATTCAATATATTTAAACTCCTGGTACTTATGGCAGGACAACTCTTTCCTAAGTCTGGTGATATTTAGTTCCTAAACTGAAACCGAATTCTAGGGAATGTGTGTGTACTTGCAAAACAACTCCATCGCTTTGAATGCTATTAAGATACTGGGTATTATTACTTTGGGCCGTTTTCAATTTGCCTTGTGTTTTTCTAAATCTTATATCCGCGTTTGATAACGGTAAAAAGGTTAGTTTTGCATGCATCTGACTATGTACTAATAGTTTTAATATAAACTAGCGGTTGTTATCATCGTAAACTGTAAACCGATGACGTAGGCACACGAACATCAAATTTTAATGCTTTGTTATGCGAATTAGGTCATGGTGAGCTATCTTCTGTTTCTGCAAAAAACAAAATGTATTTGTAGTAATTATTTGTTTGACCCTTCTTGGTCCGATTCAGCTTCAGAGGGGTTCCTGTATGTAAAGATATGGCTTCTGGCCGTTGTAATACTTTGCTGTAGGTTTTCCAGACTCCCTGAGTGCTTTCGCCCTGATGTAACGGAAGGTGTTGCGCATTCAATAGTTGCATGGGGCAAAATGCTCCAGATTCAAATCGTGGGACACCGATCGCAGTGTGCATTAAAAACAATTGTGTACTGTGGCATGTTTTAAAGAAGAAAATCGTGCCTCAGTTGCGTCCTGTAGTTAAATGGACCATAGGATTCTGATGAAGTCCCTGTGGGAATCTGTCGTAGATTCGTTTTTGGTTAGACGGGTACCAATGTAAGTGTAGCATCTTAGAGCATGCGTGACATATTATAAATAAAATATAATTGACCTGATTGTTGTCTGGGTAGTTTGTTAAAAATAGCAGTAATTCTTAGTTTTCTCAACCGCGAAAGGATACGTGTGCAAATATGATCCTATAAGGCTCAACTTGGCTTAGTTCTGGGGAATGGAATTTACAGCATACGCACCACACGCGAATAGGCTATCACCGTTCACGGACACCCTCTTTCAAAGAGATTTGCGCTTAAGCATAACTCTCAAACGTTTTCTTGTGATTTCAGTAGAAAAGCGACTGCTTTCTATTCTGTTCACGATGTTGCAGTAGACTCTCCGCATATAGAAAAAGGCAAGGATATGGGGAGGATAATGTCGAGCTCTTCATATCCGAGGCTTTTTGTTTGAGCGACCCGTACCAAACTGCTTGAAGAAGATATCAAAGGACCACTTGTACTGTGATGTTCCGTCCTGCTGTTTTGCAATTTCGCTCGCTTGTTTAATGGGGCTTTTAGGAAACAGGACCACTAAATGCGTCTACCAATGAAATGCCTGTTAGTGGCAACTAACGTTATAATAACATCGAGCACTGGTGCAATTAGGTTCTTGCAAACGATCCTAGAACTATTTAAGCTTATGGCATACCCAATTTAGGCAAAAAAAAAAAAAAAGTAGAAAGATATAAACTAGGAATTTTTATACAGTTTTTCAGCTAGTGCTTAATTAAATACAATGATCTACTTTTTCAATAGTATTTTAAACGGAGCGATCTGCTTTTTATATAGGCTCAATTTTATCATGTAACGAATAAAAAGACTATATTCAATTATTTTCGTTTCCAATATTGCGTTGCGAGTAAGAGAGACAATCCTCTCTATCTGTGTACTGAGGGATTAAAGTTTAAAATGATTTGAGATAGTATCGATTCAGTTAGCGAGAAATCTCTATAACACATACAGGCATAGTGATTGCGTTGAAATCTTTTGGAATGGTATATAGAAATAGTAAACGGTACTTAATTTTTATAAATGTCGGAAGGCGCTCTTTGGCCCAGATGATCTAACACGATGTTTGACGTTGCTAAAGTAAACGGCTCATTCTGACAGCCGAATTAATTCGTCGTTTGACATCGTCATGTTGGTACATACATTATCTTTATAGATCTTCTCCTACGATAGTGTATATCTAAGGCGTAAGCAATAGACGTCCCGCGACTTCTATCGCTTTGTGCGTTTATTTGTGGCCTAAAAAATGTATGTCACACATACAGAAGCCACGATTTCTATGTACGATTCGGACATTGCATCCGTCGATGGAACCTGATGGTTAACCGTTGCTAAATTAGCTCCATTTTACAGCGAACACTGAATGAGTCTCAGGTAAAGAACGGAGAGACTCAGTGAAAAAGAGTAACAAACGAGCGGATTAAGCATGCGGTTCGCCCAGTCATAAAGAAGCGGCAATGTACAGGTGAGTCGTACATAGAAGTGTATCAGACCATCAGAGATATGCCATTAGGTAATGCTGTCCATCTTCATCTTGACCTTAGTATACGGCCGTTCTCTCAGGTCGGCAAAATCAGGCACCTACTGAGGTGTTAATAATCTCTTGTGATATGCTGGCTTCATGGGGATTTTGATGAATAGAAGATCTGCGCTCATTCTCTCTCTGATAAAGCTGACATGTCACCAAACAGCACAGAGAATTCGATGCCTCGTTCGTCGGCACCGATCGCGTCGATCTGTGCCGTATTGGACGTACGGCTGCATTAGCGAGATGAATTTGTGTGTGATGACAGAACTTGTGGCTGACCGGGACAGATATGAAACGTTGATCCAGTTTAGCAACTTTTAGTCGTCTTTGACCAGACGACGACAACAGCGAATGGCCAACTGGACTGAATAGCGAGGCATGATCTTTTCAAGGGGTCTAGGGACAGAGACGATAGTTTCATTTCAGAAAAGTATTGTTAGCAATGAAAGGCGCGGACTGTCAGCGATATTGATATGCGGGAAATTTCCTCTTTCAAAATCGATCTCTCCATGTATTTTGTATCTGAATAGCGGATGCAGTCAGTGCATTGAAGGACGCATTGAAGGAACCAGCAACAGAGTAAGGTAGGTCAATTCAAGGCCTGCCGTAGAGAGTTTAGCAGCTCAAGGGATAACATTTTGCCAAGTAGAAAAGTCATACGATGAACAAAATGATAACTCCGCTACTTGCTGCTGCAACAGTAATTACAGCTGCCATGTTAAACAGGTGACGCATGGAAACTTTACGCGAAAAAATTGTCCTATAAACGTGACGAGATTATAATCTACTGCAGAATCTCTAGAGAAACATACGTATCGGTAATTGTGAATGCCTACCCTATTCGTGATGCGGCTAGGGGAAAATATTTCATTAGAATTATGTATAAGTAAGTGGCCATTCCTAAACGCTGGGTAGTATGGTCGTATACAAGTAAGACACCCCGTTCTGATGAGTTATTGCGGAAGTGCTTTCCGAGACTTATTTCTAATTCAGTGTTCGTTCATTGTGCATGAATAAAACCCATTGACGACATTTAGATCATTCTATAAGGTCCCGTGATAGGTTAGTACGGAACGTATTTGCCCCATAATCTTAGGGACACCTTGTGATCTAGATTCGAACCCGGGCATAGACAGATAGACTTCGTTTCGAAGCCAGCCAGCCAGCCAGCCAACCGTCTAATGGAGTGCCTAACGGCGATACCGGACGAAAATCTCAAAACATAAAGGCAACTTTGCAAAGAACTGCGTTCCTGCCGGCTGCTATATTTCGGGGCAGAACTTTGAACCGTCCACTTGGGCCTTTCGAAAGGTTCTGACCGAAAACTGAGGGCACCGATAATGAAAAACAGATATTTAGGACAACTATTTTAAAACGTTAAGAAAAGCCTTCTAAAACTAAAAAAGCTTTTAGTTCAAATAAAGGTCGCTATTCTAACGTGAAGGTGACGCTTGGCTTTACGCTGCGCTGAATACCATTACCGTAATGGCGAGAATCAACAGCGTTAATCGATCCCTCTCGTTGCTTAACCTGCACTACTTAAAGATGCTTTGTAGAATTGAACGAGTATTACGAGTAAAGATCCCTCTGCTAACTTTTATGAAAAAAACACTGAAACGGATATCATATACGATTAAGGTAGTCTAAACGTAGAAAATGCTTAGGCTATTAAAATGAAACTTCTATTGCTTTGCTACAACGGCCATTTAAGTATACCAACGATGAGTTTCAGCTATTCGGAACGCTAGCTTTTTCCTCAAGTTGTAGGAGAACATGTATCCTTCTGAGTCCAATGGCGATCCGCCAGCTTTTATTGTCTCGACATTTTTTTCTAATTGAGCTTTTGCTATACACCTATTTGGCCGTAATAGGGGAGCCTGGTGTTAAATGCCAGTAGACTTAATAACTATGCATTTTTCAATGCTGTTGCTAGCAACAATGATCATCGAGGCAGATTAAAAATAATTGATGAACTACTATCGTCGTATTAACTGCGGAGTGAACTTATCTGTCAACATCAGATTCTCAAGTCTTCCGAGATATCGTATTTAATTAAGTTAATTAAGCAATGATATATCACTGGTCGTATTATACCATTAAGTGGCCTTCTGTTGTTACTATTTCGGACGTACTTTGCTCAAATGTTTTATCTATGAAGAAGAATAGGATAGTTTCGCGAAATGACATGATTGTCAGCCACCGTTTTGCCGGCCTGTTTCCGTCACAACAAGCTCAATAGCGTTATTGCACTCAGTCAATTATCGACACGATGAATCTCTTTAGATAATAGAAAAAAACAGTTGGACCTTCCTCATGTGACTACGCCAAAATAAACGCACTCTTTTTTTGTGTGTGCGCCTACACACATGTAACGTGTGTAGGCTTTATGTCGACTTCCGGTAAACCGGAAGCAGAAGTGGGCAAAGGAACTGGGTCCTTTTTTCGACAATGGAATACCTTCCTAATGCGCACCATGTGCCATCAATACGCAATATGAATGCTATCGACAAGCAGGCTACCCTCGAAAACAAATGGGGACAGAGCATATTTCTTCATATATGTGCATGAGGTATGGGTATATTTATAGACAAGTATACCATTCGATACACGATAGCATAGCAATGCTTGGGCTGTGAAGAAAAAGTACTGATTATATTTTTTAAAAAGATGCACCATTTTGATCGATGCCTTTCTGCTGCTATCAGTAATGCCACATCTGCTTAGAACTTCAGGCGTTTGAAGAAAATTGTGACAAGTGATTTTTACATACATGTCACTAAAACTAAGTTGACACCACTAAGAGAGTTTTACAGTAAAAGACCGAAACAGCTAATAGTTTAATGGTACAAATACGAGTCGTACAGCGAACGCAATAAAACCTTAAGTCCTTTTAATTATTTTTTTTTCGAGTAACTAAGGACGTATATGGCCTGTCATTATCATAGTAGAAGCGCATGCTTACAATGATCTCTCCCCGTAGATTGTGGAGCACATTTTTTTACTATCTTCATTTTCACGTTATTGTTGAATATTATCTGTGCTTCGTTACTCGTAACCAATTTCGTTCCGTTTCTGTGGAATCTCACAGTTGGAAATATGACTTTTCTTCTTCGAAATTTTTTCGCATTAATTCGTGCGGTGCCCAAATATCGAGTTCTCTTTTTCTATAGCTAACTCTCTGTTTGATGGTGGTTCGGTGGTGGCGATGACTCGGTCTGTCAACCTCGCAATAATTTCATAAACTTCTTCTATAATTGGTCGATCGCTACAAAAGACGTTTGTAACTGTCAAGGAGACAAAATTGCTGAACCGGACTCCATTAACACATCCCAGATTTTCTTTTTCATCAACCCAAGCAGTGTTTGTGCCTTGATGTAGTTATTTCCTTTGCAAACATGTCGTCCACCTTGAATCTGGGTAAGTGCATTTCGAAATTAGCACATCGATAATTGGCGAACGTTGGCCTCCAGACACCCCCCGACGCGACTAAAAAAAACAATCGATATCTCTCCGATTTAAGAATGGCACATCTGTACGAAATATAGAGCGGGCTGAAAGTCTATAGGCGATATATTTAATGAACGTTCTTAGGTAGAATAAGAAAACCTTTCGGTAAGGTAGGAAATATAAGTATATGTCTATTTCAAAACTAGGATTTACTCCAAACTATGAATCGATAACTTGTACCTTACATTATGAACTCTTAAAATTTGTATGAGGTGTCGCCACTACGATGAAGTAATCTAGCTTGAGAGCCGCTGAACATTTGGTGATACAATTTTTATAACCAGCCATTTTGTCTTCAATTCATGTTCAAACTGCTACGCGCAAAGTATGTACGGATGAAAGCTTTTGAGGCTGAGAGTGCCTATTTCGAGCTTTCTGGATCATTACCTCCATCTCTTCCAGAAAATTTCTCACAAAAAGAACCTGATAGAATCGAAAGGAAATCATGTCCTTTAAAGGAAATGACGTAACTTTGTGTATCTACTCGGGCGTGAAGACGTTTGTTTACTTCTACCAGGCATATTTTTGTTGCAAGAATGAAATTTTACTTTTTAAAGCCCAAATGTTCAACCAACGATTCTGCAACAGACGGCTTTTGCTCTATTACACCATCTAAAGACGTCAGTAAGTGGCTATGAACTGTAACTAGCTTGATAATAAAGTAACCAAAATATATAGCTTTGTTAATGTGTTGTATCTCTGCCTGGTTAAACCTCTATCGTTCGACTCTTACGTCCGATATCGCGGCTTAGTAGTTAGATGGCCGGCTCCCAGCACGAAACAAACCGTGTACCTATGCCCGTATACGAACCTATATAGCACGATGTGTCCCTGAGTTACCCCATAAGGTATTACGGTAACTGCCTTTATCGACAAGCCCGATCGTTTAAACTAAAGGCCATCATAGAATTATACATACAATTATCGATCTACAGTGAATGCATGCTGAAAGGTGTAGCAAATGTTAACAACAATTTTCAACGAATATACGCTAAATCAAAGAAAAAGGCTGTGTAACAATATTAACGTTGGTCAAGCTTAATAGTGACCTGAACTGAAGACTACTAAATCTTTTGATTTGATGCTAAACTATTACTCAAATGGAGGCCAGAACCTTGTGTTGGTGAATCCCGCGTAATGGTGATTTTGTATATTTGAATTGGTTATTGCAATTTTATAATTTTTCAGTACGTTCCTGCTGTTTTTCTTAAAGCGTTACCAGTAATACGACCTTAGCAAAAAAATTGTCTAAAAATCTTTTAATCGCAGGCAGTTAGTCCGAGAGTACTAGGAAAGCTTTGATAATGGACAAGGATTTTGTCGCGATCGGATTTCGGCCTTTGCCCTATTTGTCGAATTAGTATCATCTTTTGTCTATAAAATATATCAGTCATACTGGCGGCGTACCCAGTAAAGAAGACCCTACAACA